GAGACTGCACGAAACGAGAATTTTCTTGGGCACAAGTATTTCAAATAAAAATCACTGAAGCATACAGACTTGAAACACTCATTCTGTCTCAAATGCATGCGTAGGATTTCTCCAAATGCTTTCCAGAATTCATAATGTAACCATACAATAGTGATTCACCAGAATAGACAGTTCTGAGAATTGGCAAAATACTATTTTGCAGTCTTGCTATAGAGAGGGAAGACAGCTCTGCAGGAAACAAAACTGACTAAAAGCACTAAGGTTAAAAAAAAAAAAAAAAAAAAAAGGAAAATACAAACCCAAACATACAGAGCTCTAGAAATCAAACCCACTACCCTACCACTAGGTCATGCTGGTTTTCAGGAACATCTAGCCACCAACTTTAAGGTGACCATTACCAGACTGATTTAAGAGAGGGATGAGCTCTCGCAAAAAAATAAAAAATTGTTCAACATAACTTAACATTACTTGCATCAATTTTGAAAATTAATTATCAAACCCTTCTTGAATTCTCATATACTGTTTATTCCTGTAAGAAATGGGCATTTTTTATTTTGTAAAACTTTCCGATCACAACACATCTAAGGCTGCTATTTTCCCTAACCAGTCACGCCAAGCAGCTCAAGCACACTTGCAGGAAACCTAATTTATTATACATGCCAGATTGCAGCTGTAGACATCTCTCCAAGAGCTTGAAGTGCAGAACTGTCATTCTTTGGCACCACCTTTCAGAGGTCAACTAAATCATGTTAAAATTAGATTTGCTGTAAGATTGTTTGAGAGGTTTTCAAGTATTCCTTTAGCCAGCAATAACGGGTTGGCTGAGAGCTAAGCAGCGGGAGGCAGCCTGAGACTTGAGAGTACTTTCAGCTGGGGGAGGGTGTGAAAAACAACCCCCAGCATTTCTCAAAACCAGTGCAATGAACCCATGTTTTGTGGGAGTATCAAACCTGTATTTCTGCATTAGACACGTACTACATATTTTGCAAAAATACTACTGCACTCTTCTAAATAATAAAAAAATTACAAGTTACATTCCACTTACATGAGTGACAATCACTTGACATTTCACAAATTATATTCTTTTAGCATCTAGCTACAGCGTATTTCTATTTTTTCCCCAGTGTTTCTGAATTTGAAACAAGAAAGTTTAAAGGTTGCTTAACCTAAGAGAACCTACAACCACTCAAGAATGTCCATACACTAAATTCCAACTCCTGCTTTAATGCTGACCCTACACAGAATGGTATCGGACAGTATCTGACACAAATACAGAACAGCTATATGTTATAAAGGAGTTAAAAGTCCCAGAAGTGGTTACTGAAAGCAGCACAATGAAAGCCTTCTGCTATGGTACGTGAGATTACTTAACCACACCACCTCCTCCTCATCAGTTTGCTCCATTGGGCACACATGAAACTTTCACGAGCTCCTGAAATTTCTGATGCAAAGATTATCACTGTCATTAATTCAAACTTGACATGAGGAGACATTTCTTTTTAAGAAGTTAGTTTTTAAATTAGGCAAAGAAAACACTTTTTTCCTCTTGTGAACAGAAAAAAAAAAAAAAAAGATGGTTAAATGTGCAGGAAATTATTTGCCTTATTTTTTTAATGGTTTTACAGTCAATTAACAAAATAGTATGCCATGTGCTCAAAGTAAGAAAAGACCACACCGTGAGGTAAGAAAAAGTACATGGCACGTAACAGGAGTTAGCAAAAAGTAAAGGAGACCTGCCACAATGGCTACTCTGCTGACAACTACAAGAAATTAACAATAAAGAATCTAGAAAAAATACCAAAACATGAAGATCACTCGGTAAAACATTTGTAGTTTTAAAGGTGTTTGTGAAATTCTACTTAATTGCAAATAAAAAACATGCGTAGTATTATTTCGCAAAATATTATTTGATCCCTCCTTCAGCTATTGCAAGATACAACAATGACAGAGAAGAAGTTTAAAAATAAAATATAAAAACATAAAAAGGGACAGAGCCTACGTGCATCGAGTTTCCATAATATTGCTATGTTCCAGGAACCTTACCCATACAATCTGGCTGCTTCTACTTTCACACAACAGTCAGCAGCGACCTCCGAGCAAAAAGCCAACTAAAGCAGAACAAGGAGACCTAAACCCACAAAACAAAACCTGAAGAAGCCAACAAAGTCACCTCTGAAGGCACTCCTAAATCAGTAGTGAAGAGCAGAAGCACCAAATGTGAGATAAAAGAGTGAAGAACCATAAGTGAAGTAGGAATAGTACACACTCTAAATATAGACTCTATCCCGCACACAGATGTAACCTCATTGACATGAGTAATCCCACTGCAGTCGCTGGCACCATTCACAGGACTAAAGCTACACCAACACTTGGGGCTCTGCAAAATCTATGTTAAGATTTTAACGTGGACTCTAACTATTGACTTCTGCAACCATGCAAGGCAAAGCCCTCCAAATCTCTTAACCAACTACACGCTTCTTCTCTATCAACGCCTGATCTATCAACAGGATCGTCCACTAAATGTCTCAGAGAAGAAAATCTACTGAATGAAACACCTGGAAAATTACTGTCAATAGAAATCACCAAGCGTTTAAGATCTGCACGCCCTGATGCCTATTTGTACTTACTGTTATTTTAGGGAGACAATAATTCGGGGAGCTTTGATGGTTTTGTTTAGAATTTTAATCTAAACATATTTTTAAACTGAAAAGAAAAACGTGAACAAGAATGGTTTTAGAAGAAAAGAATTGATGACAATGTTTGCATTTCTATAAGAGCAGAGATCTTCACCCACCAACTTAATTTCATGTGCTTATTTGTAAAAGCACTGAAAAAAATCACATGGAAAGTTGATCTCATTTGTTGAGTTTGCTGGTCCTGGCTAACGCATATCCATGCATTCAGTTCTAATAAACGAATCCGTTCAAGTCAAAAGATTGTTTGTTTTTTTTTTTTTTGCTGTAGTTGGTTATAAAACATACACGTTATTTATGTCATAGTTGATTTTTGTATAGCTTTTCCTACTTTTTGTCAGTAAAGCCCCAGCCACGTCGCAGGAAGACTTTATTCCTACAAGTCAGAATATCCAAACAAAACTGACAATCTTAAAAAAGACTGTTGAAAGAAATACATGCAATTTGGAGACCAAAAATCTCTCTCCAGCTAGAAGTCCTATGCTTTACAGCTCACTTCTTTGTTTTGACTTTTACCACTAAACGCAACTGTTGATGATCAGAAGTAGAGGGAAGAGGAAAGCAGTCAGTCACATTACAGTGACTAAAGAAGCTGCTGAAAATATAGACAATCCTCCAACTTTATCAGCAAGGTTTTCCACAAAGCAAATATTCTGATATACTTCTTGTCAGTAAATAAGATAAACAGATACGCCCAGCTTCTCTATAAAGGCAGGGCTCATTAGTTCTCTACTACTACCTACCAGGATCAGGCGTAACATCAAAAAGTTACGCTAAGCCCCACATGCCAGTGACTCAACTAAGTAACTTCTTTTTAACACACACATCAGTGCATGCATACACACACACACACACACATGCACTTCCTGGCAAACCTCAGGCAGACCAAAGCTTTCCTCTGTACCTCATTTCTCACCGCCATTAACAGTCCTGCAGTTGTTATTCTGTTCTAAGCTTTAATTGAACCAACTGTCAAAACACTGCAAGCTTTATGGCAGAAGAAATGAACAATCGGGCTCGTTCCCATCCGCAATCCAAGGGAGGCACGGCATGCCCACGGCCCTACAGAACACGCATAGAAGTTACCTGTGCCCGACGTTTACAGCAACAACTGGCACTCCGCCACCTAAGTCTCATAATCGTACGACTGAGAGCCTCTTTCACGGCGTAGAGAGTCAAATAAATTCTCGACGAGGAAACTCTCCGGAAGACACAAATGAATACCACCCCCCTTCCGGAGCTAACCGGCGTCGCGGACGAAGCCGTGTAACCTTCCACTCCTTCCCCGAGGCCTCTGCCTCGAAAACAAAGAGCCGACGGCCGCCTCCCGCCCCGCCGCCGCGCGTGGATTCCCCGCACCGCGGTGCCTCAGGGCGGGCGGCGGGCGCCAGCGGGGCCCCGTTCCGCACCACCCACCGGCGGCGGACCCGCAGCGCCGCTCCCGGTTCCCGGCGGTTCCCGGCGCCTCCCGGCCCGCTGACAGCCGCCCGCCCCTCGCAGGCCCGCGGCCGGCCCGGAGCTCCCCCCGCCCCCCCCCCCACGGCTGACAGGGCGCGAGGCCGCGAGGCCTGCGGAGGCCGGGGCCCGGCGCGGGCGGCCTACGGGCCCGGCGGGGCCGGTACTCACGGGGAAGGCTCGGATCCGCATCTTGGTGTCCTTCCGGCTGCCCGTCCCCTTGCTCAGGTTCGACATCTTCGGGGCCGGCGGCGGCGGCGCCCCCCCGGGGAGGGGCGCGGAGGACGCGCGGGGGGCGGCGGGGCCGGGCCGAGAGGCCGCCGGCGATCTTCGCTGCGGGCTGCGGCCCCCGGGGCTGCGCGGAGGGCCGGCCGGGCCGCGGGGGGGGGGAGGGGGGCGGGGAAGCGGGAGCGGCGGAAGGCGAGGCGAGGCGGCGGCGGCGCGGGGCCCTCGCTCCGGCGGCGGCGCTTCCTTCACCCGCCTCCTCCGCCGCGATGGCGGACAAACATCGCTCAGTGCGCAGGGCCGAGCGCCCCCCTCCTTCCTCCTCTTCCCTTCCCCTTCCTCTCGCTTCCTCCCCTCCCCGTCCCGTCCCACCGCCCAGGGCGCAGCGACGAGGGACGGATCCGGCCGCGGCGGCGGGCGGGCGGGGGCGGCGGGAGGGCCGCGGGGCGGGGCGCCGCCGCGGGGCGGGGGGAGGGGCGCGCCTCGCCGCTCTCGCGAGGCTTCCGTCGATCTCGCGAGACCGTCCGGCGAGCCGTCACCGCCGCGGCGCGGAGCGGGCGGAGGAGGCGCGCGGCGCCGATTGGCGGGGAGCCGCGGTGGCGGCGGGCGGAGCCGCCCGCGAGGGCCCGGCCGATGCCCGGTGCCGGCAGCGCGGAGCAGGTACGGCGTCGCGGGGCTGCGGGGCTTCCTCAGGCCCGGGCACGGCTCCCGGCGCTCGGACGGGAAAGGTTCGCGGCGCTCGGGGGGGCTGAGGCCGGGCAGCCCGTCCCGCGGTGCCCGCGCTGACCTCCGCTCCGCTCCGCACGGGAGCGGCACGCGGTGCTCGGCCGCCCTGCCGCCCTTCGATGTCTGCAATTCTGCCCCTCTGAGTCATGTCACCCACGGGCGTTTCCCTCCGCGGAGACGCGGAGTGGCGTGATGCAAGGCGTTTATTTGTGTTTATGTTTTGTTCCGCCGTCACGGTGCGTGCCTGAGAAATGAGGGTGCCACCCGAGGCGGTGCTGACACGGGCACGGAGCTAAATATAGGCCGCTTGGGAAAGGGCAGGTGCTGCAGGAGGGAAGGGTGTTTGGCAAGGGCCAGGGCCTGTGAGCCGGCAGCAGTACAGATCCCCAAAAGTTAGGCTGGTCAGCAGGAACGTAACGCACCAGGCCTGACTGCGGGTAGGGGATGGAGCCTGAAAGCTGGGTCTAGAGATCACTGGCTTGACGTCCCGAGGATGCACGCCACGCAGACAGGAAGAGAATCTCTTCTAAGTGACTCCTAGGACTGGATAGCAGGGCATCCCGCTGCACGTTCTTCCTGCAGCTCTGCTTAACTCTCCCATCACAGCTCCCCTCCAGGAGCCTCTGCAGCACGTGCCCTCAGGACACCAGAGAACTTCTCTGAGCTAGTTTGCTTTCTGAAAGAGCAACTGCGTCCCTTTTGTCTCTGTGTTTGTTACAACCACTTCCCACTGGGACTATAAACATGTTAGTACACTTTAATCTGATCAGAATTAAGTATACGCCTGGAGAAGATATTATATAACAGCAACATGATAAACAATGATTGCAGCAGCACTATGCAATGCCAGTGAGTCCTTCTCAAAATTACAGCGTAGTCAATGCAGATCAAACAGATGAGATGAGAGGGGAATGATTGCCATTTGCTAATACAAAGAACACAGATTCCACATTGTTTCCACATCATCTCAATATTTGTTTTGCTCCTAAGTGTTTCCTCTTCAAAATTAGGACATTTTCAGACACCGTCTTTTTCTTTTCCCCTCTGTAAGACAGCTAGGGCCAAGTAATTTGAAAAGTTTTGGTTTTGACTTTTGTAAAAAGAGCTTGAAAGACTAAAGTGAAACATAAATTTGTACTGGAATGCGGTTTTCAATTTGAAAATGTTACAAGAGTACTTTGCAAAAAAATCGGTGTTGTTTTCAAAAACCAAGGCTTTTCCTAAGAACAGTTTTTGTGGAACTGACATATCTTCTTCCAATAAAATTAAAAAAAAATAAAAATAAAAAATAGAACTGCTGAAAACCATCCCTATGTGCTTTTCCTGTATCCATTGCAGCAGGTTGCTCCGGATTAACTTCTATTACTGCTTTTGTGCTTCTTCTCCTACTGGTTTTATGCTTATGGCAGCCTAGGAACGCTAGCTTCTTCCTTTCTCTTCATCCAAGTTGCGTGTAGTTTGTGAGTATTTTAAACTAAAAGTTTGAAAAGCGCTGACTTGCCCTTAGTTGCTGTTGGTTTAGGCTCAATATGCTGAACAAAAATAAAAATACTCATACTTCAATTCTCATGTCAAGTAGTTTTATTTTACACTGTGAGCTTATAGATACAGCACCCTATCACAAGTATTGCTAGTGCTAACTTTATTATTAAAAGCTGAAATTGCAGCCTGAGACTTGTTTTTGTGTGGATTTATGATCCAGTGGGGATATCTGCTGCATAGAAATTCACTCACTGCTCCTTCCTTCATGTCTGAGGTCTGTTCTGTGACTGCGCAGGATGGAAACAACTTTTTTAGTGCAAAGTTTCTACTTCCATTCATAGTGTGCAAAATGAAATTTAGCTAAAAGTTAAGGCTTTAAGCTTACACAGATGACTAATTTAGAGGTTCATTAAGTGCTTATAATGTTAATTCTTGGTAGGTCAAAGCCAGAAACAAGACAGATGGGTGGAGGACAGATTAACATAGGAAGAAGTAGCTGCCCTATTGCTTAAACAGATCATCTCAGCTATCTCGCCTGCAGATCTTCTGTATCTTCTGTTGGTCCTGCAGCCAAGTAACGGTTTGTGTGGGGAGGAATGGGTTCGCTCTTGAACATTCGGAGTTTTTGTGTTACAACAGCCTTACACACATTTTCTGCCAATGTCAACCACATGCAACTATGAGGTATAAGGGCCCTCAGAACGACCTATATGGAACAGAGAAGAAATCAATAAAGCAGCCATTTACTTTTTTTTTTCTTTTTTTCCTGAGGTCATAGCAGTCCTCCTCTGATTTCAGATATCACTGATATCACTAAATATGTTCACCTGAATGAGACGTTACCATCTTTCCATCAGCATGGTAAGGATGACCCTTCTCATTGACTTGTTTATCTTGAAGGTGGCACAAATCTTTAACTACTTACATTCTATCTTTATAATCTGACTTAGCACTCACCTCAGTCATGCAAAGAGTAGCAGAAATTTTGGAAGAAAGTGAAGAGTGCATTACATGAGAACCAATCTTAATTTACCTTCTCATAATGCAGACTTTAAAACTGGAGCAAGGCTTTTGTTTAAGATACAGAAAAATATTCCCTGTACATCTGAGGGAATGCTATTTATTTCACACTGTGACCTTTCCTCATTAAGGCTTGATTGTGCTCCACCAAAGTCAGGATGTTTTGGAAGTAAATATCACTTTCAAGGAATCATACATGCATAATTCCCCTTACTCTTACAACTGTCAGCAATATTTGACTATTAAAATAAACAAGGAGAAAAAAAAAAAGATTTACATTGCAGCAGGAAACAGAATGACCCAGTCCTGATCCACAGAGAACCCAAATGCCTCACTGCAAATACAGGCGCAGATGTTTTAGGGTTTGACCTCTCTCTGTAAGGTCCCATTGCAGAAAAAAAAAAAGGAACAAAACAGCTTTTGCATGTTGCTGTGGGAAATACAGCAATTGTGCTCTCTTTAAAGCCCAGAACAGGGGGAGGGCTTTTTTTTTTTTTTTTTTTTTGTACATGACTGCACACTTTGCATGTGATATCTGCTTTCAGATTTGCATGAATATGTGATGTAGTAATCATAACTATAAAATAGTCTCTTCACTTTCCTTATCTTCCCCGTTGGGTGATACAATTAAAAAAATCATTCTTTTTATCACAACTTCTACAACCTAAGGAAAAATCTGTATTTTTTTAACACCACACAGATAGGCACCAGCAAAACAGGCATCCAAAGAGCGAAGTACAGGGCAGATTTGAACTGAGCGCGTGGAGGATTCTGCCAGAAGTAGTTCTGCCAAATGCAGAATCTTATTCAAAATCACTGAAAGAACAACAAAGCTCAGGACACCCAGGTAAATGTATGCTTTTAGTGCCCTGTCTCTGTTCCTCCTCTGCAGATCACAGTAATGTCTTGCTGACTAACTTTGTGCGCACGGGAGCTGTGCTGGTCCGGTCCCCAACCCACAGCTAGCTGGTGCTTCCACCTGTGGTGTGCAGTCTGAGCTGTGCAAAAGGAAGACAGGCAGCAAAAGGTTTTTTTGCTTGCTCGTTCCTTATAACTTTGGGCTAGGCTGTGTTTAAATAAAATTTCTGTTTCATTTGAATGATACCACAAATAGAGTAAACATTAAAATATGACAGCCTAAACAGCTCAACTGTTCCAAAATCAAAACAGTCTGAAAATACTTCCAAACATTCTCACAAGCAGGAAGGAAATGAGACTGTGGCACTGCTCAAGCCCTGCTCTATCCATCAGCAACCTGACTCAGCAGGCAGAACCCCTGCTGGTGTGCCCATCCCACAACCCCACTCCTTGCCCAAGTCCTGCTGGCTCTGGTTGGTGCAAGCAGGCTGCCTGTGCTCTGCATGCAGGGCCTGGCAGGAGATGTGCTGAGGCTGCTGCAATGAGTGCATCGTGTAGTGGCACATTTCAGAAACAGGTCTAACCAGACAATGTACATAATAACAAAAATTAATGCTGTCCAACCAGTGCTGGCTTCCCTTGCAGTACCTGACCCACTTCAAGGTTGATGGAATAATACATGGAATAATAATGAAGTCCTTAACAGACTGATTCAAGTCTCCGTTCAAGTGCAAACTTATGCCTGTAATGCATGCCTGTGACTGTCATCTTGCACAAGATGACTGCAAAATACCCTGGCAGACTGATGGCCTGTAATTCCCAGTACTACAGCTTCTCCTACAGCAGCAGCTGCTGCAATTACTGTACAGACTGTTTCTCTCCTACCCAGCCTTGGTCTGTCAAACAAAGACTGCAGCAGTGCAGTGTAACTGTGCAAAAGCCTGGCATCCTCACCGCTCTGCTACTAAATGGCAGACTCTTGTATTAGCTCCATTTTCTAGCTTTGAGCCTCACCATTAAGTAGAGAATTTGTACAGGCAGTGTGAGATTTGGTCAGAATAAGACTTTTGTGCTCACATTACACACACACAAAAATAAAAAATGTCAGTGCTACAGCTGTGCGAAAGCTGCTGTGGTGGTAAAACAAGTGGTTCAGGTGCAGACATTTTCCTACCTGGTCATGCAGTGTTAGAGAGGAACAAATGTGTATACAATGTGTCAGAAAATGGCCAGAAAGAGGCAGATGCTACAAACTATTGGAGGCAAATTTTCAGAGCAAATGTGTTTGTTAGGAGACAAATAAGCACTGTGCTCCACCCCAGGTGGAAGTAAGAGGTCACACTGTAGCACCACCATGCACCAATGCTCCAAGGTTAGGGGCGGAATCATCCTGGTGCATCAAACACCTGCAGGGAAAGTGGCTTCTGTGAGTGCTGCCATTGAAATCAATTAGGAAAAAACAGCAAGACAAAATGATTGGACAGTGAAGCTAGATTAAAATCATTTCAGCACTGAAGGTAATTATTCCTTAAAACTATTTACCAAGGGATGTGACAGATCCTTATTATTCACCCTGTCAGCTGAAGCTTGGTATCTTGCTGAACGGCAAGCCTGAATCCAAACAGGTTTTGTCAGGATGGGCTGAGCCGCTTTCTGCAGAGCAGGAGCTCTGACCACCAAGGTGCTCCTCAGCTGTACCATCACAGCAGCCCCCAGCCTGCAGCAGGCAGGCAGGCTGTGGGTAGGCCCTGAGTAGGCAGCAGGTAGGCAACTGCTCGGTGGCACACAGTGCCAGCAGGGGCACTTCTCCAGGTGCCTAGCAGATCTGCTTCTCGTGGGAACTCAGTGCCAGCTCAGTTTCCTTGGGAGTGAAGGAAGTTGCTTTGAGAGTTGAGGGGAAAGCCTGATTGCAAGTTTTGGCAGTCATGCTTGCCAGAGATTACCATGCTTGTGGCCGGTACCAACTTTCATGCCTCAGCTACACTATGCTTCCTGTTAGTTAAATGACAGACTTGGTTGGCCTGCATTCTTAAAATGCCTGTATGTTTGTGGCCATTTCACACTCTGGTGCAAAATCTAGGTTTCTCACATGGAAATTTACTCCTCTTAAACATGTGCATTGTTTTAAAAGTTATTTCTTTGCAGCATAAGTCTCTACTCACATGCAGTTTGCATACTTTCCAGACCCTTTGCATTGCCATACAAAGCCTTAGGTAGCAAGGTGAATGGTCTTTAGTCTAGGCTCAGCTATGTACTGGAGAAGCAGCTGGGCCTGTGTAAGAGATGAGAGGCATCCAGACGTTTGTCATCACAGCAGCCGTCCAGCCAGCCCTATTGAACAGTGAAAATGGTACTCACTGATCCTGCTGATTTTGAAACATGTGAGGAGTGAGTGCCCAGGTGATTTGTTTTGGACACCTGAAATATACCAGGAAGAGGGTAATTTCCATTTTAAGGATGGGAACGGATGTCTTTGAACTCTACAAGGCCATCTCTACAATGGCCACATGACTTAGCCTTAGAAAACACACATTATTTTCAGGGCTGCCAGTAAACATCCTCTTCCAGACCTGGATTTGCAGGCTAAGGATCCTGGAACTGGAACTGTCACTCCTGGAAATCAGGCCTCTTCCCTCAGCTCTGCAGGCTGGAATTATGCTGCTCTTTCCCAAATCTGCCCTGGACAAAGCACGCTGCTGGGCACAAGCCCACATCTGTCAGCTCTTTGAACTAACCCAGCTGACCTTGCCTGAAGCAGAGTATCATGCACTTATTCCCTGGACACACGCACCTTTTTGGCAGAGCTGTGCAGGTGGTAGCTCAGCTATGGTGAAAATGCAGAACTAGAGGGTGAGGGAGCAAGGCTTTCAAAGTCAAAGAGGCTTGCAACCTGAATACTCACAAGTGGTCTCTTAAGTCCTTAGGTTGTCTGCCCAGTGCATGTCTGGTTTTTCAGTTCTGCATAATAAACATCCCTGAAAATCACAACTGTCCTTCAGCCTTTACACAGCTTTCAATTCAACTTCAAGATTGAGTTCAAAGCAAAAAGTGACCTTTCTAATGGATTTTATATCACAACAATAAATTTAGACACTATTCTTCTTCAAAGTAGACAATTAATTGTAGTATCTTTACTACGCTATTATCTAAGGCCAACTAACAATCTTCATAGCCATCACCAGGCAAACACAAAAAATTATAGACAGCCTCATGTGAAAAAGTTCATAAATGATGTAGATAAGGCAGGTTACAGGGCAGGTGTGGCAGGAAGGAAGGTGTGTTTTCAGGACTAGGATTGTGGTTCTCAGACTTTCAGTCTGAAAAGTGCCCTAAAGCAAATGAGCAAGAATACATGCATTAGATATCCTGAACCTGCATAGCACTCCCATGCAGTGAGTCCCTTGGGTTTGCTGAATTGGGCCAATGTGTGTAGGGCCCATCTCTCTAAACAGCCATGCCATGGATGCAATTAAGGCTAAGCTTTTGATGTGAGTGAGGTATTTGTCTTACCTTCAGGAAATACCAAAATAAACACTGTCTTGGTGAGAGGACGTAGTATGACAATGCCTGGTAAAAGATATACTCAGAGGTAATTAGAAGACAAAGGACAGAAAAAACAAGATAGGATGAAAAACTACATACATTAGAGTGCAAATCTACATCTATGCATGACAGTGGTATCCAGATAGGCATACTAGATGTCTAGCAAAATCTTCCCAATAGAAATGTAGTGTATATTAACTAAGGTTTGTTACTAATGTACTTTATCCAAGCCTGATGTGCTGAAAAGATATTTGGACAACAGTAATAAGTTTTGCAGTGGTACTCGGAATGGCAGTCTATTTCTTAGCATCTCTTTCTGACCTAAATTCTTTCTAAGGATTGAAATCTGTGGTGGGCAGATCTCAATGCATACTTGGCTCCACTTACCTGGCTAGAGGTTATTTTATTCATGTCATTATTAAAGTCACTACTTAGATTTAAAATGCTTTTAAAGAGTTTGCAGATTCTGCCTATATGGCATAAGCCAAGAAATATTCTTCAAATGAGGCATACAAGTTGTGCCCAGCACTCCTGAAAATCATTTGCGTTTCATATATTTGTGATACTGCAAAATTTAAGCAAATAGCAAAGTTGGTACCATAGTAAAGATGATATGAATTTATAAAATGCTTCTCTTTTAATGTTGATAGAGAACACTAGTAGTGAATTTAAGACAATGTAAGACAATAAGAATGATTTTTGAAATATAATAATCTCCTTTTCAGTTCAAAATGATCCTGCTATGTCTAACTGGGGGTGGAGGAACAAGAATTCTACAAGCTACTTGCCTTTAATTTCCTTTTCCTATTTTTCTGGTTCTTCTAAATGATGAGTTATAACAACTACAGATGAGCGTGTGCTATCAGCAGAGACCTTTGCCAACCAGTAATATAGGTTCAAGTATATAATTCATTACTTTCTATTGGCTTCAGGATTTTAGTATTAAAGAACGTGAAAGTTATGAAATAATCACAATACATTGGGATTTTCAAAATGATGCAATTTCACTTTTTCATCAATATTACGTAATATTTCCTTCAATTTTACTTTAAAAGTCATCATAACAGACATCTCTGACATCTCCAGTATGCAGGATGCCTTTGTGTATTCACATATATTAGAAATACCTTGCATTCATTTGCCTGTGATGGAGGACGTTTGTCACTAGGGCTGCAGCCCGCACTCGCTGAGTCACAGAACGCACTATGTGTGGTCAGGAAGTGCAGGCTTGGTGCTGGTACTTGCCAGGAGCAGTACCCAGATGGAACCGTGGGCACCAGCAGCTGGGCTCTCCCAGGCTCCCTCAGGCCCGGGTTTGCTTTACTAAAGGCATCCGTGAATTCTCCTCAAAGATTTCCCATCTTATTTTGCTATTTTTTAAGCCAAGTAGGCATCTTAGCAGAAAAGGAATTTGACAGACATATGCGTAAATGAAAAACACACGGCATAAATGTTAACTGCAAACTTAGTCTCCAGCACCAGATTGTTCAGGAAAATAACAGCAAGAAAATTCCAAGGTGGTCCCACAGTGTTTCAGAAATAATAGAAGTGATGTTCCTATTGTAGCCATTTCATTGCTGAAATCCTGCAATTTAGCAATTCTTAGACACTGAACAACAGCTCAGCAAAGCCTGCTTGGTTTGCAAATTTCTTAAAACCAGGAGTGCCAAAGATTTTTTTTTTTCTGCCAAATTAGTTGATGTCAGCCAAATGAAAAGGTGTAAATCCTTTCCTCTTGTGCACTCAGTTCCTGTAGCAGTTCTCAGGACTTGACAGAGACTGAAATTACCTGCTATTAGCAACAAGAAAAAGTATGAGGCAGAATGCCAACTTCTAAATTAAACAAACAAAAATCCTTTTCTAGCTAGCTTTAAAGACAAGTATATTTCTTTCACACCTAGTGCTCAATACACAGTCAAGTTTAAGCGAGCAGCTGGAAAAGTACCAAAGACATATATACTTACATGCATTTTTGAACACATCCCAACGATCTCTGAAGACAGCCCTCTCTCCATCTCTGAGCCAGCTGGAAAACTGGGAGCTGGGAAGATTTTTTTTATCAGAGTGGAAAAGCCTAAAGATCATTGCACAAGTCCCATCAGCATCATGCTGGCACGGTTGTCTTTCGAGAAACACATCTAGAGAATTTTGTAATTAAATTCTCTGCTTAATTTTAATGTAGATTTTCATTCAAGAAGATTGATATGTTTTTTTGTTTTGTTTTGTTTGATTTTTGGATTTGCTTTTCAGGACTCCCCTAACTTCTTCAGGAAATTATTCTAGTGAACAGAAGTCCAAAAAAGCCTTTTCTCAAGTGCATCCATTATCTTTAATAACACATTCTGAATTGTTCTTCAGTATGAGTAAGAAAACAACAGATAAATAAGCTCTTTTCTGAAAGAAAGAGAAATGACTAAAAATGACTTGTTTATTGCAGTTTTCTGTAACTGTGGTGCACCATATGCAGGAACTGGGATGTTTCATTGTACACTGTGGTCCCAGTAAATATAATAATGGTCTTATTAAGCAGTAATGCATGTTGTTTACTGACAGGAAAAAATGTACATGTCTGTAAGAAGTATTATGATATTCCAGACTTGCTTTATAGTATTTATAGGAAAGCACCCATAAAGAAGAGAGGAACTTCAGAGTCCAGCTCTTCAAACCATCTGCCAAATTCCTAAAACCTTGCTAGAAAGCGAGGATGGTTCTGAAGGGGGCTAAAGAGATGAAAAAAAAATGACATAGTTAAATAGATGCAATTCCTTCTACGGTATATTAACCGTCTTCCAGGCTTCTATGAATCTCCTGCTAAACCTTATGGGGTGATACATAAGCCTATGCTAGAAAACTGCTTCTCTAAGTTCGGAAGGACATGCTGATTCACTGGCTCCCTAAATCTTCATATTTGGTGTTTTTATGCTTTGGCATTCAGTCCTACACTAGCTGTAGAACTACATGACGGGGCATGCTGGGTAACTCTGATTTTCCACCACTTGGCACAATGTTGATGTGCTCCTGTCCCCTGCCAATGGTGAGAGGCTGCTGAGACCTCACAGTCAATTCACTCTGGTACTTCTTCCTATTCAAAGATGGGAGTGAAGAGGAGCTTGCCTCCCTTACTTTGGTGAAAGCGCTGCTGAAAAGCCACATATTACTATAGTGTTCCACATACAGAGAAGACAGATCAGCAACGGGAAGAAAAATGAATACAGATGCCATCCTACGAGCCCTTGCCCACAGCTTGTTCAGAAAATACCTCAGACATTCTGCAAAACTCTGAACAGCGGCTTGCTCAGAATATACCCATCCAGTTTTAATATACTTCAGTGGTAAGATTCTTCTCAGACAGGAGCCCCAGCTCCTGTCTTAGAAAGGTTAACAGAAACAGTACAGAAATGTTATTTACCATCAAGATGTCCAAGATTTTCTGGTCATAATTCAGTAGAGCCTAAAACACTAGAACTCTTTCTTCATATCCTTTTACATTTTTCCTTTTTTTCCTAGATATTCATCATCAAAAAACGAGTGCCAGCCATCTTCCCCTGCAGAGAAGTCTGTACCATACCAAGCATTTCCTTATGTAGTTATACCAAGCTCTTTATGCATGTGTTAGCATTAGCTTGTGAAAATATTTTTTGGACTTTCCCTTCTGATCAAAACTCTTTGCATCTACTTCTGTGGCTTCCTCCTGTGTGCAGCTGTGTCAGACATCAAGGTCTTTGAAACCGTCACGGTGCTGAACAGAAGACCAGGCAGGGCAGGCTGCTGTCACTGCTCTATAGTTGTTACTTGCACCAGACGTCTTCCTTTAAAAAAATATACATATTTATATGCACATATTTATATACACACATACATGCATATATATTTATTCTCAGTAGCCTTGGTTTGCTTAACAACAATAGATATTTTAAGATACACCTCATCATTCATAATAACATATGTATTACCAAGGCTTATTTGTGAAGGCCTTTTAAACTTGAAACTTAAACATTTAATTAAAACTTAATGTGTTTTTCAGGCCTGCTTGCGTGGGGCCAAGCTGGAGGTAGAGCTTCAGAGCTCAAGTCTCCTTTCTACAGCAGTAAGGAAAAATGGTGCCTCTCTCCAGATGACAGAAATTTAAGCATTAGAGCAGAATTTTCCACACAGTGTTCTCTCTTTGGTATTACGTGGTAGGTGAAATGAAGAGGATTTTGCTCTCTGTTTTAATGATGACTTGTGTCAACAGCAGAATTTTTCATTCAGGGATTTCTCAGGGCCATAGGAATGACTTGGTTTGAAGGACTGTGCGTCCAAACACACAAATTACCCAATAAAATCTATTATTTTCCTCATGCTCAACAATGCTAGCTCTATGAATCAAAAGCTCTGTTGGCTAATCCCATATCTTAATTATAATTTAGTGACAAGTATGGATTTGAAGGATTCTTTGGGGTTAATTTGACCGTATAGTTTTCAGGTACTGGAAAGATGTTCTAGCAATCCTACCTCATTTTCCCTTTGTTGAAGTGTTGTGCAAGTGTTGTGCTTACAGTACTCAAGAAAATGTCATGGTGATATGAATAATCCTGAATGCAGGACAGCTTGTTCAGAGTTACCTAATACACAGCGTTTGTCAGAGCAGCACAGAGCTGGGCACCCTGCTCTGTGGCAGCAGCCTGCTGCTCAGGAACAGGCATTGATCTGGGGTCAGAATACTTCACTGCAACTCCCTCTCCTAACCCTCAAGGAGAAGGAACCAAGTCATATAACTGAGGATGTTAGTCTGTATTAGAAAAGTGGCCTCAAACCTGATTAATAACTCCTTCACCTTAGGTTTGGAAGCAGGCAATGAAACCTTCAATGCCCATACTTAAACATGAGGGGAGAGAAGACATACTGCCTTACTGCACTAAGATGCCCCAGCAAGCTGCATGCCTGAAACTCCATTATGGATTTTTGCATCTGAATGCTTCCACAGGATAAAATGAGGAATGAAACTGTTGGCTTAGAGGCAGCAAAGGAAATCTGGTAAGCAAAGGAAACCAGTGCAGTGTGGAGAGTGTTGTATTAATGGCCAATCCTTTGAAAGAATTGTTGCTATAGACTGGGGTTGGCTTTACCTGAGTTTCTACTTTCAGCTGTAGTTAAGATGATAATAACTAGCCTATACACGTTACTGGACAGCAGGATTACTATTGTTTTTAACATATTACACCATCAGACAAGCTGTTGGGAGAGAACAGCTGGACAAGTTGGAGCTAGCCTCCTCTCAATTAGCTGTTAATGATTCTGTTTCTCAGTAATGAACTCACATCCCTCCAGTTTTACATCTGTACTAGTTTATTTCAGCTAACAAAACAAGATCCAGAGTACTTATCTGTTGACTAGGAGCCCCAGAGCTGTATGCTGAATCATCTTCCCTACAGCCTCACTGTACATTGCTCTACTTTTCTGTTTTCCCTTAGGAAAATGTGGGCAACACCATTTACCTGCATTACAAGTATCACTTTTACAAGGCTTTGAAGACATGGTACAGTTCAGTCTAATAACTGATGATTACTTTAAACAGAGCACAGGCCCATCAAGCAGAAATAAATATTTTAAAACAAATTAACTGTTTAGTTTTAACCAATTTATCATAGGTGTTTCTATTGGTAAGTCATTGGTAGAGGACTGAGAAGATGCCTGGAACTTAGGGCTCCTCACCTGCCTGGCAATGATTTCTAGCTGCTTGCGTATAATGCACAGTGTGTGGCTCAGATTTTCCCAGTCAAGGTTCATTTGGAGCTGATTTGTTTGCATTGCAGTGCTTTATAAATAGCAGGCATCCCCTTTCCCAGAATGCTATTCTATCAAAGTAGGGAAAAGAAGGGAGAAAAGAAAGGGGGAAGCTCGCCAAGCAGCAACAAAGGAGCATGCAGAGCCACTGAGGGGCTTCAGGCACTGCTGTGCATGCAGCAAAGAGGAGAAATTACTCAAAGAAATGTACAATCCTGCACACTTTGAAACAATTACATGCACACAAATTACAGCATGCTTTCTGTCCACACAAACAAATTACAGTGCATTTGCTGTCATCTCCATATTATTCCATGCAGCCAAAGATAGCATTGCTCCTCTGAATTGTAATTTGTATTACAGTACAGCTCCTGTTTTACATATGCATAGCTGCTTCATCCCACTTCACTAATTCCACAGCCATATCTCAGAGTAGTTTTTGTCCCCCATCCAGGAAAGCCCACAACTTGGATTTCTCTTGCTTTCAGCAGTAAGTGTAGCAGTCCTGGTGGGGATGAGGAGCAAAGCAGGACAGCACACTGCAGTAAGGGGGCAGCTGCACTTGTAAGAGATTTTTTTAAAGGCCAATGACCTTCCCACATTTGGGCAGATCTCTCCTCTATCTGTCATGAGGACAATGGTAATTTCTAAGCAGATAACAAATCTGCACAGAAGCTTGGGCTGCACACATTGACTGGTTGGTTCTGATCCTGGAGCTGAGCACCAGCTATTTATCTTGCTTCTTGGACAGCTTTCACAATCTTTGTCAAGTTCTTTGTTGCTTCAACTGAACTGCTTGATCTGGATGGGGCAGGACTAGTTCAAGTGCACTACAGAGAGGTGCAAATAAAAATTCTTACTCTAAAAAAAATAGCCTTTCAACAAATCATTTGTCTTAAAATAAAAGAGAGACATTTAATCCCTAGCCTCATTCAAAGAGCAACTATTTGGAATTATTTTTGCTGAAATCAAGATGGTCCAAATTAGGTTTCAAAAGATTACGTTTGGCAAAAGTAATTATCAAAGGAAAAATCAGTCATAAGGGGAATTGCTGAAAATCTGAAATATATATAGCTCCACATTAGAATTAAAAGTCTCAGTTGTATGTTTACCACCCAAATCAGTGCAAAACCAAGCACAAATCCAAAATCAGAACAAAGTCTGCTATTGTCCCTGAATTACTCCATAAGAGGTTTTGGATAGACACAGCATGTCCTATACAGATCAAAATGGTACAGTGCATTTTCAGGAGGGAGTCTGGACTACTAAAATTACTCTTCTTTTTTTTTTTTTTTTTTACCATTGCAAAAGGTACTTCCTGTTGCTGAGGATTGGTGTAATCAGCCACAACAGAAGTTGGGCCAACAATTTAAACTCTGTGGTGAATCTTTTCAAGCATCTAATTGTATTTATTCTGGCTATATTTATTCTGTTTTGGGCCCATAATGGAGGACCTACTTGCATTATGATCTAAACTCACTGTGTAGAGACACATAAAGATAGGCAGCACAGCTTCAGAAAGTGCACAGAAAGATCTGTCTTCTTGACTTCTTGGTGATATAGGGTTAACCCTTCTCTACTCTCCACATCATCTTGACAGACTGTGCCTTTCAAGTTCATTTATCCTAATTGGATGCAGGGGGTATTTCAGGAATGAAAGGAAAATTAAGGAAATGGTAAGTAATTCTCCATCAGGACCCAGCAGTGCAACAGCCACGCTCCCATCACAGAGCACAGCTCACTCATCCCTACCCAGTCCTCCCCGACAGATGGTTGGAGAGTCAGATGCTAGTTAGATCATCACCAACACCTACAGTTTCAAAAGAGAGAGATCAAAAAGGAGATTACAGTTGTAGGTGGAGACACAGAAAACGCAAGGCTAAGTTACAGTGCCTCTACTTGCTATCAGCTGGTCTATATCTGAGTTTCTTATCCTACCAACTCACCCTACCGCAGTCAGGCAGGTCGTGAATTCTTCAGGTAAGCCCTTATCCCTTGTAACAAATAAAAGTGCCATAACAACCAACCAACACCTACCACCTCCCTCTCCCCTTACAGGATGAACAGAAGTCTTCATCCCAGCGTACTTTAAAGGATCCACCAGCACACACTGCACAAGGACACAAGCATTTTATTCTCTCAGTCTTTCTTTTCCCATAGCATTCATTTGCACTTTGCTAGAAGCTAAATTTTGTCCTTAAAATTTACTTCCTTCTAGCTCCTTAGCCATCCTTGCTTGAACATTTAAAAACTCATGGCTAATAGCCTTTCTACGTAACAAATCCACTGTTTCCTTAGAACCCCTAGCCACCTCTCTCTGCCTTTTGCTCTTCTCCTATTATCACAGATTTCCACCAGGATTTTCCATTAGCATTTACCACTCTCCATTAACTTATAAATTTTATCTGTCTTCCTTAAGTGACGAAAACGTTTGTGTACCTTCCCATTTTCCTAAAGTGCAACGCTGTCAAAGCTCAGGCCCAATTCTTCTTGGGGATCATGGGAGCTGTAATTCTCTGAAAACCAAGCCTGTGGCCCCTTAAAGCTATCTGCAAAAAGGGATAGCAAACTTCACCTTCTCATAGAATTGATCCAAGTATTTTTCAGGCACAAATAACTGTAAGCTTTTCTTATGCTGTAAGTTCTATCCCAGAAAATTTGAGCAAATTTATTTCTTAATCATGACATGAGAAATCTAGGTATGTTATATACAATTTTATGCAAAATATTACCAGGAGGAGTAAAAAAAGGAAGGAGGCTGAATGTTACATCTGAAGTACCAAGAAAGTGTCTGTGGAAGGTGTCTCAAAGGGAAAGGGTAGCCAAAGAGAAAGCTCACTAGATGAAAGAGGCTTTCAATTTGAAATAAGGCTGGATGTGATGGTGACTGGGGCAGAACTCAGACAAGAGGAAAGTAAAACCATCAGTTTAGTAAATAAGATTTGCAATTTAACAGTTACAGGTTTATCTCAGATCAATGACACAGGAAACCTGAGTCACCTCTTAAAGACAAAGCCTGCATGTATCTAATACAACACAATGGAGTTTAGATGAATTATCCCTTCTAAGGGTAAATTAGTAGTTTCTTACAATATTTAAGTCAAGTATTATGAGTTTGAGGAACCTCATGGTGGCAGGCTTTTCCTTTGGCCTGAGTTGTACATTCTCCAGCATGAACCTAATGCCTCTCGCCCCTCCACCACTGAGCACCTATCAGAAAAAATTAGGTTTCATCTTCCATGTTCCCAGCAGTCAGATGTAATCAGTGCTCAGATCCTCCCTGAGCCTCCTCAAAGCTAACCAAAGGCACTTCCCTCACGTTACGCTGGGATGCCATGTGCCCTGGGTCCTCCTCAGCTCAGGGGGTGTTCACAGGACTATGCTTAGGCAATGTAAAAAAGTGCATAAAATTATTTGCCATGACTTGAGCTAGCACTGCACTGCACCTTCCCTGTGCCCTGGTTTCAGCCTAGACAGTGCCAGTCACACACCAATGTTTGCTGAGTGAAGGATGTGCCTTCAGGCCAGGCCAGGCCTCTCAGTCAGGAATAACTGCTGCCATGATGGTGTGAGGCAGGGGGTGGCCACAGGATGGACTGAGCCAGGTTGCATGGGTTGCACATGTCTGATTTTTTCTGTTATTGTCACTTTGACATTAATGGGGATATGTTGCAGAATTACTTTGAGTTTTTGAGCTGCGTCCTTGGATACTTTTATTACATAGCTGATTATAGGTGACATGAACAGTACCCTTCTTTTTAAAGCACAGGGAAGGACAGCAGATGGAAGAGAAATATACTACAGACTCTGCAAATACAACCTTGCTTAACAGCACAACCTGTGCCAACTAGTATAAAACTATTTCTTCATTTGACCCAAGTACCTTGAAATTTGTAGTTACTTTTCTAAAAGAACAAGACCCCAGAAAGCAATCAGGCAGCTTCATATGCTAATATGTTCAAACTGCATGGCTTTGAGTACAATACAGATGTAATACCACAGCACCAAAGATTGATGAGCCTTGGCTTTTACCCATTTTTGCATTATTCTTTACTGCATTCTTCTAGTCTCCTGGATAATCATGCTGAATGTGAGCTACAGCAGAAATGAGCCTGGCCCATGCAATCATGACAAATGATTCTTTGTAGCTTGTTGCAATGATGTTAAAGCTGGAACAAATTTCATTAACCAGCAATCAGAAGCCAAAATACCAGTAATGAACTATTTTCTATTTGGAAAACAAAGACACTGGATACCTACTGTCAAAGGTACAAAGTGATACAAGGGCTAAGCTAAAGAAAATACCCAGAGGATATGCACAAAGACTATAAATAGAAAGTTTTGTGAAGCAAATGTAAACACAGGGTTTGTTTCTCCTTTGTATTACACGTATTTTCATTGATGCAGTCCTGATTTCCCCAGGCTCAGAAATTAATAATGCCCAGGAAGGGAAATGCCAGGAGAATACAGAGCAATTCAAGCACAGGAAGAGATTAACTACATGGGCAGCATACATGGAAAGAGGAGGGAAGGGGAATGATGCCAAAGGCTATCCAGCTCTGTGAACAAATCATTCATTTCTTAAATTCCCTCCCCTTCAGTGTGGTAAAGGGCACTTGTGAATAGGTTTTGGATCTCAGCCGGTAACTTTTCTTGACAGTTTTGCAAAGCTGATTTAAATACTATTGACACAGTCTTACATCTCCACCTCAGCTTAACAATTAACCAGAGGAGGTGGGTTTTTGAAAACCTCCTTTAGGGTAAGGCCTGTACTAGTACAATTTCACTGAAGTTCAGTGAACCTACGTTGATGACATTTAAATTTTGCCACAGAATTCATATATAACTGTTTGGGTTCTTAAATACATCTATCAAAAATGGAGCCATCCAAACAATGCAGGATCTCACATGTTCTATGTTTATTTTTATTTGTAATCGAGATTCTACATCTGCTGTCTTCATGGTTTGGTAGCATGAGGTACTGGAAGCCTACCAATACATATTTATATAACTTCTCTTTTGGTCTCTTTTGGTCAAAGGACAGATTCCTTTTCTCTTCAAGTCTCTAATAAGTCACCGCAGGCTGTCTAGACTAATATGAATACATGATATCTCAACAACGAATGTGAGGCTAAGTTTAAAGTAAGTTTACTAAAAAGAACAGTGTACTGGGGGTCTTTAGTGACAGAGATTGCTGGCAACCACTTGGAGAAAGTATTCTGTTATTGTGGTGGTATTTTGGGCTCAGACTGAAATGTTTAGAATGTGATCTCAGACGGTTCCAGCAGCAGACCTTACACATGGCTGTTCACATATGGCTCTTTGCTGTAGCTAATAATTGCACGACAGAAAGAAAAAGTAATAAAAAGGAGGATGTCCTTGCATACACAGACTAAGAAAGTCAGCGACTACATTTTCCAAGTCTGTAACCAGAATTTATAAACAGCTATATTGCCTACTTTCACATCTCGTCTAATTGAAGAAAAAACCTTATACAGTTCTTGCAGTCAGCCCATTTATTTTGCTGAACTATCTGTGCCCAAGGATGCTGTTTATTACTGGCTGGGTAGAAGTACAACAAAAGGCCAGAGAAAATTGCCTTTTGATATTATTGTTTTTGTCAGGTATGGATGAATATCTTTTTGGCAAGGCCACAGCAGCCCATTTCTGAATTAACTGACCTTTTGACACAGGGGTAGAAGAAACATAAGATACAAGCACTTCACTGTCAGGAAGACTGCAGAGCTTTACAGGGGTTGCATAACAGAACTTGGGCTGCTGTTTGGCTTCCAGACACATCACATTTAGCAATTTGTACAGGACAGGTACACCTGATCTGTACTTAATCCAGTCAGCCCATCAGCACTTTGGTGCTTATGGAAAGGAAAAGCTGTGCATTTGTGAAGACCACTGAGGACTTCCCAAACTTTGTCCTCAGACAAAGATCACTCGCAGAGGAAAATAACACTGTCCAATTCTGTCTGAACTTATCTCCATCTGCCCTAGTTGGTCCGGGAGGCAAGAAACCCTTTGAAACCAAAGCATCTTACTCCAACCTCTCCTTTGCATATCCTTTGCATTTACTTGCCAAAGCAGGTGGCATTTTGCTCCAGGCCACTACAATGGGTCAGCTTGTGTCAGTATACACTGAGAAGCTTGAATACACCGCACCAGGAGCGATTATGTTCACAAACAGATTGAGAAAGGGAGTACTGTTGTCTTCATTTGACACAGAGTGGGCTGAGATTCAGAAACATGTAGGGTGTTCTGTCTCTTAAATATTTTATGAATTGTAGTACTGATTATGAAAAGATCTGTGCCAGAAGAATAACAAATAACAAATAATAAAAAAAGTCACAGCAGAAGAATATTATAAATCTTCTATCTTGCTTTATGTTCTCTTACTTGGATGGCTTCCGTTGTTCAGCTAGAGATGGGAAAGGTGATGAGGACACATCGTGGCTGTGGACTGCAAAGGGCCACCAATGACCTGCTTATGAGCAGTTTGACTTGAACAGTCTTCATCCAATTTTCTCCCATAATGCCAAATAAACCTGGAAAAAAACAACAGAATCAATTCACTAATCAAAGGAAGGGCTAAAGCAACAATCATTAATTCGATTCCAGTATGAATTATCTTGTGGAATACAAGTTATACAGGCTTTAATTTGAACTTCGGATAGATTTCCTGAATTGCATCTCTAAACCTTTTTGACAGTCGCTTATCTTTGGTACAAAAAATAATCAGATCGCTTATTTAGGCATTATGCAAACCGTAAGAAAAATTAAAGATATTAAAGTATTTACTTACTTAATTTGCAAATCTTTGTACTCATTCAAGTATTATAAAATAAAATTAGTAGTTTTAAATGTAAACTGGAAGCAACAAGCAGAAATACACAGTTCTTAGAAGATTTAGCATTCATCTTCTCCCATTTTATACAGCTTTGCCTATCATGGGGCTGTGGGTGAGACTTTCTGCCCCTGTGGATGACAGGCAGCTCTCCTGGACGTTTTTCCTTAAAGACCCATTCCAGTGGATGGATGCAACTCTTGAAAAAAAAGAATTAAAAAATCACCTTTTCCCTTTTGTGAGTGTGTAAGGGCAAAAAATACTGGGGCACAGGAGAAGCAGAAGTGGGCTGAGGCTGAGCTGCTCAAGGGCTGGGCAGGCACCACCGGCAGCACCCACCGCTGGGCCATGATGTGGTGCACTGCAGGTGTGCCTCAGCACAGCCAACAGGCATCTGCCGTGCTGAACAGCATCAGCTCTCACGGGCACATACTTACATAAATATTTGGTATTAACTGGGAAATGCAGAGGGCTCTGTGCACACATTGGACTATGTGAAGGCATAGCTAGCTAGGCGTGCATCAAGCTTTTATCATTTCTTTCAAGCCCAACTCCAGGCAGCATTTGGCTGGAGACCGATTTTGAGAAAATCTCTGCTCGACTGACCAGAGAGGCCCCATGAGAGCCTGTGAGGTAGAAAGAGAGGTCAGGAGAAGGACTGTCCTCATCGAAAAGGCATCACCAAAGCTCAGTGCGGCGTTACCTGCTGCGTGATGCGGCACCTGCGGGGCAGAGCGATGGAGCGAGATGCTCCGTGCCACGGAGGCCACGGCAGGGTGCTCCCACCGCGTACCGCCTCGCGAACGGACACCCCGCCGCCTCACACCTTCCCCAAAAGCCGTCGGCCGCGGAGCCGCCTCGAGCAGTAGGGCAGGGCCTCGCCGTGCCACCGCCCCCGGGCCGCCTCGGGGGCCGGCGGCGCCGGGAGGGGAGGCGGCCCCCGGCGGCGGCGCTGGGCGGCGGGAGGACCGCCTCGGCGGGCGGCGGTGCCGCGGTGCCCGGCGCCGGGAGGGCGGCGGCACGATGGTGAGCGGGGACGGGGAGGGGGTCGGGGCGGCCGGCTGCCTCTCGGCGGGCGGCAGCGGCGGCCGCACAGGCTCGGCTGCGGACGGGTTGCGGGGTCGTTGGGCGGTCAGCCCGTACCGCTTGCGGGCTGCCGGGCGACATCGGCGAAGTAGCGTGCGATGCGTCTGCTCCGTTCTGCTTCACGCTCGTAGGAGGCTAAGATAACGGTTACGCTTTTCACTGAGAGATGCAGTGCCTGACAAAAATTATTGCAGTGGGAGGGCACGTTTGGGCTGCAGTTGGAAAATCAGTGTATCTTTTCCGTGTTCCTATTTGCTTTTGCAGTATGGATTTATAAATACGTGCCTGAAGTCTTTGGTGGTTGATAAGTATGGTGAAGAAATATGGGAAAAATTAAGGTAAGGTGTTTGCAATAAATGCAGTGCGATGTAATGAAAGAAAATGTTCACAAATTTAGCAGAAGATTCTAATTCCTTACTGATAAATGGCAGCTGATGTGTATCTCAGATAGTTATTAGAGGTAGGTAACAGGGCAAAAGCAAGAGTTCTGGTATTAATTTGTTCAAATTAATTTGTTACACTACATAATTAAGCATGACATTTTGTCTTACGGACAATTGTGTGATAGACTCACTGTGACAAAAATCTGAAAGTAATTACACTGAAGAGCTGTCATTCTCAATAAGAAGTCAGTTTCATTCCAGTACCTTCTGGAAAACAGCTAAATATATAATCTTTTCTGCTTTCGTCATTACTGCATGAGCATTCTGGCATTTTCCAAGAGCTGAAGATATACAAATGGTACTTAGATATTCACATAAAATAGCCACTGAAGCCTGTATAAAAATTCAGCAGGTTTTTGGTCAAGACTGTGGAGACCCAAGGGCTTGGTAATGAGGCCCTATTGAGCAACAAGCAAGTAGAGCAGGAGACAGACTAACGCACTAATTGCTCCAGTACCTCCACATTAGGAGTTGAACTCAATGATCCTTTATGGGTCCTTTCCAACTTGGGATATCCTGTGATTGTATGGTGCCCTAATCCTTGAAGAATTTGTCAGAATGCATTAACATGAATTAGCAGAAATGTGGAGGCAGATACACTCTTAAACCATTACTGAAAGTAGTGTGTTTCAATATAATGTGTGAAGAAGTTTACGGAATCAGTGAGCTAAGTAGTGTTTAATGAATGCTGATTTGGTCATCCAAGCGTGTCATACTTACAACACCACTGAGAGAAGGATATTGTCTTTTCTGTTGCAGACTCCAGGCTGGAGTTCAGGATAGTTTCTTGACTTTTGGAGTTTACAAAGATGAGATCACAATGCAACTTGTTGACAAAGCCTGCAAAATATTAGGTATGTGTCACCACACCTCAAAAATAAACCCTCCAGATTCACTCCTGAGACTACATCCCAGGTTTTGGGCGCCTCTGCTCTTCAGGATGCCTTTCCTATGTTGCAAACATTCTGCATTCACTCTTAATCCATCTGACAGTAATACCAGAATTTCCAAGCCTTTTGTATTCATTAAGATATTATCTTGCCAGGTGTTCCTGCTGATATGGTTCTGAGAGAGTTTGGAGAGTATTTCTTTGAATTTTGTAAACGTTCAGGATATGATCACATGCTGAGAACACTGGGTGGAAATTTGTATGAGTTCATAGAGAACCTGGATGCATTACACAGCTACCTGTCCCTGTCTTACCAGGCAAGTTCAAGTAGTAATTATTGAGTGGGTATGTGTGGGCTCTGACAGTTTGCAAACCAAGATACAGCAAGCACATTGTAGGTATGAATGAGTAAGGGAGAAAGAGGCCATAACAGCCTCTACTGTGTTCTGAAACTCATTCATCCAAAATGTTAGGTCAAGTTTTTTAAAATATTCTTTTCTGAGTAGTTCTCAAAATTAGATATTATTTAGCATATTAACTCCACTGCGTAGGAGATAACCCTTCACAGTTGAGCATATTTCATTTTCTGTATTTTAGCTTATTCATATTACTGCTGGTTTCATTGAGGCACGGGATGCTTTTATACAATTGAAATTTACCATACTCCTTATCAAAGAAGGATACTGAAAGTTGTTCTTTTGTCTCATCAGGAGATGAATGCACCATCTTTCAGAGTAGAAAAGAATGAAGACGGGTCAATGCATTTACATTACTATTCAGATAGAAGAGGTCTGTACCATATTGTGCCAGGTAATACAGAGTACAGATCAACTGGTCTGCAGTGTATGTATGGACTAATCGTATATTTGCAGATATACTTTTCTCAGGTTTCAGGATCTTTTTCTCAGATGAAGACTGGCCAAGAGATTCAAACCTGGTAAGGTTTATTCATCAGACAACAGACCTCTGTATTTCCCTGCCTGCCTAATCACTTGTAGCTACCAGTGGCTTCCACAAGATTTGCAGCATGCCAACCCAGCCCTTAAGTGTCTGTTCCTGCTATAGAATTCCTTTGGTGAAAGGAAAATTGAATTTCATGTATGTATTGATGTTGATTGATTCTCAGTAATTCATATTCTTTAAATTACAGTGAATAGCAGCGATAGTTTGAAAACATATGTATAATCCTTAGATATGTACTCCTGCAGTACATGCAATTTTGTAAAACTGCTGTTGGGCCCTGCTCAAAACTGAATCTTATTCTAGCATTGGTAGGAGTTAAGATCTTTTAACTTTGGGAATCTCCACAATTATTCTAATGCAAGGGTTAAATATCTAGAAGTATGTAAGAGATAATCAGATTCACTTATTTCTTAGGTGTTTCTAAATGAAATATTTTTATCAACTCCCCCTCCTTTCCCTCCCCCCCCCCCAGCACTCCGTATCAAAATTCATTTCATATTCCTCTTGAAATACAGTTACTTGGAATTTTCATGTCATTGTCCAGTATTTCACTTAGTAGCTAAGAAGAAATGAGAAAACAGATATTGCATCTTCGTGAAAGACTTACTTCAAATGAAAAACATTCTGCACAACTCTAGAATATTCTGCAGATTCTATTTCGTATTCTACTGAAATAGATTGTTTTAACAGAATCTCTTTAGAGCCTGTACAGTTCTGGAGCTTTGGGAATTTGTATTTTTGCTATGTATGACATTTGGTCACATTATTCAGGTATTCTTCTGAGCTTTTTCTAGTGAAAGTAAGCATTTGTCATCAGACAAAGCAAATAAATAAAAAAAATAACCCAAACTGTAACCTTAAAGAATATCTCATATGTACATAATCTCACAGTGATTGTGACAGTGGTTGTAGGAACAACATAGGTAACCACCGGTCGCTTTCTTCTTCCAGTCTCATTTGGAAAAGTAATTCCTGAAACAGTGAAATATCAATGTGAGCTCACTGAAAGGGAAATGGAAAGATTTTGTTATTGGCAATGTTGTGTTTTTTGTCTTGCTCTCAGGAATCATTGGTGCAGCAGCCCTGGATTTTTTTAACATTGAGATTTCAATGGAAATAGTCAATCAAACAGAAGAAGAAGAAAGAACTGGGAAAAAAGAGCATATTGTTTTTCTCGTCACTCAAAACCCTGTACTTTCATATAAAGAAAGAAATAAATTTTCTTTCTCACCTCAATATCTTGCTGAGTCTGAAAAACAAAATGATACTCAATTGAACAATAAGGTATTTTAAGATTCATTATCATTATATCAATAAAATACGATTAAAATAATAGACCATTGAAAATCCCCTTGGATTTATTTCAACAGGATCTTGAGAAATCAGAGAATACTATTAGAGGAGGCTCGGTTTGTCCTGTCAAGAAAAGTCACTGGAAAACAATAAGAGGAATAATCACATTAGGAAAAGGTGAGAACATTCGGAGTGAGCTTGTCATTATCTATGAGTCTTTTCAGTAAGAAAGTCAGTAAGCCTTGCTGTGTCCCCCCACCCTTCCATGTTGAAGTTACCGTTTGTGTTTCCTCTTCTTCTTTTCAAGATGTTTCTGGTTAAGCTTCTTTCAGTTAGGCACTGGCAATCAAAAAAAAGAAGTGCAGATAATAAGCACGCTTACTAATGACAGATACTTAAATGGAATATGACCTGTCACTTTTGTCTCATAAACAGTCTTCTGAAAAGTGTTCTATAAAATACCATTCTGTGGAATGTCTGATACTTCCCTGTCATGTCACAGTGTCTAGGCTGATGAATTTAAGAGAGTGCTTTTTTAACCTCGTTACAGCTATTTCTTCCAACTGTAGCAAATTGCTCTGTGCTTTTTGTATGGTTAAGTTTTAAACCTGGCCATCTCATTATAATGTAGAGTCCTGTCTTCCAGAATGTAATGCTGACTGGTCTTATGAGGTGCAGTGTGACTGAAAACTATATGCTTATCTTGCCACAGGTAAACTCCTGAGAGGATTTGACCCTGTTTATCCCAAGACTCTCTGGATTGACACAAAAACATTTTGCAATGGGCTTCCTTTTCATATGGTTTTTGACAAAGAGGTAGGACAGCAATATAGTAAAGGCATTTGTCTTAAGCATATAGTTATTTCCTGCTGCTGTGACAGTCCTACAGATCGTTCCTGTGTATGTTCTCTATACAGAGCACATTCCTTTTCAGCATTTACAGAAGTGCTTTGTACAGAGACATGAAATAAAAGTTGCTCACAATAACAACAACTTAATTTTCTACAATAGAAATCACCTTCGACTTTATTGAGATCCCCACATATGAAACAGTCACAGTTATGCCAACAAGGTATATTGTAGCAGTCTACAAAACACAGAACAGAATTTTCTGAGGTTTCTGGCAACTTTCCTGTCCTCTCATGTGCCAGAGACATGATCCATCCTTTAAATTGGCTTTGCATTTAACAAGCTAGTCTCCCTTCTCCCAGTTAACAATCTGTGCTAAGGCTTTCATAAGGCTTGCTTTGCAGCTGAAGCCCTGCATGCTTTCTGAGACTCCACAGCAGAAAAGCCCAGACATCTACTACTTTCTATCTAGTAGGAACTGGACCCAGAACTTTATCTTGCTGTTTGAATCTTTCATATACATATATTCTCCAGAGCAGTGGAATTGCCTTACCCTTTGCAGGGGCTACTCTGTGGATAGTTTCCAAATATCCTGTGCCCCCAACAAGCTACAGTACCTCTTGCTCCCAGTTTTGTGCAGAAATTAGCTTAACAGAGGAGAGACAGGAGAATCTGAGAACAGAACTGCAGAAGATAGCTGATTGCAGCCATTCAGGAACATGTTCTGGCATCGTGCTGATAGAGAATATGCCACTTTCTACATTAGCCAAAGTTTATCTTCTAACCTTTTGAGAAATTCTTTCATGATAAAATTCCTGGTGTGGAATAAGGGCAACTCCTGCAGCCATTATTGGTAGCTGGATTAGAGTATTCTTGATGACAAGGATTGATGGCAGAGTGGACATTTCTGCAGGAGTTAAAAGCTCATATATGGTCATCAGTCTAAAAGAGAATGACTGAACCTTTACACAGTAATGGTTAAAAGAAGATAATCAGTAGTATCCTTTAAAAAACTAAAAGTTGCCAGGACCTTTTGTGTCATGATTATTTTCTATTTAGAATGCTGGTATCTCTACTTTTCTCTTGCAGTTACATACAAGGCTGACAGGATTTATCTTCATATATACATGTATATTGTATTATGCCTATAGCTGCATATAAATGTATATAAAGTATACCTGTATAGTTTTAGATTTTAAAAAGAGGTATTAGAGACATCTCCCTTGAACATTCTCATACAAACGTAGATGCTTGTAAGAACCATGAGAAATTAGGGCTTCCTGTAGCTGCTATGGAGCTGGAGAAGCTGGGCCTGGGAGCACACGCCTCCTGTCCCCCACTCATCCTGATGAACTGCTACTGCTGTTAGTAGTTGGATAAAGAAGCTGTAGTCTCCTTTCTCTGCTTTCTTTCCCCTAAGGAGTCTGCAGGTACAGCATAAGTAATAAACTACTTTTAAAAAAATTGAATCATCTGGCACTTACCAAATAAGGAAGAGAGCCCTAAGTCACAAATTTTTCTCCAAAGTTACTATGACATCAATTATCCTTAGGGAGGAGGGCAAGGATGAAAAAGAGGGAAAAAAGTGAAAGACTGAAATGCTTATCTCTCTACAACACTAGCAAGCATACTGAAAATTACCATGTGTGCTATCATCCTACAAGATATTGCCATGAAACAGTGTATTTTCTTCCCTCAGTAGTATGCTTAAATGTGCTGGAATCAGCAAGATTACCTTAGGCAAACACAAGTACATGCAAAATAAGAGCAGATATGATTATTTTCTTTTCTTTTTAAAAATTGACACTGAACAGCACTTGGATAATAATATTCCTTTCTGGGTCCTTGGTCTTGCTATGAAAAAAACTCATTCAGAGTTTTGTAGTAATAAGATAGTTTTGTACTGAGTAATAAGAGTTTGGCTAATAAGATAGAAACTTTGCTAAGAAATAACCCACATGATATTACAAGGCTGAGTGTGTATATGTATGTAAAGTGATAAGCTGTAGCTTGGTCTGACACCAAACAGGATATGCATTGTATCACATTGTCTGTATTCTCTTTTTAAGCTCAGAGTGAAGCAAGCTGGGGTGAGCATTCAAAAGATCGTACCTGGCCTTCAGACCATGGGTATCTGCCTGGATCACTATTTCAGTATCGTTCACCCAGAAGTACCCTTCACCATCTCTAGTATTCAGAAATTTATCAACAGCCAATTTGTTTTCCAGACCAAGAGAGAAATGATGCCAGAGTCATGGAAACAGCGGCCAATGTTAGAGCTGAGAGGTACTTCACTGTTTTCAGAAGCATAAATGCTCATATTAAATGAAGAATAATGCTGCAGTTAAACTAATGTCTTTCTGTGGACTCCTGGCTTCACATAAATTTTATAAGTAGCCTTGTTTGCAGCGAGGGGAGGATTAGATCATTCTCTTTACATAAGTAGTACTTCGAAATGCTCATAGACAAACTCTAATATTACCTCATGAGATTTTGGAGGCTTTCAGTTAGTAGTAGCATTCTCGTTTGAAAGGCTTGGAAAGCCTTGGGACTTGTGGAATGTGGAAGAGACGCAGAGCCAGCTTCTGCTCTTGAAGCCATTAGGCAGAATGTGGAGATGCAGTGAGCTGTGTAAAACTGTCTGAGTCTCACCTTCCCATAGCCCTGCAAATCAGCATATCCACCTGAAATAGAATCACTTTGCATTGCTAAGAATTTTCTTTGATGAAAAAATTACTTTGTACTTGGAACAACATTTTGAGCCCAGCCAACTAGCACAGGCAATACCAGTGCACAGATCTTGGATTACATCTCCGTCACATAAAGAAAATAATTAAAACAACAGGTGAGCGTTCCAGCAATACACAGCAAAACACATCTCTGCTGTCAGTGTGCAATTCCAGTTCTGTCAGGTGAAGGGGAGAAAAGGGGCAGAGAAAGAGGGAAGAGCTTAAAGATAAATTCCTGGTAAAATTTCTACAGCTGGAAGAAGAGAATTGTCTTCCCCTGTGACTCTACACATTCTGATCCCTAAAATGTGAACATATTATACAGATTTACTTCATACCTTTGAAGGGAGTTATTTGGTACACTGGCTGGGTTTCAAATGCGGATAAAAATAAATTAGTTAATGGTGCTTTTTTATTATTCATATTTGCAGATTGATTTTTTTTTTCTCTCTATTATGTTATGGAAGAGTTTACTGGTTGAAATCGTTGTAGCAACAGAGATTTTATTTGCTCTATTTTTACTGAGGGGAATGAGGGAATGAGCATAGAATAATTCTCCATGTAATTAACTGAAATGACAGTTGTTTTAAGTATTGTGACCTCAATTTTGCCCCTTTGAACTACAGAATATGACCTAGCTTTCCCTTATTTCCTTTCACCTCCATATGATGAGTGCCAAATCATGAGATTCAGAAAAAAATTAAGAGTTTAGGGAGACCTTGAAAAAAGTGTTGTTAACAAAAAAGGAACTTTAGTCATGGGTAAAATTTTACTTCCTATCATTCAGTTAGGTTTTTTAAAATAGAACACAAAACAACAACAAAAGAAACCCATAACCAAATCTCACCCCAGAAAACAAAAACCCAATCCTCCACTAAAAATCTCTTATAACTTTCAGACATATTTGTACCTGCTTATTTATGTGAGCGTGCAACTTAAAGCTCCAGCTTCCAGAAGAGAAACTTCATTGACTTTACTGGGACCACAAGTTATCCACTGTGAAATTTAAGTCTTTCACTTAAATTACTTTGAGTCTCAGTCTCCCAGTGTACACTGTCAAGGAAAGGAGAGATGTTGCGAGCACTGTGGTTCCTACTGAAGAGAAGGAGCCCAAAACATGGTTAGGCTCTATCTTGCATTTGCAATGGATGAGTGACTGCTTTCTGGGTCCTGAAATCTTTTTATTTACGTAGTGCACTTCATCCATACCAACCCACCAAGTTCTAGGAAACAATTGCAGTGATGACACAGACCCTACAGAAAGCTACAGTCCTTAGAAATCATTCCCTAGTATTCACATCAGTAGCACTGAACTTTCCACAGAATTTCAGAGTGATGAACTCTCTTATCAGCACTTGTTTTAAACAGGCCAGATGATCTGGATGGAGTCTCTGCAGTGCATGCTCTATCTCTGCTCACCTTTACTTCGCACTTTACATGAGCTGGAGGAGCGACAGATGCATATTGCAGACATTGCGCCTCATGACGTGACCAGGGATTTGATTCTTCTCAATCAGCAGCGACTGGCAGAGATGGAGCTCTCTAACCAGCTGGAGAGGAAGAAGGAAGAACTGCGGGTACTGTCAAAGCACCTGGAAGAAGAGAAGAAAAAGACTGAAGCTCTGCTCTACGCCATGCTTCCTCAACATGTAGCAAACCAGCTGAAAGAGGGGAAGCGAGTTGAGGCAGGTGAATGAACAGCATTCATTCATTCATGAAGCATGAATCATGCACCCAGTGTGATGGTGATAGAGAGGCTGGGAACTAGCACAGCCACAATGTCATTGTTGTGAGGTAGATTTTCTACTTATTGACACTCGTTGGTAGTAAATAGGAGAGCAACAGACCCTTCATTTCACTGATAAGGTAGATTAGATTGTTATTTTATTTCAAACGTAACTTTGGAAGCTATTTGCTAGAATTGTTTCCTAGGAAATGAAAGTGGTAGCAGCTGCCCATTCAGGGAGAAAATCTGGTGTTTCAACTGTAAAGTGGGCTTTTGTTTTTAAAATGAGTATACAGGGACATGAGGGCTCAAAAAAGAAATACAGAAATAAGTCTTTCTTAGAAAATTTTCCTACCTTCTCTGTGCTATCTATAAATCTGGAGTTATCATCATTCCTATTTCTCTTAAGAATAGCAAGTAAGAATATTCTTATATTCCCTTTAGTAAACACATATATGAAATCCAGGATGAAGAGCTTTGTATTTCCCAAATGTAGGTGAGCATGGGAACATATTCAGATGTCTGAACTGTTTGAAATGATATGCTGTAATTTTTATATTTGAAATATTCTCATATCAACATCTTTCATATCTGGACACATGTATAAGTATTACAACTGAAAAATCACGTGTCCTAAAATAATGACTAGAAAGAAATCCTTGCAGGCAACTGTCATGGTTATCCAGCCATTACTATTATTTACAACTGTTTTTTTCTGCTCGCAGGAGAATTCAAGGAGTGCACCATATTGTTCAGTGATGTTGTGACCTTTACCAACATTTGTGCCCAATGCGAGCCTATTCAGATAGTTCTCATGTTAAATTCAATGTACCTGCAGTTTGACAGACTGACCACAGTGCATGATGTATACAAGGTACGTTGTTGCTTAAGACTATAGAAATAGTCTGGAATCGGGCTGTTTATTTATTTATTATTATTATATATTTTTAATGCACTTAATTGCTCTTCACCTTAGCATGACTTCCTAGAAACCATAAAATATTGCATATTTATAGTGGCCAAATAGAGAAACAAACAAAAAATCAACAACATATAAAACTGTGATTAAATGTGTTGAAAATTTTGAACAGGAGAGTAACTTCTGTCATTGGCTAGAGTCTCTCTTCAAAATACTAATACCAGAATTGCTGTTTTGATACATCTCTTTCTCTTCTCTCTCAAACACCCACCCAAGATACTAGGATATCCCAGTTCATGGACCAATCTGAATAATTTTCCTAGTCCCTTTATTCCAATCTGTTGCAAAACATTGTAAAACAGTGTGTTATTAAATGTCTCCTTTGGTGGAGATAACTATACAAACAACACTCAGTCAAAAGCTAGGCTTTGACTTTGATTCATGGAAATCTTAGGCAATGGTATGTATCTTCTATTGACCTCAGAGAGCATTGATTAGATCTAAACTGTAACACATGTATTGTCTTCAAACTGTGAAGGAAGGATGAGAGCCCTGCCCTGCATAGCACTGTTAACAACTCCAGAGCTACCTAGATTTTAACAGCTGATCCTAATTTTGTCTATCCCTAGCACATTAAATATTTAAGAAGGCAGAAACAGCAAAGAGTGAAATCTAAACCTCATTCATTCCTTACTGGGGCAGACAAGCAGTTCGTCCTGCAATAAATTTGTACTGGGAAATCAGAAGGATTTCTGCCTTGGCAAGGAAACTCTTTTCAATAATTGAAGAACCAGAATATGGTCTCCAGATTTTAGAATGGATTAGCATCATTTCTATCTAAATCATACATCTTGAGTAAATTATTTGTTGCTATAATAATCTTCTTTTGATGCCTGCATACAACTCCCATTAATATTAAAGGAGATAGCTAGAGCACAGGGAAGGAGGACAAGATGATTATTTCAGGGATCTGTGAAAGTTATGAAATACTGAAATTGATCAATGAAACTTGGCCCATGCTTATAAATGTCTGAAGTTATGAATTAATCTTGTTAAATTAAATCACTTGCCACAGCCTAAAGATAATTAGGGTATCTATTTGCATTAGTAGCCTCTTACAGTTATTTTTATCTTGTTAGAGAAATTACTGCTATTACTGTGGTTTTCATATCTTGATAGGAAATATGTACAGGAACATGTTTTGTAGGACTGAGCTACTGAACTGTTTGGAGTCATCACGTTAGTGATCAAGCCCAAAGATGTTCATTAGTAAGAAATCCAGTTAATCTAATTTAAGATGGTCTCTTATTTGCTGATGATAAATGCAACAGTGAAATCTTGTAAGAGCAGTTTACAAAATTTCTTGGCTGTGTAAGAGACTCTTACAATGAATCTTAAGTGAATTCTGTGTTTCAAAAGGGCATATCATATTCCCAGCAAAATCACTGATACAGGGACAAACCCTGAAGTATTACTCAGGTGCATTTCAGTGTGCATTTCAGGGAGACTAAACACCTGAGGTAGGACTAACCTTTCAGAATCTTTCTCACTGGCAGCAGCATGCTGTAGGAGAACATCTGATTGTAAGGAAGGATATTCACAAACTGCTTAGTTCACACCCTGCATTCTCTGACATCGTGCCATTGGAAATTGTAGATTTCTTAATTTCACACGAACCACTTAATAATCACCATGGGATAGACTCTATTGATTCATTGTGACTTCTAAAAGGGAAATACTCTTTTAATACCAATTGTGAATTGGAGCTAATTAATAGCATTTAACTATCAGATAACTTTCTGGCTCAGGAGCTGTGCTTGAGGATAGTTCCTTACATATAAATCTGTCCTGATAGGGTGGATGACAAGAAGTCTGGCACTTTCCCAGCATCTCTTACTCCTTAGGGTTTCTCACAGTGATATATAAACTGGGTCAAGTAAGCAGGGACAGAACACACTGAATTTTTTAGTTTGGAATCAAGGAATAGATCCCCATCTCAAGGAAATTTGCACATGCTAGAGTATGACTGGAAGCATGTTTTAGAAGGAAGAGTGAGTTGGTGCAGGTAAGGAGAGCCTCAAACAGCAAAGAACTAACCTGAAGGAGAATTATAGGCAATACTCATATACTCGTTCTTCTCAATTAAAGGTGGAGACAATTGGAGATGCCTATATGGTAGTAGGTGGAGTCCCTGTGCCTGTATCCACTCATGCTGAGCGAGTTGCTAACTTTGCCTTGGGGATTATAATAGCAGCTAAAGGAGTACAGAACCCAGTTTCTGGAAATCCAATCCAAGTAAGTCATTAACACATAGATTCTGATTCTTGGGTTGGGCTTCTGCTTAATGCATTGCAGTGGGACATCAAAGAGCTTCTTTTAACTTCTCTGTGACTTTGATCACATGGGTGCATTTTTCAGCAGAAGCCTTTCCCTGAAGATATTTGGTATTTTACTAGCACCCAGTGTTGTGTTAAGGTGGACTTTTAGGTGACTCAGTAGCAATAAGAAAGGTCGTAAATAACAAGTGACATTTCTGGGGGGTGTTTTATGTCTTTGTAAAGATTAGAGTTGGGATCCATACAGGTCCTGTCTTGGCTGGAGTTGTTGGAGAAAAGATGCCTCGTTATTGCTTGTTTGGAGACACAGTGAATATAGCTTCCCGCATGGAGAGTCATGGTGTCCCGAGTAAAATTCATCTAAGCTCCAGTGCCTATCAGTGAGTAGTTCTGATGAAAACTTTTCCTATTAAAACTGTGCTAAAACTACTGTCTTACAGATGCAGCTTTCAGATGTAGACAGTCCTGTCTTTTGTCACTAATTTGTGCAGCTTACTTGTAAAGAAAAATCACCGCTTGCAAAGAATTTAGTTTTGATCATTTCAGATGTCCTTGTATATAGAGGTTTGAAAGTCTTGATCCTAGAAAGTACAAGATGAAAAAAATAGATGTGATTTTTTTGGAAGTACCAATAGCATGATTTAAATGCTAGAAATATATATAATTTAATTTGACATCCTGCATAACAAGAGCTTCAAAATCTCTCTTATTGAGTACAATACCCTGTGGCAGAATAGTTTTCTTTGCACCTATTATGGATAAACTGTATAAATCACTATGTTATTCATGATGCTATTCATGAAGTGAAGAATTCACTTTCCCAAAGCTCTTGTCAATAAAAATTAAATACTGCATTTTCAAGAATCTTATATATGCATAAAATATGCAGGAAGAGGTGAAAGTGAAGTTGAGCTGCAGAGGAGTAGAAAAACATGGACTGGGCACCTATGAGTGGTATTAGGAAAGCCAGAGACCACCTTAGCATTGAATGAGCAGTGCTGTTTTTTTCCCCAAACTGAAGTGATTAGATTGTTTTGATTATTATAGCTTTTCTAAAGAACTGGTGGTTTTTGTTGTTGTTGTTTTTTGCTAATCCTGAATTTTCCTCTGTCATTTTCTTTTGTTAATTTAGCTGTCTAAAATACAAAAATTTTGAGATGACAGAAAGAGGAGAAATAGAAGTGAAAGGCAAAGGGAAGATGCATACATACTTCCTCGTTAGAAATAAAACTGCGTGTGAGAATGAGATTATGGGAAGGCCAATAAAAGACTTAGATTCTGGCCGTGAATCTGCTCAGTCCTTTCAAGAAGACAGGGCTGAGACAGCGCCGAGTTCTCATCAGACAGGTAGAGTCAACTTGACATATCTTTATCTCCTTAAACAAATAAATGGTAATACAACTACATTAAGTGTTCTTTTCTGTTCTTCCTTCAGTTACTCATAATCAGCCAGAGAAGGACCAGACCACAGCCATTGCAATGAAGTATCTTGACACTCCCACGGATGCACAAAACAGCCTCAAAAGAAGAAATCAAGCAAAAATCGCAGATTTAACAGGTAGTTATTTAGTTACCATCCAGAAAAGGCAACAATTACAACGTAATTTATGGGGCTTATTCTTACAGTTTCATTGTATTCCACTTCTGAATGTCTGTGGCTTTATTTGAGACAGAAATTCATGGCCAGTATATCCATTCTGGGTAAACTAACCAACCAGCACGTTGCTTAAGGCCAAACAAATTCACCTTCAGAGCAATCAGAACTGTTGGTCTTGCATTAGGTAGAAAGAAGCTGACATAGCTGTCAGGTTTCAGCATCCTTCTGATAATGCAAAGAACTGATAACTTTTAGACAGCTCCACATGAGGGTAGACACAATTATTCATATACACAACTTTTCCTAGAAAAGCTGCCATTATTTTATGTAATTACGGGGAAACCCTGATCATTTCAAGCCTGATAGAGATTTCATTGGCTATGCAGCCTGTCAGTCCTCAAACCAGTTTCCCGTGGAATTTAGAAGGATTTATTTCCATTTATTTCCATGCCCGCTTTCCACAGTCAAAGCTCAGTCTCTACTCAAGTAACTGATACTGAGTGATGGGTTTGATGCCTTAACAGTCTAATCTAATGCAGCAAGTCTTGTAATTCTATTTGTTTTACCTGTAGGTTTCATAAAGACTAAAAATATTGCCATTGATTGATTTCTGGGAAATGTTTTATTCCCCTCCCACCTATTTAGAAGTAGTAGTCAATCTAATATATGACAAATAGAAACCTCTATGGTCATTAAAAACTCACACTGAAGGAGTATTTCTTTTCAGGCAAAAGTTACAGTTCAAAAAGCTATGGGACTCTCCCTGGCAACCAGCATTCAGATGATGCTCCTCGTCCTCTGAACAGGGGAAGAGTCAAACCAGATACTGAAGAGCCACAAATTAGAAATGTTCGCTCCAATTTCTGCAATTTGCTCTAAGTTTTTGACTTTTTACATTACTCGGAGCATTTTTATTATTATTTAGTGCATTTTCCTGTTTTGGGACCAATTTTCTATATGAAATTCTACATCATTTTGTTAAAAAAACAAAAAGACAGAAAAGACATTTCATCACAATTTTCAGCAAAAAGAATGGAAGGTGATGTTTTTTTTAACCAATCTGCACACGTCATATGATACTCCCAGTGGAGAATGAAACCATCACAAGATACATGGAAGATACGAAGATTTTCAACTTCTCCTATTTCTTTGAGCATCTCTACGTAAAATGACTGGTATCTCACACAAATAGGGAAAGAGGTGAGTCATGCAACTAGAAATGTTCGTACGCAAGCAAACAGTTGCAGTAAAAGAAACATTCCCTGAAGTGACCATCTGTCTTGACTTCAGCACAACCAACAACCTCCTTGCGTAAGGTCAGCAGAATTTGATCTATCTATTTAACTATGATGACAATTAATCTCTAGTGAGTCTTTTGCTGAGGAAAAGTATTATGCAGTAAAAGTGCAGAATAGACTTCTATATAATACAGCTTATATTTTTGCCATCCTGAGAAGACAGTACTGCCTGCTTTGTAGCACGTAACAATAAAAAACATAAAACAATCTATGATCTTTGAATCAGTTGTGTATGCTGTACTTAGAAGATTTAAGAAGGAAATACACCACGTGAAATTAAGTGATACTGAATTCATCTCAACAATGAAGGCCTGTTCAAGGCCAATAAACCTTCTGAGACCTTCCAACAAGCTTTGAGTTTATTTCCTACGGTCTCACTTCAGCTAAACAAAAATAAGGCTTCAGAACTACACAGGCAGTATGTCAGTGCTGAAATTAATGCTGCTAATATCACAGTAATAAATAACAGTTTTAAGGGTCAGCATCGCTTACCTGGTGTCAGATGCTCCCTTGCTGAGTTACTTCCATTCTGATATATTTTTAGATTGCACCTAATCGGAAACAGCAGAGAAAAATCAGAGTTCAGCTGTCAAGGATGTAAGATAGAGGAGCAAAATATAATTGATATAAAGATTGTGGACAGTCTGGCATATCATAAATCGTCCTCTTGTTCCTATATGTGGAGCTTGTAGTAGATGGAATGTACTGTGTTTTGGGTGAGTTTGACATGTGGTGCACCCTGCACACTGATGTATTATCTTTGTGTGTGGATTCATTGTGTTAAGTATACAAACATGAGACCTATTTGAACTTTCAGCAAGAATTCAGTGGAGAAGTGTATAATGTGACTCCTCTGTTGCAGTCTGGAGCATCACATTTCTGCCTCTGTGTCTGTGGCAAGAGCAAAGCCTTTTAAACACCAGATGGAGAGGTAAGACTGATGAAAGGAATTGCCTCCTCTCCATAGTATAGCAAGATGAAATTTCACCTGGTTTTCTTTTTAAATCCATCAGACAGTAGCTGTCTTGACTGGGTGCTCTGTGGCTCTATGAACAAGCTGAACAAGCAGTGCATGCAGACCAATAGAGGAGGATGTGTAGCATGAAACTGTCTGTGCTGCTCTCCACACACTGGGTATTTCAGAGGGCTTGCTCTTGTGGTAGCACACACAGAATGCCTGTTAGCTTTTTGAGCACCTTACAAGTACATCTCTTGGCTTATTTTTATCCAGAAGAGATCCATTCACGTGCTTTGAGACCACTCTACGATGTAAAATGAAGTTCAGTTTGTAAGCATAACTAGAAATTCACTTACAAATGTTTTCTGGACGCTGACTAAAATGCACATATAAATGCACCCTTTAAAGCTTTAGCACTTTCAGCAATAAAACTGGGCAGCACCCGTCTGGGAGAGTGCAATTTTCTGACAGCATTTATTAATGTTTTTATTTAGATGGAGTTTTCTATCTAGAGATCGTTCATTATTGTGGAGAGGTTGATGTATGCTGTAGAGTGAATATACATCTAAGCATTACTGTTATTAAACTGGGTACAAGATTCTAAACACTTGATGGTGTTCTGCCCTCAGACATGCAATGCCTGCATGTCACCTTCAGTCTTAGCAACTCCACCCCATGTGACACAGCCTCTGTTGTTCAGGGCTTTGTATTTTCATGTTGTTACCAACCTTTAAAACAACCTTCCTAAGGAAGGTCAATGCCTGATTTCTTTCTCATTCACCGTGGTGTAAATCTGCAGTAAGAGTTAAGTCAGCACTATCGCCCTGATTTAACTTGAAAATTGACAAGATTTTTGACAAGATTTTCTTGTCTTCAGCCTACAGATGCATTTGACACTGATGAAACAGAGAACTTGTCATTTAACAAATGGCAGTGATGGACTCCATCTTCTTCTGCATTTGTGATGGGTACATAAAGCCACATAGCCCCAAACACATGTGTTACACAGGAGGAAACACCTCAGTTGCCAGTTAGTGCAGGAGGGAACATCTTGCTGTCCCAGCTGTTCTTGCAGGCTGTACCTGCATGGCTGAATCACTTCCTCTCTCTTTAGAAAGGAGAATTTCTGATTGGAAGCACTCTGTAGCCCAACAGGCCTTGCCATCAGTGACTGGGATGTGGTATATGTTAGAGAGTTTAGGTATGAATCCTCTATGGGAGGAGACAGAAATGGTTCATGGCTTAACTGCTGTCTGCATTACTTTGCCCGATTTTTAACACTTGCTTTGCTTATACCTGTCCTTTCTGCACTGAACAATCTATGAATATTTAATATTGGAATGTTTTAATTGCCAGTAAGTGCACCATGGTCAGATACTTTACGCTGTACTTTAGTGCATTTGATGTGCTCAGTGGTTTCTCTGTGGCCTCCGCTACTGTCTGGTCTTCTGCTTCCCTGATGGAGATGTGGACCTTGGTCAAATCTGAAGATCTTGAACTGCTTTTAAAAATGCCTGTGCACTGTCCAGTGTTCTTAAATCTGTAGATACTGCTAAAGATGTCAGTAATGCAGAACTATCCTTCAAAAATAAATGTTTCCATTAATGGACCAATTGTCATTTTTCAATGGCTAGTTTGATTCCTTTCCTTCTTTTCCACCATTTTTAGTACTTCTGTCTTTATGAATATAAAAAAAACGTTAAGACACCTCCAATAAACAAAGTTTAATTTCTTGACTATACACAGTGATATGTATTTTTGTGGCATCAGAATCAGCAGCCTGGTACAGTTAACACTGCTGTATGCTAATATATGTGCTAACACGCAGTCACTGACCTGCACTGAACTGACACAGGAAGGGTGGGAGAACAGAATTCACACTGCTGCTTTGAGAAGGTTGAGGCAGACATGATTTAAATGTAGAGATTTTTGAAAGCTGGCTGAAGCACATGGATTCCCAAATCCCATTAAATCTGGTGTTCAAGCATGAATTTTCAAAAGCACTTGGGGTACCTTTAGAAGTCTAGAGGCCAGGTTTTCAAAGACACCTCTTTCTCTGTTAAATGAAACCAGCTGGATTTAGGTACTTTACACATGTCGAATTTCTTGCAATTAAGCTTTCCATTAAAACATTTAAAAAGCATTTCCTTGTGCATGCTTTCAGAAAAGAGCTGTTCAGCAAACTTTCCTAACTGTAACCTAATTTGCTGGGAGTCTTTGACTAAAAACACTTTTAACATTACAGTGCAGCTCTGTATGGAGTCAAGATGAAAATAAAATCCACAAATGAAATAGCAGTGAAACTGAAAAGATTATTTCATTGGGAATGTATTAAAAAATGTTCTTGAATATATAAAACAATTTCAAAATAAAAAAGGGTCTGATATTTTTTACACATGTATAAAATATCACTGAAAGTCAAGATGGTTTCTTTGTCTACCAGTTCTCTGCTTTCACTTTTGAAGACTCCAGAGTGTAAAGGCAGACAATAAGACTGACAGTTTGTGCAGTATTCACTCACCGGTACAACCTGCATGTTAAAAACAGAAAAAGCATTTGCTTGTGGTCAAAGCAAACAACACATGGGACACTATCCTTACTCACACGACCAGACCTAAGTTATCAAGCACTCCTCATTTTTTACAAGCCATTTTATTCTTCCATTTCTTTTGCACCAGTATGCTGGATGTCTGCTAGCGATTTTTGATCTGAGCTGTGTTCAGACACCATTCCTGAAAACATCTGAGATTCAGACTCACTTGCTGTACGGCTATCTCTGATGGACACCAGCTCAGAAACAGATTTGCAGTCATGTTTTCATATTGATTAGCAGCTTGTGCTCCTGTAGAGTCGGATCTGAAGTGAACATCAGCAGTCACTGACAGGTTTTGCAGGAATTCAGTGTAACGTTAACTGGTTCTGTAACATCCCCTTGACTTTGCTGTATTGGGATTATGAAATTTGAAGTTTTAAGTACAGAAGAGACTCCCAGGACTTTTAGCAGCTCTTACTTCATCATTTGCAACAAATACCTCACCTGCCAAGGGATCAGCAAACACAAGACGTGACTCGGTTTCCGCTTTTTGTGACAAACACAGCAAAACCAGCTTTAACATCCTGTTTAAAGCAGTGCTGAGGTGAGGGAGCCTTGAGTCGTGTTGAGCAGAAGCTGCTTTGTGGAGTTTTGCTATCATGTGACTCCATCGCAGCATACATGCTTCCAGCCAGTTTTGTCGTGGCTTCCATTTCCTTGCTGAACAACAGGGCAGTGACCCGAAACATCGTCTGGGTGAGTCTCTGAAGGCAGCCTGCCAAAGCGTTTTGCAGATAAGGAACCTGACACATAGCTATCATTTAAGGCCAATTTATCTCGAGAATCAATGGGCCTTTAAAAATTCACCAGCTCACATATCCTTTTCAGTGATGGTACTTAACTGTTTTGTGTCCTGATTTTGCGGGCTTTTGAAAGAACCTTGATTTTCAGCATAAGACACATCCATTGGTAACAGGAAACTAACAGCCTTTACTTTACCCCTGGAGAAAAATGAGAAAGGATTATGAGGATTGCAAATGTATAAAATGTGCACAAAACCCCCACCAGCATCACTTGCATGATGCGTGTGGGCAGAATTTCCTGCCCTGCTGACACTGAGCTCACACAGCTCCCCAGCAGTGTTGGCTGGCTGGCTGCTGGGAGCATCTGCCTTTTTTCCATTGAGTCTTACAGTTCTCTGCACTCCTGGCTCCTCCAGATAAATCCAAGGGGATACATCTGAATAATAACTTCCAAAGGAAAAAATATTCAGTATCTCACATATGGTTATAATGATAGAGCAAAATGTGAGACCTACTACTAACAACAAATCATGAAGACCTGTTGCAGAGCAAAATGCCATCCCTATAAAAAATTACGCTTCATTAACTTGCTGAACTCATTGCTACAAGTTATCCTTCTAGTAAAAGGCTCACCAAGATTTCTGCTTGCCTTAGCCCTCTGATTGTAAGCAGCAATGGCCACAATTATGGCCTGAAAATATAAGAAGCCTTTTATTCACATAACAATCACAGAGTCTCATGCTTTGAGATGTCACTGAAAAAAAAAAAAAAAAAAAAAAAAAAGCTCATTCCATAGTTATTTCTTCTGTTAAAGCAGCCAACAGTGCATTGACACGAGACTCTGTGCCAGACTTGGTGCTGGCCAGTGCTGCCAAGGTTGCTCTAAAGGGAATGATAGAATAATCAGCAACATTCCCCTTAATAGTAAGTAACCAGTGCTTTTCATCCACAGATCACAAAGCATCAGTTATAAGACATCTACACTGCTAGCTCGATAACTCTGAAAACTTTCTCCTTTTGGGAGAAAACGGTGGCATTTGCCAGTGCCCCCTGCACACTGAGTGCACATCCTGACACAAAGGCTCCCAGGTGAAGTGCCTCCAGGGCAGAACTCTCTGAGGTGTCTACGTGCATCGAGTCAGAAGTCTACCAGAACCAAGCAAAGCATTTGCTGAAACCCAGCGCTACAGGGTCAGGGTGCTTTTGAAAGTGAGATGTGTTCCCTGCCTGGGTCTAAATTTCCATGCTAAAATGCTGTAAAGCATCCGACCCTGAAACGTTCTTACAACAAAACAGGTGTAGGTGGTCAAGCCCATGGATTTCTTCTGCTTAAGTGCACACTTGGAGGCCATTTGGGCTGACTGTTTTAAGCACAGCATGACTGGCACTAAAAGCAGCTATGTGAAGGGAGTCACGCCGTGTGTAACAGCAGCAGGAGGGGTCTGGAGCTGCCATGTATCACAGACTCACCATTAGTGCCCTTGCCTTAGATTGTTGCTGTGTGTTGGAGAGCTTTTAGCCAGTGAACAGAGGTGCTCACAACTTGCCAGGAGACATTCCATTTAACATAGAGCCCTGAGAACATTTTTCTCGAGGCTGAAAGCATTCATTTGTAATGCTTCAGTTACAGGGGCAAAATGATGTAGAGAATCTGCGTCCACGCACCACATTATCATGCTTCCAGAAGCACAGCACAGAGTAACTCTGTATCCCCATGCTTTTTGTTCCAAGTTTAAAAACACTCTTGGAACTTGGCTTGTCAGACCTGCTTATCAACCTGCAAAACCCCCCCCAGCTCTGGTGGGGAGAACATTGCAACTCCTTCCCTCTTTCCTCACCTGCTCCTTTTGTTTCTTGGAAACGTAAGCTGCTAACACTGACCACTGGGGAGGTTTGGCAGGAGGAGCAGGACATCCCACCCCACACATCTCCCATCCGCTCAATGCCCAGAGACATTTAGACAATCCGACGTATCGCTGCTGCTGAACCGAAACCCAAAGCAGAACCACGGCCAGGTGAAACCGGGTATGAAGGCACACTGCCCCTACCTGCACCTGCGGACGTGCTCCTGGAACAGCCTCAATTTGCTGGAACTGCTGCTGGAGAAGCAGTCGGCTGGGCTCTTCCCAAGGCCTCTGCCCACATCGCTGAAGCGCTGTGCTGCAGTGGGACAGGCGTGCGGCTCGGCCCTGCCCCGCTCCTCCAGCTGCCCGCTGCTCTGGGGCTGCTTGCTGGCACGGTGAGGCCTTGAGGGTGCTGATGCTGCGGTGGAGTAGCGCCTCACCGTCATGGTGGTGTCTGTGAGCAGAGAGAAGGGCAGAGATGCGAGCAAATGCAGCCGACTAGTGGGAGAGCCCTGCCTTGGGAATACTGCTGGAGGGCACTCAGACTGTGATGGCAGCTGTGGCAGTGCCAGGAAGCTGTTACTGAATGCTTTTGGTGGCCTAGGTGCTACTGAAAGCACAGACGGCGCTCACCAGCCTGACCCTGCAGCCACCACATCCACTTCTGGACAACTGCTTCTCACCAAATGGCATTTTTGCTCTCTCTGCTTTAGTAAATCCTCCACGAGTGCCAACCAAGCTACAAATGAGGAAATACTCCATCTTCTCCCCTCTCTGATAAGAGTGGTAAAAGACAGCCTTCCTTTCCTGTTTATTGCCTCATTTCTCCCTCAGGCAAAATTAACTGCCTATGCACAAGAAGAACCTGCACCTCTGATGTGGTATGCAACATCTCCTGTTTGTTACTGCCAGGAGATTGTTCTCAGCTTTTTCTGAAGTGAGGTGACAACACATTTACAGCTGTTGTCCTTTTCAGAGGACAGAAACAGCACTGAGGTAGCCCATACCCAAGAAATTTCACAGCACCAAATCAAATTCTGCTTAAATAAAGACAAACTGAGCTCTGAGCAGAACACTTCAAGAACAGCAAAGCACTACACTGAGCCCAGCACAGGGGTGCAGGCACCATACAGAGGGTCACAGACACTCCTAACACTGGATGTGGGCACTGAAGGAGGCCGGAGCACATGGTTATGTCTGCTAGACAGACAGCTGTGGCTCACCTCTGTCTCCCTGCAGATCCATTACAGCCCAACTGGAGTCACACACGAATGTCACAGTACCTGCCTGATCCATTGGGGCTGTGGGCAATGCATCGGGTCCTTCTGCAGGGCAGGGCAGGCTGCCCATCTCCCCACTGCCACCTCCCACAGAGGCACTCAGCCCGCAGGCACGCAGCTCTTCTTTCAGCGCCCGGTTCTCCCGCTCCAGCTTGTCGATCTGGGAGTGCATCTCGCGGATGACCTGAAGGAGGTGTGTGTTCCCCTCCATGGCCTCCCCAGCCTCCCACTGTGACGGCTCAGCTGGCAGCGAGCTCTCCCTGCTCTTAAAGCAGAGCCTGCGCCCTCTTTCACCACCAGCAGTGCTGGATGAAGCCTTCGGGTTGCTAAGAGAGGGCCCATGATTTATTCATCCCAAGTGTCACTTTTCAGAGCCGAGCCCTACATGCTGGCACAAATCACTGACAGCCCAGTGCTGCTCCACCAGCAGAGCTCTTCCCTGTGCCTTCACTCGCTGCAGGGCTGAGGTATTGCATGGGACCAAGGCAGAAGAGTCTGCCTGGAGCCCACATCCCTCAGGTGATACATGAATGCAACCCTGCATCTGCTGCACCAAGGGAGTGCTTGGCCTTTGCTGTGCCACAGTTCATCTTCTCTTGATTGACAGCAGGCACAGAGCTCACACTGCACCAAAGCCTCCAAAGAAACAGCGTTCCACCTGTAACCTCACCCTGCTGCTCCCAATGCCTCTGCTGCACGTGGAGCAAAGGGCCACCATGGGGATGAGCTGGTGGAACCGGTGGAGCTCCATGTGCCGGTCAGCACGTTCCTTGTGACCAGACAGCTCCACACCTGCAGCCTAGTGGAAATTCAGCGTGGTCCAAGGCAAATGTGAGACACCTTGAAGTCACTTAACATAAACAACAGAGCTTCTCCCACCTGAACTCCTTCAGCAAGCTTCACAAGACACTGAACCAGGGGGAGGTTTATTCACCTTCAGCCACATCCAGATCTCTTCCACTAAAAACAACTGAACAGGGGGCTGCAGTTGGGGCAGATGGAGGGATGCAGCAGCTGCAGTGCCCTGATTTCCACACAGCAGGCTGGCTCTGTCCCTACAGGCTGTATGAGCTGCATACTGACTGGCATCACAGCAGCGAACATACAAACACTGGGAGGAGCTCACGTTTTTGCTTGCACACTCCTGGCACACTGCATGAAGTCTGCAGAAGTTTGTGAGGGTTTTCTCCTGAAAACGGATTTCAAAAGCTGCTGAGCCCTCGTGGGAAGAGCCGTGCCATCACAACCTGACTGCAGCAACGCAGCTGAAACTTCACCTCTGCAGAAGGAGCTTCTCTGAGCCAGCTGTGGCACAGCAATTTGTCTGTTTAACTGGTATGTAATCTGCCAATGTCCACTGAACATCCTTTGTGTTTTACCAGAACCATTCTTGGTTCTCCTGGCTGCCTGAGCCCCATACATGCACCACATACACTCAGGAGATCCCATGCAATGAAAGATCAATGACATGCACTGCTTTGACTCTTGAGTACTCCAGGTTCTGAAAAGGGTCTCAATTCCAGCAGGGGATGCTCAATTCTCTCTGAAAACCAGCTTAACCTGAACACGGGAAACACTGAGGTGCACAAGTCACATCCAGAAACCTTAACTGTGTTTTTGGACAGCTGAGCACATCCATAGGAACACTTCATACTTTCAAAGAGCACTTCAATGCCTGCACGTGGCATTTGATGCCTCCAGGTTCCTTTCCCTTTAAACAGCCGCAGGTTGGTCCACAGCAGTGGGAGTTTATCTGCTGTGTGGCAGCTCCCTACAAGCACAACATATGCTGCTGGGCACAAACCTGCCTCTCGTGCATGAAAATACGTGCAGCAGGAGACATTCATAAATTGGAACGGGGCCTTTAGCTACCCACACAGGGATGGGAGGGCTTACAAAGTAAAGCAGTAGTCACTTATGGGAGATGGACTCATGGGTTACTGAGCAGTGCAAAGCAGAAATCCTAAAATCTGGAAGAGTCATTTCTTAATCAATTTTCTACTCTCAAACAAAAAATACCACATAAAATGCATGCGTTATATATACCCATCTCAATATGATTCTGTATGCAACCTGCATACGTACACTGAAAAATGCTTACGTGACTGAAACTGTAGGAAGTGCCATAGGACTGTTAAAGGTCCTGAAAATATATTGCAAGGTCACAGATTGCTAGGAGTAGTGTCATAGTAATGGCTTGGTAATGAGGAATAGCTCCTAAATTTGAGGCACAGGGCCAGGAATGCAGAGCACCATGAGCCGTGTTAGCAAAAGGGAGCATGTGCCCCATCCACATGGATCATCTCGCTCACCAAGATTTCTCCTTGCTTTGGAAATAATCCACGCTCATGGTCTCTGCTCAGTCACAGCAACAAGTGACTGTTGCTAACTAAAGCAGCTGGAAAGCAGAGCTCAAAGCGCAAACAGAAAATGCATCTTATATCAGCTTGATGGGAAACTGATAGAATGAAAGGGAAACATGCACTTCATTACTGCCAGCATTGTAGCATTCAGGGGGGAGCATTCACCTGTGAAAATGTTGTGCATTATTGAGAATTTTCAAAAAATAACATCAACACAATGTATGCAGCAACCACGTATGTGTCCCATGGGGACTACAACTCCTGTCCTGAAGGACACCCATCGCTCAGCCTCCCCCCAGCCTGCCCAGCCATGCCAGGACCACAGGAGTGCACCAGCAGCTGGCTGTAGACCTGGATGTGAAGCTGATGATCTTCCACAGTCATGGTAACAGTTCTACATGAGCTTACCTATTTGTTGTCTTTTGGATTAATTTTATTTATCTCAGCACAATTCACTTAACTGAGAAACACATTCTGTTCCTTCCTTCCTTTTCTTCTTTTCCTTTTCTATCCTTCTCCTTCCTGCCTTTCCCTATTGCTTGGATGCTTTCTCAAAATCCCTTATCTCTGCTTGCATTTAATATTATTCACATCCTTCAGTTTTAACCGCCTTGCTTCAAAGCTCATTTTATGGCTTTAATTTGTTCATTATGAGTGCATAAAACTCATTTTTTCTGTGATAATTTAAATTTTACCACATACTAAACTTGCTAGAAATTGGGAAATACATTCAAACACAAACCAAATGCTTCTAAATTATCCTCATTAGATCATCTGTCCTGAAGATTCATCCTCCCCTATCAATCACAGCTGTAATATCGAGTTGTCAGACACCGGTTTAAAAAATGTTCAAAGCTAAGCTTCAACGCAGCCACTGCCTGATTTCAACATGTGCAGCGCTTTTTGTACCGAGACCCAAAGCATTGTGCTCAAAGCTGCAGTGCATCTCACCTGCCTTAGTTTCCAGCGCAGCCCTGCTGGCATCACGCAGCCACCATCAGCCCATGAGCAGGGCCATGGAACCACGCATGGCCTTCCACAGCACTGCACGCCACCACCCTGCTTCTCACTTGGATATTATCCAAAAAACAGAAATCCCTGTTGAGACCGACATTACGTTGCCAGCAGACTGTCTCTCCAGTGAACGTTAAGATATAATTACCCTGTAAGGAATGATTCCTATTAAACATTTAACGCGCCTCCCTCTAATTGAAATTTAAGCCTTTGGTTGCGGTTGGGTGTCACTAAAGATGTGATTAAACATAAAATATGTATAATGCTTAATTCCTGGAGGGGTGCTGGGAGAGATTCCACTAAATTTTTTTCTTTTTTTTTCCACTGCAGAATTTCTCCACATTGCTGGATTTCATTTGATCATAGAATCATTAATGCTGGAAAGACCAATAATACCATCTAATCCACCCATCAGCCCATGCCTGCTCTAGATCAGGTCTCTCAGTGCCACACCTTTTCATGAGCACCTCCAGGGCTGGTGACTCCACCACAGCCCTGGGCAGCCCACCATTTGAGGCTGTTGAAGAGCAGGAGCAGGCTGAGATGTGCCCCAGTGCCCTGGCGGCCCGTGGAGCCCCTGCTGCCAGCCCTCAGCAGCCTGCCTAGAGAGGGGCACGGCATGGAGTGTCCCAGGGTCACACCTCTTTGGGAGCTCCCCGTCTCAGATCCCTGTAGGTGCTTGGCTTGGGGAGGTGTTTATCCTACATTTTCACTGCTCAGAACAGCTTGCTGCTTGCACCAGGTGCTGCACCCTGAAGGCTCGGTGTCTCTCAGATACTGAATGGCAGTGGGGACTCAGGGCACTTGCATGCCTGGTGGCTGTGTCTGGCACTGGAAGATCATGCTCAGTCCTTGTTTCTATCACAAAACACAATAGAAAAGTGACTCTCAAAGGAGGAAGGCCTCCCCAGGGCGGGCCATGCTGGAAAGAAATGTGGGGAAGGCTGCTGTGTCTGTGCACCAGTGGGAGGCAGCTCCCCAGCCTCCTCCCTCCAGAGTCCTCAGTCTGCCCAGGAGTTAAGTTACAGGTGTTTTCCCTCTAATTTCCATACCGTGATATTTATTCATGACTCAGGCAGCAGTTCATGATGCAAAGGCATCATAGGAGAGCTGAAGAGGAGATTTGCGAGGGAGATGTTCTGCTAAGATGGCAAAAGAACAGCTGGCCTGGGAATCAGAGTGCTGTCTTCCTCAAATAGGTTAGATTGTATGAAAGACCTTAGTGCTAATTAACGCATCCTAGGAAAAAAAAAAAAAAAGATACATTAAGCTTGCTATGAAATGTGAAAGACATTATTCATTTGCACTGTAGTAAAAAAAAAAACAAAAACAGGACTCCAGTACCTGACACAGTACAAAACTGAGCACAGCTCCTGGCCCCAAGGAGCACAAGAAGCTCCCTCCTCATACATCAGCTCTGCGTCACCCTCTGGTGCTGGACACCCCACTGCTTGCAGTGTCCTTCACCTCAGTGCCAGCCCAGGGCAGCCACTGGCCACGGGAGCACTGCTTTGTTGCCAGCAGTCCTGCCCTTCTTGGGGCTGCATTCAAAGATGAGATCTGGACACCATGCTAATGAGCACTTCTGCAGAAAGCATCTCCTAGAGGTGTTGGGATGGAAGCCTGAGAGAGGGCTGCACCTGTCTGTGCTCCAGACTACTTTGTAAAAGGTACAAGGAAGCATCCGGCCTTAAAAATCCACACATTCTCCTCCAGCATCAGCGCAAGCACAGCAGGAAACCACGTGTGCTACCTCAGTTCTAAGCACAGAGAGAAACAATTTCCTACACAAATAACATTTGTAAATCAAGCAGCAGAATATTTCATCACTTCTCATATCAAAGTCATACTGCAGGGCACAAAAAGAGCAATGGTGTCAGTAAGGGTCTATCCAGTCATAACTGACGAGTGATTGGCTTCTGTCTTGATTACTCACTGCAAACTATCAGTCCTTCACAAATCTGCTGTGAACAGCTTTGAGGCATGCTGACTTTTTTCTCTCCCTTCCATGAAGCTATTTACTGCTCTAAAGCGTGACAGGCCTGCACAAGGCAGAGCCCCACGCTCTCAGGAGGAGCCCACCACCATGGGCCAGCCTGCTTGCCCTCTTGCTCCAGAAGCCAAGGATCACTGCCAGACTCAGGCAGATTTCTGAAAACTCAATATTCCTGCCCCGAAATCGTGGCTCTTCTGTTTTGTACCTTCTCAGCTCACGCATAAGAGCTCTCTTATTCAGAACTGGTTGACATAATGGACAACGTGTTTAGGATTTTAAAAGCCCATAGACTGGGGTGGATGTGGGATTCAGCTCTGAAGCATCCATCCCCTGTAGTTCTGGTAGCTGAATTTTGTGGCAGCAAAGCAACAAACCACATTTTGTAACAATTCTACAGCCTCACATTCTTCTGCATTTGTCATCTTCTCCCCTGAAAGCTAGAAAAATTCCTGGTTACTGTTTTGTCTCTCTCCCTGTTGTAGTCCTGGTTCAAAGCTAATGCCTGCTAATTGCTTTCATGCAACTATGTTGAAAGTGCTCAAACACAGCAGGAGAGCAAATGCCATCTGCAATAATGAAATTCAAGCCTGATCATCTCAGATACCAGTAATAAGGTAATAGCTAGCATAGGGGCTCATTTTTCAACCCCTGAGAAGGCTGCAAAGCTGGCTGCTCAAAATGAAACAAAACAAACCCCACAACTCTTAGACTGAAAAATGAAACCCATTTTGAGTTCAAGTAATTGAGAAAACAATCCAGGGATCTCCCCAGCCTAGTGTCAGTTTGATGTGTCCCTCAGTGCAAACCATCCTTTAGCAATACATGTTGTTTCCAAAGAAGCCCAACAGATTTAGTTGCTCAGTTCTTGTTAATATTAATTAGAAATCACCTTGATGGCTTCTGAGGTACCCCCCTCCATTAACACAAACCACAGTAAATGCAAGCTGAGTTCTTGGGATGAATCCAGTGAGTTCAAACAAATCTGAAACCCAGTGAGAACAGGACTTTAGGCCCGGAGCTCAGAGACCCACCTCCCCCATGCTGGGGGCTCCTGCTGCCATCACCAATGACTACATTCCCCCCATCCACATAAATCATCAGGTAATTCCATCAATTAATACATATACAGCATAAAGCAGGTTAAAACCTGGGCTCAAATCACTCCTTTGCATAGGATAATTGTTTTCAAACAGCACAGTGTCTAAAGAGCAGTGCTGGACTTCCTGAGGATGGGATAAGAAGCATGTCAGGTTCCCCATCCCACTATGTGGTTGCACACTGCTGTCCCTGTGAACACACTGCATGGCACGAGTGGATGGACAATCACAAGAACCAGGTATTCCTTTGTCACCTGGGATTGTTCGTGGGAATGCAGAGCTGGTGACACATCAGTCACAGTGGAGTGGATTTCCTTCTCTATGTACTGCAGATAGCACAGGGCCCTGGCAGAGGAATAAACAAGAAGGACTGTGGGGGAACTGCGGTTAAAAGGAACTCCGAAGAGCTGGCAGACTAGTTCTACTTCATCCCAACATGATGCAGAACCATCTCACCAGAGGCATGTAGTTTCCCAACAGGCTGTGGGCAAACTTGGGAATGCAAACTTCAAGGGAAGAAGAGCAGAGATTTCCTTGGCCTCAAGCAGGACTACACGACCCTTATTTTTCAAGGTGACCCCAGTTTAAGACCACACCTACAATCTGAAGCCATATTCTGCAGATGGTCATAAACATCCCTCATCAGAGACCATAACACAATGCACAGACAGGAAGCAAGAGGCATCCTGATCTCCACTGCTCTGCAGTGTAACGATACGGGAATGAACTGATGCACAGGTCCTTACAGAGGAAGTCTTATGGACACCTTTATACACATACACAAATATTTTAATATAATGGTAACTGAAATGTTATCCATATTCTTAGTACGGCCATAATTAACTAAAAACATATTTTTTAAATTTTGTAAAAATGACATATTTTACACATCTTCTATTTACAATTGCAATATACTTAAATGTTATAAAACATCCACTCTGACCTTTAAAATATATGCATACTAGGACTTAGTATTAGATATATTATAATTTATAGCAAACTTAGGGTTTGCTGTGTAGCTACCTGTTCAATGGAAATTGTATGATCAGCCTTAATAAAGACTTAATGAAGACTGCTCAAAACCAAAAACCGACAGCAACAACAACAAAAAAAAGACAGGGAATGTGCAAATATTGGGGCAGGCAAAAAAAATAATCAAGCTTGCAGTTTTTAAAAAAAAACATCACTGTGAAGACTTCCAATAAATTAAAATCATAACACACGTCTTTTTTTTTTCCTGGCATTGTCCGTGATCAAATTATTTTTCAGTACTATTAATCTGATAGGAAACGAAAACAAAACAACATCATCCCAGGTCCTTCCATGGCTGCATGTTCCCCACTCATGCCTCCATCAAGCATCAGGGTTGGATGGGGTGGCTGCTGCTGGCGCAGACGAGCTGGCTCTATTGATGATTCGTGAATACGTGCGCTCCATTCCTTGCTGTTTTGCTGAATCCTCCTTGTATGCAATCTTTTCATTGAAGAGAAAAGAAGAAAAAATATGCAACGGTGAGATCTGGATATCTTGGTTTTTGTAGTGCTTATTATCTAAGCAGTCATTTCCCGTTTTTAGATCATTAGACAGCAATCTGCTGGAGGGAAAGGATCCCTGCTGGGGAGCCAGAAGTGACCAGAGGCTGCAGCAAGGAGAAGCAGGTTCCCTGAGCTGAGGGATACATGGACCTGGGGTGCAGTCACAGGCTTCTGCCAGCAGGTTTCATGGGGCTCCCTGACCAAAGCTTCTCTATAGCAGCTCTCACGCAATCCCAGCCAAGAGGTCACTACAACTTATAGAACCAGCAAACACCTTCACTAGCATCTCCTTGGCATGGTACAGACTGCTCCAAGCTCGGCCCACGCAGTCACTCAAGGCATGCAGGATCCCCAGACCTTCTCACATCAACCGCAAGACTACGGCCAACAGCAGCCCTGGAGCCAATATCCTGGGGCGAGAAAGGGCTGAGCTGCATGTCCAGGGAAGAACAGTGGACAAATCTTGCTCCACCTTGCCCTAGCTGCAGCCTTTAGCAAGAAAGGCTTTTTTTTTCCCCCTAAAAATACTCTATTTAGCCATAGCTAGTTCCCCTGCTTCAATATACAAGTTCCCTTGGCCAAACAGACACCAGTGGTGGCAAAGAAACCTCTCCTGGTGCCATCAACCCTCAGACACTCCGGGCAGCTGGTCACAGCACAGCTTAGCTATGCCACATTTATTGCTCAGGCAATCACATTTCTCAGCATCAGGAGGATCCCGCTGAGCTGCTTCACTGACCAACACAAGTTTATGGCTAGGATCCTAACAACACGTGTCTCAACACATGTCAGGAATAATACACCACAGCAGCTTTTTGTTTTTTGTTAAAAAAAATAACACCTCCCTGAGCCTAAGGGAATCATTAGGCATGAAACTAAATGAACACAGCACATACAAAAATCAGCAAGTGAGAAAGTACATGACATTAAAAGAAAAAAGATGTAAGAAAAATGAACATACCACTTTTGGCTATAGTATTGAGGGAAATGTTAGACAGGGAAGAAGAGAAGCTGTATAAGCAAGGACCATGACAGAGCTGTCAGAAAAGAAGAACAGAACAAAACAAAAAAAGAGAAAAACATATGGTGATGAAAGAGTCACTATCAGTGGGTGAGCAAGCAAAACTCTCTTGATCATGACAATGAGAAAGATGGCAACACTTACTGTCTTCATAAAGAGCACAATGGTAATAGAGACTTAAGCATTCCAACTGCAAAATAAATATTTTGGCTACAGTTTACAGTAGGTGATGTGCTGGAGGCAATGCTCTGCTCAGGAGCAGGGGTTTGTGCATTCCTTGCAAGAGGAACGGAGTGTTTCCAAAAAGCCACACTGCACAGAAAACTTCTAAGTGCCCACAGTTATTAAGTGGGAAACTAGCTTCTGAACAGACTTTCAAAGTCTGCTGATTTTGGTTAAAGCTTTTGGTTAAGCAAAAGTCACTTTTGTTTTCTGTTGGATCAACTCAGTGTTACACATCAGCACAATTACGTACAGGTCATTCTGTATTATTTTGTCTCTTCTCTTGCATGAGGAAAACTCCAAGCACACTGATGCAGATAATAAAAACAGCTGTGAATATTTAATAGAGTTCACTGAATATTTTATGCATGCTGAAACTCATGGGCTGCTCATGACTAATTTAAGTTGACCATCTTCCATTTTTGTGGGGAACACGAGACATATGGTACCATCTCTGAACGTTAAGCAGCCAAAGTAACTTCCACCAGAGAGCCATGAGCAACCAAAGACATCTTTAGTAGAACAGTGATAAATATTATTTATGATGAAGTTACTGAAATGCATGAGGTTCACAAATCCTTATGCATCTAACTGGGAAGAGAGCACAATTCACACTACAGCAACCACTGAGCCCGACCTCTGGCATGCACCAAGCCCTCAAAGCAATTATGCAGATTTATACCCTGGGAAAAGCCAGCTTCATTTCTCAGTAAGAACCACAATGGGCCAAAAAAAAAAAAAATTTTGTAAACCATTATTCTCCTCAAACGTGAAGATGAAGAACATGGCACGGTCTAGTGGGGCAGAATCACTGGTGAGACACTTGGTGAGATGCCATCACTGATACCAATGGTTAAATAAAGTAACTGCACATCTGTGCTATGGGTAGCTAGACATACAGAACACCTGGGAAGGAATAAATGCTTCTCAGGCACAGCCTAAGGTGGCCTACCCACAACCATACAGAGGTACAATTAAGCATGCTTTAATTTGCAAGTAGTGTGCAGAATAGCTCAATTATTATTTACATTAAAACATAAAGCAATAAGTATCTGCATAGATACAGCATAGTGTGAATTTTGGTTCAGTATTATGGCACTACATATAATGCATCCATGCACGCTAATCCTAAAGTTGCCAGCAGCTGAAATGGAGTTTTTTTGACAGTATAATTAAAAAAAAAAAAAAAACTCTTACTCTGAAAGTCGAACACAAACAAACTACTGAAATATATTCTCCAGTTATAAGTTAGGTCTTAAATGCAATTTACTGTTTTAATTAAATATGTCACAGCTGTAGGACAAAGCTGGCTGGCAGTAGTTTAAGTGATATTCTTTCCATGCCTTTGGACCTCAGTCTACAGTCCCATTAACATTCAAGTTTTCAACATCCAACAAGATGGGAAGACGACATTCACTGTTTTCTCAGTGAATGTTGCACTATTTAATCTTACTTCTATATTTCTGCTTTCCATCTTCATTTGTCACTAAAAGAAACAACGAACTGCTTTCATTTGGCCTCAAACATCATTAAAGCAGACAGACTAACCTGTTCATTCATAACTGCAGAGAGCTCGCTGAGCATATCTCTATAGTGAGACTTCATTTCTCCCTGATATTCAAATTGGTCCTCCTTAATAAGGCGTTCGTTGACATCAAGAGCATGCCCACATGCTTCTGCAAATTGCCTACAAACACAAAACCACATAGAACAACCATACAAATATTGTAGTAATGAAAAAAAACATATATCACTACTATACCTCTTCCTCTCCTTGCACATTATACCTTGCTAGAAATTAATTTCAGAGATCATCCTCAAATCAAGAGGAAGACTGGCAATTGGGACAGGTTGAAGCTTCAATAAATGTTCTCCTGAGAATGATTTTAGGATATGGCAAATGCAGAAGTAAACCAGCGTGCTTCAATTCAGAATAACTCCATGTCATGTCACTCCTCATATTAGAAGATGACAAACCTAAGCTTAATGTTTACCTGAAGATTTCCTTCAGAAGCTTAACTTGATTATCAGGATATCTCTTTGCATTTGTTTCTTCCAGAAAAGCCCGAGCATAGGCCATTGGTCCAGCATTTACCTGGGGGAGAAATATACAGCTTAGGTGCATAAAACAAGTAGATTACTGCCCATTTTTCTTGTGCCTCAAAGGGAATTGGCCTCAGGCAACCAAGCTGCTGTGAAGAATATCAGAACCACTCCTCTTGCCACTTGGATGAAATCTGAAGTTTTACCAAGAAAAAAGGAGCTAAGTCAGCCCCACACAAACTGCAGATCTCTGCTGGCCTTTGGAGGCACTTAGCTTGTTAACCATCTAGAAAGCTGTGCATTTGAAGAGAATTTCAACTAGGACACCACAAATGCATGCATGTATCACCAGTATCAACTTTTCTAATGAAATGAAAAAACTAATCCTGAAAAACCCTTTCTTTAAAGTATTTGCATATTTGGCTGCGTGACAAGTTTTATTCTCAAGTGCTACACGATGGTCTCCTTAGAAAGGTCTTAACATTTACTTAGAGAAGATTTGACACAATTAGTTACATTTGCACATAAATCCAACACTCATCAACATCAATGGAAAGCTTTCTACTGTTGTATGCTTTTTGAGCAGGCTCCAACTGCACTGGAAAACAAGATACGACCAGAAGAACAAAATAGACAAAACATGTCTGAAAGGATGAAAACCAGAATAAAAATTCAGTGAACTGGGGAAAAAAACAAAACAAAACACAACAACCAAGAAAAACAAAAACAGTGTGTCTAATTTTCATTACCTTGACACTGACGCTTCCTTGAAGCTTAAGCTGCAGTCGGATCATGTCCACTTCTTCCATTGTGCAAAGCTGATTGAGCTCCGACACCTTTTTGGACATCTCATCAATCGCTACTTCAATGGGGTTCAGCTCTGTGCTGGTTTGGCTTATGACTTGAATACGCTTCTTCACATATGGAAACAAGTGGCTGGCTACTCAAAAGCAAGAAATACATTAGAGAGGCTTGGCTAGCAACAAGATAGTATTTAAGAAAGCAAAACAAGTCAGTCAAAGGTTAGACCGTATTAACCTTGACGCTGTCTACACAAATGGAGTTTTAATCACTACGTAAGCAATAGAATTCAGCAGTTCTGAATTTCTGACAGACCTGGTACTGGAAAAACATTTCCAGTGTTTGCTACTGAACTCTGTCAGATGCACATGGCAGAAAGCTCTCACCACTCAGATTTCAGGATGTATTAATTCCTTCTTCTGAATTAAAGCACCAAATGATAAACCTGTAATGAACTCCAAACACCTTAAGTATCCCACTGAACAAGTTTCACATCAGAGGTAGGAGCTTCTAGCTTAGCTGAATTGATTATTACATGCCCATAGATGAATCATTATTAAAGTGCCGTCCTTAAAAAAGTAAGGAGTCAGTCTTAGTATTCAACCTAATAATTATTATGGGAGCTGGTAGGGAATCATTAATTGGTAAAGCCTCTTATTTCCAGTACAGCCATTTTCATGGATCTCAAGAAACTTGGCAGTGATACAGCATGGGGTACTGTCTGATCTGAGCTGTTTAACCTTCTCCTGATTATCCTACACACTTTGTAAGACCTCCCAGACACCAGGCCCTCCTCCAGCGAGCATACGGTGCCAGGCAGCTCAGAGCTAAATGAGTTCCATATAAGAGGGTGGCTGTCACATCATGGACAGCAGGAAACCAAGGACTTGCAGAGCTGGAAGGTCAAGTAACAAGTAGGCATGGTAGAGTGCCAGACTGCAGCCAGACCACCCTCATCCTCTGTGCAATACAGGGGCAGGACTCCAGAGCAGTGATGCCGAGCAGCCATCCAGTAACTCTGCCTAAGCACAAGCAACTGCCATTAGTCCTCCAGCTGTCCTAATAAGCTTTGTTTTCTTCTCAAAATAAAAGCACTTCTGTTTGCATAGGAAGGAAGCAAAGCTATTTGACTTAATCCAAAGAAAAACAGTGTTTCCTTCACAGAAAAGTGCTGAGGTGAGGCAGGTGCCAGAGGGAAAGCAGGGGAGAGGTCAAATTCCCACCTAACTGACGCTGAAGATGGAGCCAGGCTGAGACTGCTGGCAGCTGATGGTGTCATCTAACAGCCAAAGGAAATTATTCTGCTGGACAAACAGCCCTCTCTGTTTTTGCCAGATGTACCACAATGGCTGCACTTTCAAGTCGGAGAAGCTGCCTGCTTCAGTACAGATCTCAAAACACCCAGTGCTGCTGAGGCACTTCAAAAAACCACACACAAGCAATTCTTTCCTTTCTTCTCATAAACAAAGCTGTTTCATGTAACAAGATGCCCCCAGACACAGGTACCGCTTTTCTGACTTGCCAGAACAAAACAGTTAGGTGACTACGCCTATACTGAAAGGTCTGTCTTCACTTTGCCCTTTGGGGAAGCACACACACTGAAGTTCGTGGGGAACAGGATTTTTGTCACTGAGAAGCCTTTGCTGTGAACATCAGCCTCCCTGCCCACTGCTGCTCAGGAGAGCAGTGCTTCTATCTCAGGCAGTTCCTCATGCTCCCAGCCAAAATTCAGACAGGTCAGGTTTCAGTAGTAGTTTCACAGAGATTTCAGTCACGATAAAGAACTGAATGTCTTCTGTTTAACATGACTCAGTAAGAACAGACATGCAATCCTCCCTACATTCCTGCCTTAAAACAGTGATTGTAACCACCAACGTGAAAGCTTACCTCTCATTCTAAAAATACTATATAATGTGTCTTACTTCCACATGGACAAGAGTTCTTATCCAAGAGTTACAGCAGAACAAGCAGCCTACCTTGCTTTTAATTTCTTCTGTTTGTTATTAAAAGAACACTTCTGAGTGCTTAGCTGCCTTCAGCAGAACCCCTCCCAAACCCCATCATTGTAAGATGCTGATCAGGAAAAACAAAAAAGCTGATGATTTCACAAATGAAAACAACTTCACCTAAGAGGGTCAGCAGGATTCTCAGAACAAAAATGCTTTGCAAATGGGCACATGGAAGAGCTAAGTTATCACTCCACGTAAAGTGCTGTGCCTACTATCTGCAGAAAGGCTGGCACCTTTGGGCCTTAGCTGCCAAAGGCAGGCTGGGGGGGCAAGCAGACGTACTGGTCAGGATGGTGCGCCTCTTGCACTGCTCTTCCACGCCGCCGTGCTTCTTTCCTGAGAGCGTGAAAGGTGTTTCGAACACAAACCGGTTGACGTTGTGATGCATTTCAAAGTCAGTCTTTCGATCTTCTGCTTCCTTCTCCTCAAAGAAAGGCGTGACATACGTGACCTGGATATAGGCATACTTTGGATCCAGGTCTTTGGGATTGACCTGTGTAACAGTGGCAAACATAACAACGTTTTGTTAAGTGTGACAGACCGTCAAGGCATTCATTATATTTCTTTTATCTACCACGGTAATATCAACAAAAATGAGAATTCCAAATGTTGTATTCAGACCATAAATTAATACAAACATTTTTAACAAGACACCCATGAAAACAGTGGGATTTTTGATCAAAGATAATCCAGAATTGAATGAGAGCTGCTTCTCCTTTACAGGAAACATTCACATGCTCTCCGCATGCATATGCTGGCATGTGCTCTCTTCCCACTAGCAGTGAAGCACTGCTCTAGCACTGGCATTTCCATACTACACTCACCATACTATGAGGTTAGTTATTTGGTTACAAAACTGGGTCACACTCTGTTCACATTCTTTCAAAAAACTGCTCACAAAACATGAACTCGCTTTTCTTCCTTGTACAGGAATCATATCTATCATACCTTGTTGGAATCCTGGATGATCTTCACATTATCTATTCCAAACTTGTCTGCGTACAGTTTCAGCAGCCTCTGAGAGATCTCAGACAAGCCAGTTAGTTTGGGCTCCTTGTAAATATACTCTTTCCCTTCCTCTTCTTCAAAAAAACCCTGTTTGGAAAGAAACAGGATACAGTGAACACACTAGGCAAGGCAAAGCCTAATAGAGGCACCCAGGATATATCTGTATACCCACCAGAGCTTCCAATATGTCATTTCCAGCATCTCAGTTAAAGGATTGACTCTCTCCATCCTCACAGACACTGCCTCATGTCTGCTTTTACACTGGCTTGGTATCTCCTAAGTTACCCAGTAAATAACTCACACACGTTTTCCCACAAGAGCTCTAGTTGTTTCAACACTGACAGCACCCTCTCTAGAATTCTGATGAGTGTATGTAAAAACTCATCCTGATGAGGAAATAAAACTTGGAGTTTTAACAAGGTTTCACTTGTAATAGGTTAACTTACTCACTTGTGAAGCAGCACACTATTAGAGCACAAGTGCAACAGCTGCCTGCTGGGTGCACAGCCTGGCTAAAATGCTGGCACAGCCCCTAACACTGCAGTGATGGGCAGAGCTGTGTCACAGGGAGCCCCAGTGAACTGACCTGTGTCTGCTCAGGGCAGCTGAAGAGTAACTCTGGGGGCATCTTCAGAAGATTAATGTGGCACTGCATCACTACAGGTGAGGCAGCTGCTATGCGATGAGCATGTATATCAAACAGTGGGGAGCAGCAATCCCAGCTGAGCAGAAAGCAGCAGCTGACCCTTCAACAAGGACTGGATTCATCCCAGCACCCTGAGCAGCACCAGCCTTCCCTCTAACATTTCATACGCTGCTGATGAAATTTGGCAGTGTTAAATGCCACAGCTGTACCCCTTTCACTGTAAGGCGAAGTGACCCAGTGGAAAATACCTGAAGCTGCAGGGATAATGGAGAAAAGGAAGACAGCATTAACGATGCCAGACCCAAGGCTCTTTAAACGAAACATGATGTAGCTTGGCAGGTAATTCTACAACACGCCCTGGCAAATTTGAAAATGTTGAAAAACAGAGGAGCACAACTGAACGAAGTCAGGAGAAATCTCCAAAATCTGTGGCAGCCACTCGTGTAAACAAACAAAACAAAACACCAACATCCAGCCCTTTCATGCCGAAGCATATTCCAAACTTTGGTCACAAGAATAATAGACCAGGAAAATTTTACAAAAATATACAGACTTGTGATAAATCAGCTGTTAATTCTAAGCTTCGTTTTAGCAGGATTAACAAATATCTGGCTTCTCCTCCAGTCAGGACAAGGGACAAGAAACCACCTGTTCACATCTGACAAGTGCCAAGAGTAGTGTGGGCATTACTGAAACAAATGACTAATAGCAGCACCAGCAGCTTGTCTGATAGTATCTTAATTAGCCTCACCATGACCTTCTAACACCGTGCCATTTTTAACAATATTAACCAATTAATCACTGCAGGCATTGGGAAGAGCTACATAGGTAATTAGAAACCAAATCTAGAGCTCAAAAAGCTGACACCCTATTAACATTTACTGAGCTGTCGCTTTCTATTGATGCTACTGAGAAAGGATGTGCAGGATCACAGCCTGGTTTCTGATCTCGTTTCCACTGAAGAAATACCACTTTATGTGGATGCAGCTGAGAGCCTCATTAGTTTCACACAACCATACTCAATCACACTGCTAGGATTGTTTCTGTCAGAAAATATCCACTTTCTGTTACTGTTCAATGCTTTTAACAAACAACAAAACAAATACCAAAACTAAAACAAAAAAAGCCCATTTTTCAAATTAATCACATAGCAAGCTAGAACATAGCTTATCCTCTTATCTTAGATGTTAGTTCTGGATATGTTTGCATGCTGCAGGACAGCATTTATATGCAAGAACCAAATCTGCTGCATGGCACAGTAGGATGCTATCTCTGCTAACGGTGCTGCTCAGGAAAAAAATGAGATCAACAGTAAAAAGCAACACAAACCTCTCCAAAATAAAAGACACAGCTAACAAATTCTGTCTCCTCTCTAACACAGGAGATAGCATTTATGTACAAATTCCCTGCAGTATTTCAGTGGACAGAAGTTAATTGCGAGCTATAAATAATCGTGTCTGCCATATGCTATATGTCTGCCTAAGACTATTGAAAGCGAGATTAAAGACTTTTTAGGAGCCAAATATCCTCCAATTTAAGGATTTTAAAATGTTAAGCAGCCAGGGTCACACTATCAAAGCATATTCCCAGACTATTTGCATGCTAACTGTTTTTGCCCTTTGAGAACAATGTAGCTTTACACATGAAAATTACTAACATGGAGCAGGTAAATGTAAATAAAGGGAGAACAACCTCATGGTGACGGACTTCCTCTACACTCTGCCATGCTGTGAGTGGGGCTGTGACCCCAGATGTCGGTGTAAGAGTGCTGGAAGGGCCCTTCTTACTCCTTGCATACCCACAGGTGCAGCTCTTAAAGCTCACAGTGCATTTCCTCCCTGCCCTTAAGTGGTACAGCAGGCCCTGCTCCCACAGCAGGCAGAATGCAATGAGGCCTTATGCTTTAAGATGATCTTTGCACAGGCCAAGTGCATGCTGGTGGGAAATGAGATTGCTGCTTATGTGGGCTAAAGTGAGCCAATGCTCCAACCCCTTACTACAGCAAGCACATCCCCACTGCAAAGAGAGAGTTGAAGCACCTCAGCAACTCATTTCCTTAGCACCAGAGACAACACAGCACTCACTCAGATGTTCTTGCATGGAACAGCATTTCCACAGCCAGCAAAGGTTGAGGCTTGGTATTTACAGGACCCTTCCCTGCCTGTATCAAGGGTGCAGTGATGTGCCAACATCACCTCCTGTACTAAGTGGGCTTGTGCACAACTCAGTAAGAAGCTATTGCAGCTGTTTTATTAGCAGATGTGGAAAAGATCATTCTGTGATCTTCAGACATAAACCTGCAGATATCTTACTGCTAAGAAAGTCTGCCCTACAACTAACTACCAGAGCTGATTGAACAGATGGGAGAACAGAACCTCAGCTCCTCAGCTTTACCCTTAGCTCACTGCACTGAATCATGTCTTGAATGGTTTTTGCTTATAAAAGCACAATGCAAGTTTTCAGCTATTCAACATAACTAGCAGCTCTCATGTATATACATATATAAATTCAAGAAAGATCTTGACCTCTCAAAACATTCAACTGTGCATAAAATCATAAGCCCTGGCCCATAGCTAGTGTGGCCACTTGGTGGTGCAATGAGATGCTGTCACCAAAGGCCTTAACAGAATTTGCAGCCTAAAACAGCAGCTGCCCTGAGATCTGGCTCTCTGAACTGGTGAATAAAACTCTCCGGTGAAGATACAACAGGCACAGAGGTCTGCAAGCATTTCTGGCAATAGAAGAAACAAAAGGCTCCACATCTTTCCACCTGTACAGCCAACATGGAAGTAAATGGCACAAGGCACAAAGGAGCTGACAGAAATGCAGAAAGGAAACCTTCTGCAGGGAAGAAATGTGCAGTATGTGGGAATGCATGATTCTCTCTCCATTCTTTATGTGGTCAATCCCTATCTGTAATTCCTACATCTCATGTGGTGCTTGGTGTGTTGGTATACCTTCCTTAATCAGTTTTGCAACACTGAGTGCTATTATCCTTGGTAAATGAGGCACCAGTAATGTTGATGGGAATAATCTACCTTCAATTATTTGCACTGTGCCATACGCTTTAGTCACTATGTCTCTGCAAGGAGCAGTACAGAGCAGTTCCAATTTCTGCCACATAAAATCTCATCTGCAAAAGGAAATAAAGAAGCTGTGCTTGTTTGCATTTAGAGCTCAGTATCCATGTGCACAGGGAATAAACCGAGCAACACACAGCTATGAAAAAGTCATATGCTTTCAAGCACTAAAGCTGTTTAAATGAAGTTGCCCTCGTGGCACCAGCAGCTGAAAGCCATCGCACTGTAACAGAGATTTTAACCCAGTTGAGCAGAACTACTGCAGCTAAATTACCCACTTACATGTAGCTTTACTCCATGAGCTTGGCTGCTTGGTGGAGGGGACAGCACAGGGGCAGCCCCAGCAAGAAGCTGCAAGCAGAGAGTCTTATTTCCACCTTCACTGTCCCCATTTTGAGGAAGGGCATAAGTTAAAACTCTACTCTTCCTCAGGTACAGCAGCTTGCTTTCTTGCATTTGTCAAGTTCAGCTTTGCTGATCTGTAGGGAGAGCCAGGACTCACCACTCCCTTTGAATCCCAAATTTGCAGGCTCCTAAGAAGAGATCATGGGGCTTGTGGCTGCCCCTGCCCAGGGTGCTCAATTACTCCTGCCATCAAACACAGATGGACAACAGCCTCCCACTCTGGAGCTGCCGCACAGGCCAGGAAAGCAGACTTGCATTCAAACAGCATTAGTGTGATGCTGAGTTTTTCAGCACAGAAAGAAGGGGTCCAATCCTGCACCCAGTGAAGCTGAGAGGGAAACTGTCACTGAGATGAGTTGACAGCATTGAGCCCCACAGTGCACACACAACACGGTGACAGATACAGCTTTGTAGTTTGGGTAACTGAACAAACAAAAATTAGTTTGCAGGATGCAACAATGAATGGAACAACGTTATTTTTTCTGCCACAAACCGAAGAACTGAGAGCGCGGGGAAGTTAACGTTAAGTACAGGGAAGGATGGAAGATGTGTGAGGAGAATTAAACAAAACATGCAAAAGAACTAGACTTACCACAGCCTTGAATAAGATCAAAAGGAGAAAAGAGCAAATTTCTGTATTAAAATCTAATTAGCAAACAGAATGATTCACATCAATCTGTTGTTTACACACCTTATTTTAAAATATTGCTTGTATGCTTGCCAAAAATAGGTCTTAAAAAAGCATGCTGGATTTCTACACTGGTTTGTAGTGGAAGAAAGCACAAAATAATGCTTTGAGGATGCTGAAGCACAACAAAGGGAATAAAACTACTCTACAGTATATTGCATAGAATCAGAGGTGGCCTGAAAGCAGAAGTCAGCCAGGGAAAAATAGAACATAACATCTACTGCATACCACTCTGCTTTAAGCTCTATGAGAAGAAAAAGCCATAAGAAAGATGTTTTATTCAGTTTCATTCTGAAAAATCTGCCCTGCCTCAGTCTCAGTTCTGCTTGACAAAAATCAAGAACTAAATCTAATGTAAACATCTGCTCTCCACTGCACCACTAAATCCAATGTAGCAGTTTGCACAGATGCAACTGAGTGCCTTCTCCTCTAAATAAAAGCCTCCTGAGAGTTTGACCCATGGTGCACTTTTTACTCCATGGTTCCCTGTTGACTGTTTCCCTGTTTTAGCTTCCCTGAAATACAGCACGATTAGAAAGTGCCAGCTGAAATCCAAGAATCTATCAAGACAAAAGAACACGAGTCTGCTTACCTGCCCATAAAATGCAACACGGTAGTATCGCCCAAACAGACGCTTCTCAGAGTTCACCACCTCTGCAACCTTCAGGTATGAGCGGTGGATGTCATAGTACAGATCAGACAGCCTCTGCGTGGAGAGACAGAGCAAGAGGGAAGGTGAGGAGGAGCAAGTCCTTCAGGAAATGACACTGAGGCTCTGCACAAGCATGGCTTGCCTTAACTAGATACCCAAACCTTTGCAAAGATAGCGACATGTGTCAAGGGAGTGGTTAAACCTTGACTCTAAAGAATTATTTCAAGGCTTTTGACATCTTCCAAGCATGCAGTTTTATAGCAGAGAGTGTCTACATGAGCAGGGTCACACTGCATCTCATGAAAAAGCAGTGATAGGAACTGTCTGAGTGGTCAGAGGAAGCAAGTGACTTGAGTGCAGGGCAGGGCAATGTGCCACCAACCCCAGTCAGCTTCCACACGCAGGTACGCTGCCCACAGCTCCCACCACAAATGACTGTCTTGTGTACAGAGCCAAGAGTTCAAGTAAGTTTAAATCTAAGGACTTGCTTCTTCAATATACAGCTTATATCTGCTCCTTTTCCTTTTTACTAGATTTAAACCAGAAAATCTGTATATGACATCACCATCAGGTTATCCATTATGCTTTGAATTTGACAAGTAAACAAGAAATGAAGAAACCCTGCAGTCACCAAGCCATCACACACTTTATCAGCTATTTCTGAACTCAAATACAATGAAAATATGATCTTGGTTTAAAAACATATGTAAAACGTTCATCGATTAACTGAGATAGATTTCTCCATGGGGACACGTAACGAGGGACATAACAAAAAAGAATCTTAATGAAATATGGCTAGCAGGATGTTGCTGTGGTTTTGATAACCTTTACAAGTCGATTTGTCTGAAAAGCTTTTGCTTGTTCATGGTTGCACTGATGCTGAAAAGAAACCAAAGTTCTTTTATTTACTCATAGCATGAAGCACTGAAAGGAGAAATTACAGACAGGAAGAACAAAACATTCCCTGTAAAGAAGGCACATTAGTTTAAAAATATTGATCTTTACTGTTGGCTTACACTGATTTCCATAATAAAAAAGAACTTACTTTAAAGTCCCTCTGCTTCTCAAAAACAGCAATGATGGGCTTGTTAACCTCAGCAATAAGTTCATATCTTTCAGACTTCCACAAGTATTCAACACACAACTCCAGCTGCTCCACCAGGATGTTCTGCAATTCCACAAGGAACCATATCAGTCAATAGCTGACAGCACTTCATTATTAAGTGCATAGAAAAAGCACCTACCCACTGTTTTTTTTTGTTTTTGTTTTTGTTTTTGTTTTTTATTCTGCATCTTCTATACTCAAGCTTAGTCCAATCACACAATGTTTAGTCAGGTATTGGTGACCTAGCACTGCTTTAGACAACAAACTGAAATTGCAGTTACATGGTAATACTTGACTTCTCATTCAGAAGAACAGGATGGCACTGTGTGCTCCAGGTTGGAGCACTCAATGTTCTACTCAGCTGAATACCTATCCCAGCTATTTAGCAAAACAGTCATGGTATTTCACTCAAAAGCAGTGTCCTTTTAAAGTTGGGTGAAGTGCACTCTCACTATAATTCGTTGCACAGGCATCTGTTAGAAATACTGCTGACTGCAAGTATAAAACAAGACTATAAAGGTTAATGCCTCTGACCTCATTATAGGGAGTATCTTGCATCCCAGAGTCTTCCTTCATAGCACCTTCTTCTTTAATGTTGGGGGTAATGCTCAGAAAAGCAGGCCATCCCATGGAAAATAAGCCTTGAAGTGCAAGTCAAAACAACATCAATTAACAACTGAATGGCCAGACAATTAAAAAAGTTAGTTGAAGCTATTAAAACAAAGCTGATTTCATTGATGAGGTTTGTTACTTTTTCTTTCCCACAGCTCAAGTGATGAGAAGTACAAATGGAACTGACTGAGTTTATGAGACCATCATACAATTCCTCTATGAAGTAAATCAATTTGCTCAGGCAAAGGGTAACTGCGATATTTTTCTGATGCAATCTTATTTCCCTTTGGCATTTCAGTTCCTTGGCTGTGCAGTGCTACGCATGCCACACTCCTTTACACAGGAATTACCATTGCAGGTGGAGGAGTGACAATTTATACTCACGAAACCAATATAGGCACTTAACCCTAAATGCTGGGACTTGCAGTCGTTCCACCCATCCCATCTCCTAACAGAGGGGCACAGTTGCCACAGGCTCATGTCAGCTGATGCAGAGGTGGCCACTCCAGAAGAAGCTGTGCCTCTGCTGGGCTCGAGGATGCCCTGACAGCTGTGCTCCTTATCCTGCCCTGGGAAAGCAGCGACCACCGTTCTGCTTGAGGAGCTCTTGTAGACAGCTCAGAGTGGTTGCTGAGGGAAGCCCTCCCTCTGCCAAGTTTTGGAAGAGTTTTGAGCAACATATCTTTTTCCTGATGCGTAGGTTTAAAATTACCCCAAAGTTCTTCACTCTGTTTACTGTGATCTGTTATTTATACGAAGTATAAAAGCGAGACATCCCTGAAATACTGCTGTGTACAAAAGCCCCTTTCATCTCATCCACAGACATTTGCAAGATATCAGAGAACCATGGTCTTTCCAAAACTAAGTTTTCTCTTCCCAGATATATTTGTTTTTGTCCCTGGAAATTGCTCCTTATGAATGCTACTAAAATAGCTCAAGATGAAAATTCCTTTAAAATACACATTTCATGAACTAAACAACAACGCATGGAAGCATTTCAAAGACATAAGCCTGCACTTCATTTCTCTAATTAGCATTACAGATTAAAAAAAAATCTTTATCTATACAAAGTTACATATGGATAATCTGATATTAATTCTGTCCTTGTCCCCCAGCTTTGGATAGTCAAGGAAACTGAATATGGATTTGTGTGCTAAACACCAATTGACCTGAGAGGATTGCTAATGAAGAGCAGACTGCTCTGTCCACAGAAGAACCCTTAGCCAGAGCTGTTCTGTGCCAAAGAGCACCAGCCAAAGAGCATCAGGAAAGTAACACAATGCTTCTGACATTACTTGCTTGCTGTTACAGCCATCAACATGCACTATAAATATTTTCAGTTTGGTAGATACTTTTCCAGATCAGTTGAAGAACATTAATTCTCTAGCACGTTATCTGACCCATAAACAGGCACGGTTAGAGCACTCACTTCCTCCAGTGTGAGTTGTTAGTAACACATTACTATCAGAGACTTGACCATCCTCCAGGAGCATACGTGAGGTACAAATCTTTTCCATTTTCCAGTAACCTATGATAGCGTAAGATGGTATTAGTACACTGCTACTGGTACGTGTTAATACATGCATATTTAATAACAGCACACTAACAAGTGAAGCATTCTCTTTTAGCACTACTCTACTAAACGTTTAATTAACCCTCCACACAAAACACATACTGTCACTGTCCTAGTGCTAAGACTAGTACTTACAATGTATTAAAAATAAAGTATTTAGGTAAAATTTGAGCAGCTTTAAGAATACTTTATTTAAAGGTAAGGAAAGGAGAACAATCAAAAATTCTTTTCAACGATATGATTTATAAATACATAGGGTTGATTTTGAATATATTGATCTTACCCTTTCTTTTTAGGTACTCCGCAATGAGAGCAGCGATGTGAATGTAGCACATGGCAGCCTGCAATGAGAGACCAAGATTCGTGTATATGTTGAAGCACACCGACTTAGCATACGTGTGAAAGGGAATGGGCAAGTATTTTCATTACTGACAAGTCACATTGCAGAAGAGGGAAAACAAAACTAACGTAACATTTTGAGCAAATAAAGGATTAAACGATGAAACCTCTCTCCAGTAATAATTTCACAAAATGCATCAGACAAAAGCACAGACTAAGAAGTAAACGAGAACACCAGGAAATTCGCTCAACAGAACAACATAAGATCAGTTAGTAAACACAATATTGCTGGGCTAGGTTCACATCAGTCATTCAGTTTTTGATGAACAGGTCACGTTATAAATATGCAACTTCTCTCCTACACTGTTTAAGGTGGAAAAAAAAAAAAGAATTATGTAAAAACCTGTATGTAAATAAAGCACTGTTTATAACCTCACTTACACTAATATGCCTGTTAAGAGTGAGCAGGTGAGATGCTAATACGATGCTGGACACATCTTCACCATCAGACGCTTTTAAGCCTTGCTCAAGCACACATCAGGCACTGTCACACTTAAGCAAACTGAGGTAATACACATCACATCTCTAGGCACTGCTCAAACCTGTCTTTCAGTGTATGACAGATTGTATACATCTCTTAAATCACTGCTGTTATCTGTTTTCACAGCCCTTTTCATCAGAACATCTCAGCCCAATGACAAATACATTTCCTACTCATTTGTTTATAAATTACCTCTGATAAATCTCCATTTCTTGCGTGAATCTTGGCCATGCTTTCAAGCCAGGTCCTGCGTAATTCAGGTGTGCTGGCATAGGAATTTGCTAGGCTGTACTGCAGGTCCACAAGCATCTCAGGGTCTTTCTCATGTTCCTTCATCTGAGCTGTGGCCATCAAAACTGTTCTGATGCGTTTGGTCAGATCCTTCACCTCTGCTGGGAAATTAACGTTCTTTGGGAAAGATAAGCGATACATCACTAAAACCATCCAAAGAACCACATGCAGCACCTCTGACTGAGCTCCCATTCTGCTTGTGGAACATCTCCCCATCTCCACAGTTTATTTGGTTGGAAACAGATTTACACTTCAACAGTATACACACAATTTACACTGCTATGCATGTTTTTGGTGCACATCTACTGAACAGATTAGGGACAGTTTGTAGACTTAAAGACTGCTAATTGCACTAGCGTTTCATCAGTCATAATGCACAGCATCTTCTCTGATATCAGGTAGCCAAAATGTCTTCCTGAGAACAAATTAAGCAGCAAGTAACAAATAAATTTCAATCAGAAATCTGTTGATCTAAATTATTAATTTAGTGATTCATGAATTCGTCGATGTCTGGTTGCCTCAAAAAACATACTACGTATGCACAAGTCAGTGTGTAACCTGAGTCAGCAATTTTATTCACAGAAACACTTGCTCCTCTGAAGTTGTTGATATTTTGAAAGAGGTAGTGATTGATAAAAGAAAAAAGTTTCTTACTTTCATCTGCTTGTCTCCATTAGCAAAATTATTTATAATTGCCAGTGAATGTTGAAACCGAGATCCACCAATCCCTGCATCTGCTATCAGCTGGCTCACTGCTTTGATGAGCTGTACAAGTAGAGAGTAGCAACAAAGCCCAACAAATAAAAAAAAAAAAAGAAAAAAAAGAAAGAACAGGGTGCAGTTAGCAATGAAAATCAAAGATTCTAAACGTTTTTTTAATGCCTGCTTTAATGTAACTTAATGTACTAGTCAAGCAGAAATGCACTTTTAGACCTATTTTAAGAAGATCATAGAACTGTTTGGGTTGGAAGGGACCTAGAAGATGCACCTCCCACTGAATTAGTGCCCACAGCCCCAGTCACCCTGCCCTGAAGCACTTCCAGGGATGGCACATCTACAACTTCTGCGAGCAACCTTTCCAGTGCATTGCCACCCTCAGAGCAAAGAATTTCTGATGGAAATTCACCCTCTTAATTTAAAGCCACTATGCCTTGCTCTTTCACTACATTCTTTGAATGCAGGGATTGTAAGCAAGCTTTCCATTTTACAATATAAGTGCATTGTTACTGGGCAATATGTTTCCATTAATATATTATTAGATTCTGTTTAGCTACTTCATCAGCTATATTCTCAGCGCTGTAAGCAATGCACACGATTCAAGAATAGCCTTATATGTGATTTACTTGGCCATGTGGCTGGGTTCACAGCTGCTGTCTCTCCTTGGAATGGAGCCGAATAGGCCAAGAACAGAGAATTCAGCCCAATGTCTTCAAACTTGGCAGAAAAATCAAACTGCCACAGAGAACTGTCTGGGGAATTCAAATGAACTGCTGTGCTGCAATGCATAATAATAATAGCAGTAACAACAGAACAATGCACATCAGATAAATACTGATGATCTTACACTTGACTCACCTGAAGATGGGATCTGACTATTGATTTCTGCTTATTAAATTCAAAGTTCTTCCTCATGAAAAAATAAAGTAGAGCAGACGCCTCCGTCTGAGTTGAACGTGACCTGTGGTTACAGCATTTCAGGATTTCATAGCAAAGTGAGCCACAGAGATCTGCTTGTCCTTGGAAGAATGCTGATGGGAACTATCGAGGAAACAAAAAAGTGTGGATATAAGCTCTCAGGCCTTGTTACAATTATTCTGAGTCAACAGTGTTTGTCTGTCATGCTTCCAGTAAAAACAATCGTCTTTCACATAGTCACTGACACCAGGGTTTAGTGAAGAAATTAGCCATCGGCTAAACATAATCCCATGTGCAAATCAAGTTCAAGTAAAAACTGCACACAGGTTTTCATGCAAACACCATATGCAATGCATCAATCAGACTGACCTCTGAGAAGTCCAGACAGCAGCTGGTACGCAGCAAGCATAAAAGCAGAGCAGCCTATCTGCAAAGAATGCAGAACAGCTAAACAGGAAAAGAGGGGGGTGGTGGTCTGCTCTACTATAAAAGCTGCTCAGGAGAAAGAAAATGCTCAGAGCTGCAGTCACTGCACTTCCAACAGTCAAGAGCTGGAACAACAGGGTGAAGGACAGCTCTGTAATACATAGTATTTACAAACAGGGTGAATACAACAGAAGACAGAGCAGTGAAAGGTGGAAGAAGTACATTCTGGGCACAGATCTCAAGTTCTGCCCAGAACATTCTACTGCAGGAACCAAAACTGATCCCTGCTCCCACTGAACTACAAAGGAAGAAATTAATCCTGAGAGCTACGGGATGAATGAAAAGGCCAATCCTGGATATTTATTCATCCTCCCCACTGCATATACTCCCTCCATTCCTGACTGTCTGGTATGTAATTGAAAGCTGTCTGTGGCTGATCTACATTATATTTTGCCCATCCCCCAGGCACGTTACTTGGAGAAGCATGGTTTCCTTCCCCTGACACAACAACCATCAGAGGAGGCGGCCACATGGTTTAAACTTATCTGCACTGTTGTGCTTTGCAGAAACATCCGGTAGACCAGGCTAGCATTGCTTATTCTCACTTCCCCATATCAATTTTTATCTGCGTGCTACATCTTGGTTATTTTTAAGAGGATCTCATCTAAGCCTATGACTTGGAAACTGGACAGCCTTTGCAGTTGTGGTACAAAATGTCTAATTGCTCACAACTACTAATACATGTGCAATGCATGCAAATAAAGAGTTTGATGAGCTCGTTTTTGTCCAAAATCTCTTCTATGTTGAAAATGACGTTTGTAAAAATGTAATACTTCAGGTGACCCGCTGGGATAGCCTATGGAATAATCTCCTGCTAGCTCCTCTGGGGACAGCTGGATTCTGCTCAGGTTTCTGCCATGAGGACTGCATGAAGACCTCGAGGATTTCAAGCTTTCTTCCACAGGCAGCAAAAACATGAAAACCAAGAGAGCTGTGACATAGTCAGACACTAGACAGATGGATTTTAACTATATATTTTACAAGCTTTTCTTTCATGGAGAATTTCAATATTTTCATTTTCCAACAGATGTAGTTTTTCAGAAGTCATGAGCTTCCTGCTTTTAAATCAATAAATCAGAAGATCTTCAGGATTGTGCATCAATACAGTGCAGGTGAAAATTCTGTCAAAGTACTCAACTATCCTCAAGCTGCAATTGCTGTGACAATAATAGTTCAGATTAACAGAATAAAACCATAGTTACCTTGCCTACAAACAGCCGGAGGGCAGCAAAGACATGCTTGAGAGCTGCTGCTGACTGGTTGATTTGCAAAAAGAGCATGTGTGTGTCAAAGACCTTCTTCATCAGTGCATTCTGGCAATCAGATTGCTGGAGCTGCCTCTGAAAAGCACACACAGAAGACAGAACACGCTGGTTATTTAAAGGAACGAACAGGTGATGACCTGCTGGACTTTGCATTGAGTGCTCCTAGTGAGGTGGTTTTTTTCAGTTGTCTGCCCTGAAGTGTCAGGGGATGAGGCAGTCCCAGCTTGCTGCAGACATGGTTTGCTTGCAGCTTTCTAAAGGTAACACTTGCCCTGTACTCCTACTTTTGGCTGACATACACCAGATTTAAGGGTGCTGAAGTGAGATCTAAATCTGAAAGGAGCTGCTTGCTCTTTTGTAGCTATGAGACCTTCAAGAAGTCACCTGGGCTGACATTAATAGAACTAAAAAGTGAACTTATAAACTTAAAATAGAACTTGAAGTGCAGAGGATACACCTGCCAACTTGCGCAGATACAGATGAACATGAGTAAGATGAGGTGACATATTAGTAGATGAGCAAACCTTTCATGCAGAGCAGAGCTGTATATAGCCTTGGATATTCAGAACGCTCTGCATCCCATCTTTCTTTTCAACTTACATGCTGAGTCAAACTGTTCATGAAATACCCTACTGAGGACTGTTATCTTATTTCCTGATCTTGCTGTCCCAGCATTTTGAGTCTTCTGTGTGTCTGACCCTCGAGGTTTTTCCCCCACTGCATAACTCACACAGCACCACTTCAAGCAGAAAACAAAACAGCAAAACATACCTGGTGGTTTAGAGTGTAAAGACACAGCAGGTCAAGAATTGTGAGGGAAACTTCTGTAGCAATGTTTGCCTCTGTGTCCACGTACTGTATAATGTCTGTTTCACTTGAGCTACCTAGAACATATGAAGCAATGACAATCTTCTGAGCATCCTTAAAGACAACATAATTTTGCATCTCTGTGCAGTAGAGATGGTGTCCTAACTAACTGTACGTTTAAATTAAAGGGTATGTTAAAGAAAAATGCTCCTGGAAGATAGAAGGGGCTGTGCATTTGAATCAACTTCTCTCACCCAAATTGCTTCATAGGGATGATGGGTATAGTGCTTAATATACACCGCAACACACTGAGCACAAACAACACCGATTGCTGGGATTTACCTTCTTACAATACTCTGAAAAGACACTAGCTTTCAGCTACACCTACCTCCTATCTCATAATATATGCTGTCGTTATTAAAGGTGACTAAAATCTACCAAATTCTGAAACAGACCAAAAGGAAAAGAACCTTCTGTCCTGAAAAGGTCACTCTTATTGCTTAGTTTAATAAAGGTAATGTTTCAGCCAGCATGCGTCTGATTGCACAGCAACTACATAACCACAGATGGAAGAGATGCTGGGGGTAGGGAAGATTACTTACCAGTAAGGCTACTATAATACGTCAGGTTACTTTAATTCGTTCTGTTTTTTTGGTTTTTTTTTGTGTTTTTTTTTTTTTTAATGAACTTTTAAATCTCAGATTTCTTAGCATCTGGAAAAAGAAGTGTAATCTCAGTAGCTCTGATTCCCTTCAGGCTCTCTCTCACAGACAAGCATGAAAACAAATTTAATTGTCTAGAGCTTGATCCAAATCCCATAGAAGTCTAGAGGGAAGTAAATACAGTTTTTTTGGTACTTACATGCAGTACTGCTGTCTATCATCTGCAAGAGTTTGGGGTTAGAAAGCGCATTTTTGCCACGGATTATTGGTAGCGTCTGAGATCTGTGTTTGTGGCCATCGTGACTAGAAGTAGAATGCATCCTGAAATCCAAAGGTATCACTTAAAAATAGAAATAACGAATAAACTGATCATGCCTATACAAAACTTTTCCATGTCGGAATTTTCTGAGGTACTTCTCAAATGCTAAAGTGAAACCTAGCAATGCAAAATTTTTCACAGAAACAAAGAGAACATTAGAGAGGTGAACAAAATAAACAGATGTTCTAGAGACCACAGGAGATGAAACTCATTGATTATTTTTCAAAAAGCACCAGCTTAAATAGCTGGCTGATATTTAGAACACTGACTTGAGATGAAGAGAAATTAAGATTAGTCCTGTCACAAAAAACACGGGAGAAACAGACCACACTCATGAAAGAACAAATACAGCTAAGTAGCTTCTACAAGGGGGAAAATAATGAGAATGACAGCAACAATGAAAATGTGTGTGTTTGTATGCCTGTTCTTTCAATCTTTTCACACTGTCAAACAGTATTTCATTATCATGAAAAATTTATCGTAATTGGTGAAAGGATTTTGAATTTGTGACTACTACAGAATCCAGCAAGATTTAATATAAATCAAAGCTCAGGTTACTTATTTAAATATTATTTCAAAATGTAGCTTCCTAAAGTTGCATAATTTAAAGATGTTGTTGGACAGAATTGATCCTGCACCTAGCTAAATCCTCTTTTATTAGTTGTTTATTTAAAAAAAAACCAAACAAACAGATTCTACATTTAACAAGAAAGTTTCCAACTCAGGTGTGAAACTAATGGCCAGACATTTGCCAATCAATGTGACAAAGTTTTCCATGATGGGTCACAGTGGAAGGATCTGGGTGGACATTCTGGCAAAACAGCGCATTGGATATTTGGAATTCTGACCTTGAGGTGTTTGGTGTTTTTTTTCCCCTTTGGTAGGAAGTTGATTCTCTACGAGCACGGTGACATTCAGCAAATTGGAGTATGTAAATGTCAATGCAAGTTAGAACTGATCAGCAATGCTTCATCTTTCAGCTCATCATCAAAGAATGCTCAGCATTATAACAGGCCAAACAGGCTTTTGGACAACAAATCTGTGAGGGGGTAATGTATGAAGGCCCCGGAATCAGTAGAAATGTGACTATGCCACCACATTTGTTCATCAGTGAACATGCACCAGAACAACAGTTTCCTAAAGGCTGCTTGCCAGGTCCACGTGAGATAATGAAATCAGTGCTGTTTCTTGAAAACTGTACAAAGAAACAAAGAATGAAGAAACAAGCATGGAAGGCAGGCATCTTCTCCCCTGTGTACTAACTTTTCTACTCTGAAGTACATGCTTCTAGTAGCGTGCAAATTCTAGCTAAATGTAAACGAGAAAACCAATGATCCAAACATACAAGGAAGGGAGACTTTCTCAGCATGTTCTTAGATATAGCCATAAGCGTAGAGTCAAAAGTTCACTTTCTCTCTGGAGTTTTACATTATTAACTATGAAAATGCTCAGCTATTCCATAAAAGGGTCAAAAAGATTATTAAAGGTGCACTGCACTTGTGGTTTATTACCATGCTACCCATGAGAATAACTGAATCTTTCAGTCATTAGACTAGGAAGAGAAAAGAAAAAAGACCATGAAAGACAGAGGCTGTGGAACTGGCAACATGGAGGTAATGCTATAGTTAATGTATAGTTACACATAGCCATATGGAATTGAAAAGACAGGGACCAAGCATACCTATTTTGAAGTTTGACTCTGTATTTCACAACCTCAGATTATCAAGAGGCAAGTAATCTCCTGATATTGTAAATACATCCATGAAATTCACCCATAAAGCAGTAAGAATGCAAACATTTGAATTCATTCAGGTTGGGGAAAACTGTGAAGTATCTTTCAGATAGGCATCTGAGCAGAAAACAACAGCTACCCTTTCTGCATCACTTAGCAATGTATTGACAGTAAGAATTTTTCTGAACATAACATTTTAAGCAGCTTTTAAGCCCAGCTGAAGCTGAAGACTCAATTCTTTTACAGTTTACAGCTCTGGGGGCTCTGAAATGTGTTACGGGTTGTGCCAACTCCTTTACAATTAATGCTGTGATTGTGCAAGATGGCTGCAGGATGACAAAAGCTGTGATTTTACAGGGGTTAATAACGAGGTGTGTCATTACCATTGTGAGAGCAGACCTGATGCCTGGCCAGAGGAGTTTGAACCTTTAAGGGTGCCATTATTCTGGGTGCCCTGAACAAATTTAAAAGCAGCAGCAATTTTCCTGTTAAAAGAAAATAACTGTTAATCTGTCAGGAACGTGACAGTGATTTTGTCATGCCTCTGAAGAATAAACAGAGGCCTGACAGAACCTGCCACAGAGCATGAACTGGTTTATCTGGCGACCTTTCATTTCTCCACAGTGTGACATACAGATAAGTTTACAGTAGTAGCATTAAATTAAAAATGAAACAGCGAGTAAGACAAGGTGTGCGTTTCACATTATGCAGCTGGAAAAAGATCTCATGCTTTTTCAGGAAAGTGGGTAGAGACAGAAGATTTTTTGTTTTTTGATTGCTGTGGAACACTTTTCTATGCCCATTAAAGCCATTTGTTCCATCACATAGATGAAAAATAGCACTCAATTTCTTTTATATGACATACATTGAAATCAGGTTGAAGAGTGGTTCAGTATGGGTTATAAATGCAACAGTGGCTATCACAAGTAATTCATCTTTGACACCAGGCACATACTCATCACTCTAGAACATTATGATAAGGATATCTGCATAAAAGAAAAAATGCAGTGTACAACAGCTTGATGCTTTCAGAAGAAAACACAGGCACAGATAAACATTCAGGCTAATGTAATCAGCAACATTTAATATTTTAACATACAGCCTATAATGTGGCAGTAACATTTAAATATTATAATATAGTTATAACCAAAAATTACCTTACAATATTGCGCTTTCCTAGATATCTGAAATTTTGAAGACACACCCTGAAAGATAAAGCAGCACTTTATGTCTTTTAATGGCTTCCTAACTAAAAAGACAACAAGAAGCAGCTGAATTGTAGTGATTTGAAAGGACCTGCTGAATGTGTCTGCTTGTTAGCAAACAAAATAGGATGCAGAAGTTTCCTGACTAAGTATGTAGAAGGTGTGGGGACCACGTTGTTCACCCTTTTTCACTTTCTCTCTGGTTGAAGATTCCTGCTTGGTGATGAGGCAAACTTGTCACGGAATTAACTAGATCAGTTTATGCCCGTGACAGGGGGCAGTAGGCAAGGATTTGGCTGTAAAAGCATTGCTTCCTCCCCAGGTGAAGTTAAGTTGCATTTCACTTATCAAGTGGGAAGAGAATTCTGAAAATAGCTATCTGTGACATGCATGGGTTGGACTGAGTAAACCACCTTACAGAGATGAAAAAACATACATTCTTGATAGCATAACTTTTCTTAAGGTTTGCGATGTTTGAGGAGCTAAATATTTTCCACATGGAAGAAAAGAACCTCAATCCCATACAAGGAAATTATACTATCAAAATATCTGGGAGAAAAACCCAAAGCATTAAGGCCTCTGTTCATAGAAATGGTCAACATATTGGAAGGCAGGGGTTCTGTTACTAAGGTCTCACTACGCCTTTGGAAGACTGTAGTAAAATAATCCAAGATACAATAGCTATTCTTAGCTTATACCATGAAGTCAACAAACTCAAAAATTGACAGCAGTGGCTTTTGAACATCATCATTCAGCCATTTAAATAATCATTTAATAAATAACTATAAAAATGAACTTACTCCAAAATGCTGAAGAAGTCTGTTATTTCTGAGAATGGTGCTCTCAGCCAGTAGGAAATTAGTGCATCTAAAGAGAGATATTAAAATATATCACGTATTTATTACAAGGAATTAAGCATGCCACTGATAATTATTCTAATGATTGTTTGGATTCAGTATTCATACTATTTTACGACAACCTCAATCAGGTAGTGCACATTTTCTCACCTTCTGAAATAGTTTTCATAATGTGAAGGAAACACATAAGAAGGCTTCTAGTTTCAGCCTGATCTAGCTTGTCAAAACGAAGAGTTGATCCAATCAAAGACAAAGGTCTCATGATCTGTTGAATTGACAGCAAAGGGCTTTGTTGAGCACAGTGATAAGTATTCACATCTGGTAATCATTTTCAATATTTGCACATGTACCTTTTCACACGTGTCAGTTCTCTCACTGTTTTTTTCATTGGTACTTGGGTTAGATTCAAGACTTGCTAAGGAAGCTCTCGAGTCAGCATGGTTTGCTGCAGAGATAGCTATTGATGAAAAGGCTGTAAATGAAAGTCATAGCAAACATGCTAAACCAAAACATTTATGGGTACAAAAACTAACCAGAAAAATGGAGAACTTAAAACGTGTCACATGCTGGATTGATACCAGTGCTTTGAACTTTCAATGCCAAAGATATTGGTGGGTATGTTAGGTACAGAAAACATGCAGTAAGTTGAAGAAAAATGATTCAGTTTGCCATTATTCATGTCATTAAAATGGCTTGTTGCATTCCATAAGGCCTGACCCAAAGCCATGAAAATCATTGGGAAAATGTCCCTGAACTCTCCTGAATTTTGAAATGGGGTTTGGACAACGTGGACAAAATAAGTTGTTTCCACCCTTCTGTTAAGCCTGGGAAAACTAAGAGTACTTTCCTTCAAGAGACTTAAAGAGTTTTCGGGAGAAACCTTTGAACTATTCTTAAGACAGACAGACTGCAAGAATGAACTCAGGTACAGGGATCTGTGAGAGCCTGAATACTGGCATCATTCCAAAGCAGGAGGGTAAGTGAAGCAGTGGAAGAAGAATAGCTTCACAGGAAAAATAAAATCAACCCAAAAACACCCAAAGGGAAGAGAAACATTGGATACCATGTTTCCTTGAGTATTGTATAAGATGGGTTAATGATATCATCCATGAATACTAAGCAGAAAGCACAATGGATTGAGATACACACAAATCCACCTGTGTGGGTAATCAATCTGTCATATATACCTGCTATAGAGTTCAGAACATCTTTGGAAAAGGAAGTGTCCACAGAGTTTGCATGTTTCATCGCTGTCTGGTTCTGAAATCCTCCAGTTGTGCTCAAATCATCCCTAGATCCCTGTATTTTGAAATAAACAGAACAAGCTGCTAGATGATATCACTCATAACTTTTACAATGACAACACACATACAATGATGGCTTTTCTTAGAGAGGGAGCTTGAAAACATACTTTCAGCTGTTGAGACGCGACAGCCTAAAACAACCCTCAAGACTTACTGTAATACGCCAAAGCTATCTGCAATGTGAAACAGTTTGGTCAGTTGAACTGCTTTCAGTGTTCTGAAGTCACAAGAATTACCTGATTGGAAGTATTGATATTGAAAAGGAACATATCCTTCATGTAAATCCTTGGCATATTGTCCAAAAGCATTCCATAGAGTGGCATGTACAGGTTTGCTATTTGTGCTTGTTTTGCCTAAGAAGAAAAGATATAACATAAATCTGAAGAAACTAATTACTGTATACTGGTAGCTAAGGAAGTTTCATGTATTTAGCCACTGTATGAACAAATAAGGAAAAAGAAAAAACAGATGACTTTACCGGCTCTGCGTATCGATCATCAAATGAATGCTTTGCCATTAAGTTTTTGAGCACAGCCAAAGCTAAGTGCCTAATATCCTGGTCTTCTTGCAAGGCAAACCCAACCTCCCGCAGCAGTACTCCAATTAAGAAATGTTTACGGCAAAATTCATTGGTCAATGTGTACTCTGGAATATCTTGGAGCAGAAAGGACAAAAAAGTCTAAATTAACATATGCTACACAAAACAGCCCTCTCCCATTTTCCAAATTTTCAATAACTATGACTTAGTCCACTATTAAAGCTTGATTTCCTGGTCTGTCTGTCCCATTCATCCAGATTATATACACACTCTGAAATGACAAACTCAAATGTTTTGTACATAGTAAGACTGATCACTCCTTTGAGGCACCAAGTCCAAATTGTTATTCTCATTTTCTAGCTAAAAGTTCTAAAACAGAAAGGTCTAGACTAACTTTGCTTTTACAAATACTGACTAATGTTTGATTGAATTTACTCCAATTCAGTGACAACAGTTGTTTATTATTAAAGCTCTTAATGCAGAATTCTACTTGCTTCTTACACAGTAATTTGCTCATACCTGACGTTCGATATTCCTGGGTTGATTCTGAAGGTGTCATGGGGTCTTCATTTACCATAAATATAAAACAATAACAGAAAAAAAAATATGCTTTAAAAAATGAATATACAAATACATTTACTTTGTAACTTTTTAAATAATTTGACTGATATTTGAATGAAACAATTTCTAGTGGTCTCTGCTTTCATTTCAACTTTGTACAACTGCTTTGTATGAAATAGAAGATGAATAAACAGTTTACATCATTATGCACAAGAAACCACTACAATAAGTTTCAGCTTTTCAATTATACCAAAAAACACAATGAAATGGCCAAATGATTGTCTTCATCAAATGTTTCTAAAAATATATATTTTTTCACAATGGCAAAGAAGTAATAAACTTCACAGTGGTTTAACAGTGACATGTTGCACAGCTTTTGCCCAAGCAGGTTAAAAATGAATTGTTAGCCAGTATTTGATATTTCTCCAAAATGTACTGCTTGGAAAACATAAATCCCTAAAGCTTGCTAACAGTGATGAGCACCAGAATGAACTCTTTCTACTGTGGCACAAACTAATGCAAAAAAAAAAAAAAAAGAAAAAAAAAAAGACACTTTCTTAGAGAAATGCTGCACAGAAGGATAATTCTCTCATCCCTGAAAGGTACCCTCAGATCCCAGCAACTTCAGTGACTACATTCCAACAGAACACCCCCTGAACCCACATAAAACTGTCAGAACTGGCAGCTGTACCTAGAGCTGAAATCCTAGCATCTTTGAAACCAAGAAGAAAAGCACTTAGTAGCCAGTATTCGCCACAGAATTAGGTCCTAAACAACAGGTTCCAGTGCACAAAGGAGCAGCACAGGGCTCTGCTCTCACTATCAGTCAGCCTCGTGCTCTCCAGGTAGAAGGAAACCTGCTGTGCATGCAGACTGTCCAGCTAGATGGTGGGTAGCCAGGGGTGGTAGGGCCATCAGCCCAGGCAAACATGGCTGCTACTTCTCTTGGGGCATCAGCAGAGTAAATTAGCTCCTGCAACAAAGTCTAAACAAAATCTGTTCATGCTTCTCATGTAGGTTATCCACAATATTTTCCACCTTAAGAAGTGGCTCAGGCAGCAGCACTAATGCACTCTGAAATGAGCTGTTCTTGCCATGCTGCTCCAGGCAAAACACAGCAGAACTTGGTGACAGTGTAAAGTGAATGCATTTGGAAGGAAAGAGTTATTGCATGGTACCCTCCTGCCAACCTAGAGATACTCTAGAGGCCAAAGTACCAACAGCCTCTTTTCCATAAGAAGGAGGTTTCTAAATTCCTCATGTGTGACCAGCTCATGTCCTCCCCCCAAAGGAAGGACTGTCATATGGACAAGTCATACAGTCAACTGCAGCAGGAAAGCTTTTCCCAGCAACTAGTTTCACAGTTCTCCAATCACCACAGACTTGGTGTCTTCTCCTTTTTACTATATCTGTTTAAATCCTTCCATATGCAGAGGCTTTAGTAATTCAGGGTTCAGAGATTCCAACACATTTCTAGTAGGAGAGTCAGCTCCCACCTTCCAGCTGGACAGGCAAGGGTTGCTTGTATTTACATGCACAGTAAAAAAACATTATTTTATCACACTAAAATACCACATCTGATGAGCTTCCATGGTTGATGTACACAGTGCGTTAGAATTATCTGAACCACGCAGTAATTCCCTGCTCTACAAAATCCTTTTAGGGGGCACCTTACCAGGAATGTTTGAAGATCGTATGGGCAGGCACAGAGGGATAAAGTGTTCATGGTGACAGACTTCTTGGAGAAAGTCAAATTTGAACTGATGTAAAGTCTGAAAATCATAACAGGTAACAGCTCAGTTTACAGTAGAAGAAAGAAAACAGTAAGATAGAGCTGCACTATTTATCTCTAACTCACATCCAATGATGAAGCCTTTTGGCTGGTTAGTTAAGCTACATGAATAACATTTGGTTTTCTTCTGTTATCAAAGGAACTTGTTGCAGTCCAACAATCTTTACTGCATTCTTCAAATATGATTTTATATTGAAGATGTACTGATAAATACAAGCTTGATCCTCTACTGAGTAGAGGCTTTTCCTTGAAACGTTTTGTGGCACCAAAGTATATCAGGAATACAGCTGACCATGGAATTCAGGGTCTGATGACAATTAAAGAAAGGAAGCACTTGAAGTATGATATCCAAGAAGAAATGAGTCTTTTTGAATGAACACCACAATGAATTGAGTTCTAGTGAGGTATTTATTCCCAATTAGAATAAACGGAGACTGCAGTGTTATATATTGATACATGCACAAACTATTTATTCAGGCAGCAACAAATGCTGTTAAATTTTCTGAAAAGAGAGGTCAGATTATAGTATAGCCTTTTTGAAAAATAAACAATCCAGTTGAAGAAGCAAAGGCCATATAGAAACGAATCCTGCAGGAAATTTTAGCACCTGACTCTTGCTTAGGTGTCTGACTGAAAATGAAACCAATCCAAGACACAGGCCTTTCCCTGAGGTCAGAAATCTGATTTTATTTTATGGCTATTGTTTGTATGTGATGCAAGCCTGTTCCAGCAGCACATCTGCATCAGATTCACAGTGATTTTCCTTCATGCGTCCCAGCAGATGGCTTTGGAAAGAAGCTGGGTGGCTGGCAATGTGCACAGATTTACAGTTAAGGAGGCTGAATGCATTTAGATTTAGTGAATTTTGAAATATGGAAGTAATTTTCAGATTACATAATATCGTTCACAGAATTATAGGCTCCAGGTTACAACACTATTACCAAGAGACACCATCCATCTTCTCCAGAGATTATGTGAGAGATCTGTGTACAGCACGATGTTTTGTTTTACTAAGTGAAACAGATTGGAGTAATTCTCATTCATTACTTAAAAACACCCAGATCACCGCTGAAGAGTTACAAAAAGTTAATGAACAAAAGTTTTGTAAGCTTTATGGGAGGGATGAGTCATACAAATCGCACATCCTGAATACATCCTGTTATCTATTGTCTTAACAATGTGGTAGGATAGTTCACATACATGGCTGGAATAGGAGAAAGATCTGACTTCTCTCATGGATTAAAAATGAAGGAATCAAGCTGAAAAATTTGAGACCTCCTGTAGTTTGACATTTACTATCCAAATTACATCACTGAGTATTATAGATATTATAGAAGAAATTCATACTACATGGAATTTCCTCATAGCAAGTGCAAAGTAATTTGGAGCTCGCTGGCTTACTTGTGTCAAATTTACACATTGGTAGTTTGTTCATATGCTCTTTCTTTAATGCTCTCAAATAAAATTACTCTCAGATGTTACTGATATTTGTAGACCAAATCCCAAGCATATTCTCCAAAGAACCAAAGCTTAAATTCAAAGAATGGGTTGGCCTCTTTCATGTTTTACTCTTAGCAGCGCTCAGTGAGTAGTTGTTTGGACATAGCTCTTTACTTTCAGAAAGGAGAATAGATGGCTCCAAAGCAACCATAACAAAAAAAAAAACCACATTATTTTTGTTAATATTACACAGACTGGTAATTGCTAACAATACTTTACATTTAGCCAAGGTTTACATAAACTATGTTAATACTTCATTCATCTGTAAGGGGAAAGTGTACTTAAATGCACATCTATTGATTTTTGTGCATCTAAAGAATTTTCAGAAATGGTCATATAAGTAATTTTCATGTTTGACCAAGAGTTCATCTGTAGGAGAACTGTTGCAAAATTAAGATTTTAATGACTGAGTTTTGAGGATGGCAAAGCAATGGAATGTATTAAGAATACTTTTAAAATAAAATCATTCTCTGTTAGTGAGTCACTTAGAAAATAACATCAAAACTATACCTTGCTATCTCCTGTTCCAAACATACTTATATAGTTGTTGACCATCTTGAACACAAATCCACGATCCATAAATGTAAAGCAGCGCTAAGAAAAGAGGAAAGAGTATTATTTTATTGCTAAAAAATCAGTACCTGACATCGTCTACCTCGCTTTTTGTCTTGCATTATCTGTAAACCTGCATCATTTGGGCAGGTGAAATCAGTAATAGCAGGGTAAAGAAAACTGGGAAACTGATGAAAATCAGCTCTTCCTCCCCCCAAATAATAACGTATTGATCATACTGTTCCTGTACCTACATTCTAGAATCTGTTCCTGTACCTACATTCTAGAATAACTATCACACTGTACTGTCCACCAAGAGGGAACTTACCTAACGAAAGTCATTTATGTACTGCAACACTCAATAACTAGAGGTGGCACGTGATGGGAGTTGACCAGAATATCTGCTTCAGTGGCAGAGTAATGACTCCTGAAGAATCAATCCAGTCAAAATACTCTATCTGTGAACTACATTATCACTGGAAGCAAATACTCATGCCACTGTGTGATGAGAATGCTATACCTCCTGCTGACTGATGAAGCTAAGCAGTCAGGTGAAAGGTTTTTTGAGGGCTTTAGTACTACTCTTGCTGACACTTTTTCCCTTGCAGAGTTAGCCGACCAAATAGGAAATGTTACCTTAAATTCCTACCCTTCTTTGGTGCTCCTGAACTTTGCAAAGCTAGTAAAGCCCAAAGCCTTCTATCATACAGCATTGAAACAAGGCTACTCCAAGCACCAGCCTGGAGAGGCACGTCATCTCTAACCTATGTAATTGTTTCTGGCAGACTGGATTTGGAAAGAAATTAAAACAGAAACATATGCCTTACTGCATTATACAACACTATCATCTTCTCAGTTCAGATGAACAGTGCAAAAATAACACACAAAAACTGCAGCAACACAGGTGTAACAGCTCACAATACTGACTAAGCTTCTCCATCTATGCTCTTGCCTCAAACCAACATCATCTTCCAAGTGATGTAACACTACAGATAGATGCAGCTATATATGCAGATAAGTGTGTAAACAGCTATTTGGACATCCATATTAAACAACAGAAGCCAATGTAGATAGCAATTCCTATCCTCAATTCTATTATTAATTTTACTTAGGTGTGAATGTAGAGAAATCCACCTTCAGTTTGTGGTTGGTTTCCTTCTAACATCACAGGAGCATTTACTGCTGGAATACAGCTTCCTCCTAAAGCTGAGCTTCAATCTGTCATAAAAGATTTCAGCCTGGATTTCAGTGTATACTAATACAGCATTCCATATGCTAGCAGAAGGGTAATTCCCTCCAACAGAAAGTTTGAGGGGAAATCACCAGATAAGCAGCTTGACATGCTACTTAGATAAATAGCTGGACACACATTTACTGAATGACAATTTTCCAATGCTTCACAACTAATTTGATGTTGGGAAATGAATATGATTGAGAAATACTAGGACAAAAAGAAAAAAACACAACCCACTTTCTGGCTTTTCCAACGCACATATGAATTTCTTTATATCTAGTAAACAAAAGGACATTAAGAAAAAGGACATAAAGAGATAGTTTACAGTATTCCATACAATATTTGCACTTCGCTTATTCTGATTTATAAAAGCCACCTACTGTGGTTGTGATTAGGAGAAGGTAATCCACTCACAGTCATTCAGAGCTACAGTATTTAAAGAAAAAATACCAGCTCAATGGGAAATATATTTATATTTTTTACCAAACTTTGTATTAATTATATTGTATTAATATATATTAATATATATATATATTGTATTAAATATAACATCAGAAACTGTAGAATTTGCAAACTTGACTCTTAGAGAATAGATATAAATCAATCAGAACTGTTTTAAAACAGAATTAGAAAAAGCTTTTGCATTGTCAAAGACCCAAGGGAATAGAAAAACTGAACTATAAGTCAATACTAAACTTGGAAATTGAACCATCACTCACTCACAATTGCTTTTTTCCCTTCAACTAGAGCAGAACAGCCTCAGTCTTCCATTAAGTATGGGCAATTAAGTGTAATGGCAGAATATATACCTTGAGAAATCTGGCCGTGCTGTAGTTTGCATTCCTAGTTTCTTCAAGAGCTTCTTTGTACTTCCAAACAACATGGTCTGCCATGACCATCACAAGTGTGTCCAGCTCAGTTTGAAATGACTCTGGAAACCTCTGAGTTCGAGAAACCTGAGCAGTGAATAGATCATCACTTGAGAGTATATAACACTGCATATTAAACCTGAAATCATGTTTGGATTAAGAGTAAAGACAATGAAAAGCACAGATAATTCAACAGAAAATATATAAGTATTTCTAGATTTTCATGGATCTTGTCCACAGAAAAGTGGGAAAAGCTATCTTCAGATGCCAGCTTAAAGTACCTTTGATAATTAGGCAGAAAGGGGGCCAGACAGAAAAATGCACTTGTCTCCAGCTATTACAGGTTTTCTCAAAACAGTGTTTCAAGATCACTTATCTGCCATCTAGTTATCCTCTGCCAGGAAAAGTTATAGAATTCTCATTCCATTCTAATCCATCTGTTACAAAGATGATGCAACTGTATTTTGGCTCACTAGTTCTGTACAAGCAATAATAGGTTTGAGCCTAGCAGGTCAGAGCTTTTGTGGGAAAAAACAGTATTTTAAAATAGCTTTTAATAAAATAACTTTTTGGTTTTTTGTCCACTCAAGAAGAAATCTCCAAATACATTTATTTCATATGATTCTGCATTTTATATTTTCCCTTAGAGCTGATCACCTTGTTAATTAAGAGCAACATATATGCTTACCTTTGTTTTCTTTGTATCAACCAAGTACTGTGCCATTGATTTTAATATGACTGCAAAGAAGAACCAGGAGTGCTGTTCAAAAGAAGGAAAAAAGAGATTAAGAAATATGATTATCTGACAAATATTTTATGAGGCCAATTCCATTCTTTACAGATGGAATGCAAGTCTCAGTAAAGCACACCAGTAAACCATACATGACAAATAAATGAAAGAGCAAAAGTACTGCGTACTGTAGTAACTGCAGCTTTGTTACTGGGGCTTACACATGTAGCAATTTCTTAGTCCTTGCTTATGGGAGAAACCCAATACTTTTTATTTTGGTAACCACCCAAAGACAGCAGCTCAAATCAGATGTAGATGTCCTACTAACATGTGAGTATTCTCTTTGCAACATCTTCTAAAATAAAGATTAAACCAAAATATTCTAACTGCTAATGTCATATTATGCAGTTAATTAGGTTTCCCATACAGACTTAGTAAGACAAAGGAGGCATTTTTATGCAAACCATGGCACTCTGAGAAATGAATTGAGTTGAGAAGTTGTAAATCTTGCAGACTGTTCTGTTGAATTTTAAGTTTAAGTTGGATTTATGCAAAGCTCGTACAGGAAAAGATGACAAGAAAAAGAGGGGAAAGAGATGTGACAAGCAAGCTTCAGGCTAAGAAACAGTTGTAAAATTACAAATGGGCTAATTCAGCATCACTCACCTTTAAAACCTGTTTCACGGTTACTTGGTCATTTGACTTCAGAAGACCAGTCATATTCTTGGCCAGTTCCTCATGAATAGTCCTTTCCTCAAATGATTTGGTTCTGAACACATACTGAAGAAGGAAAAAAAGTCAAAATACGTATTGAAACAAATACAAAAAAAGTCTCAGTAGGTAAAGATAAATTATTGACCATGAACAGCTGACAATTTCTGCCTTCTAAAACATCTTGACTGAAAAATATGTGCACACAATCTTTAATTCCCCTAGCAGTAATGGTACAACTCTACGCCCCTACAAAGTCTGAGCTTTAAGCAGAACTTGATACCGATGTCAACTCAGTGCAAGAGGTATTTCTGCTAAAAATCACTGCCACAACGTATTTTTTCCTCCAGTAGGGCATAGGATCCTCATACCTCTAAAATGCCTTTCAAGCCATTCTACCAGGGAAACAAAGAATAGGCAAGTAGGAGGAGTAAGGAGGGTTTTTCACCCACCTAGGAAGGTCCACCTTTCACTTGCTCCTTTCTTCCAATGGCAACTGTTAGAGTTAGTAGCAACTCTTCATCCTGAAAGGTGTAAAGCACCCACTAGAACTGTCAGAAGGGAAACTAAACTCCATCAGGCCCTCAAGATAGCAATTTACCTATCAAACTGCCCAGAACTAATAGATCTACTGTTGAGGTTTGTGTAACATTTTATTAAGCTAATAATTTGGTACTGGGATCAATTATGGCTTCCCAAAAACAAGAGTGCTGCAACCACATCAGTTAGGAAGAAATGTTATTTCAATACAAGCAGAAAGAATGTAAAAGAAAGAACTATCCCTTGAAAATATCTTATTACTATTCAGTTTTATTTCCAGAGCAGATGCAATAAGCTTCCCCCTATGCCATTTGACACTTGTGGGTCCACTTAGTTAAGTCAGAATAATTTCACATTATTACAGTATCGGAGTGACTCACAATTCTGAATTTACTTATTTGCAAAATAAAAGTAGGTATTATTCATTTCCTTACAGATAGATAAAAGAGATTAACAGTTATTAGCTTTTGGCTGCTGATAGAAATGAGAAAACAAGCTAAATGGACTTTTGGTATAGCCTGATTAATCACCTGCTATTTCAAAGATATTTAACCACAATAGGCGTCTAATGCAAATCTCAAAAGTTATCAAGCAGATGTTAATACCCACTGAATTAACTATATTTAAATATTACATACATTATTATTTTCACAGCCTCAACTGTTCTGCTGAACTTCAACAGAATTCCTTTGGGTTTCAGTTATGGTACCTGAGATTAGAATTTGAATAAGGTGCTCGGATGCTTCACCCGTAAAACACACCTCCATGAAGTGTGAAAGTAAACCCACACCTTGGAGACATCAGCTAACAGTTCTCAGTACTGAAACTAAAATTGAAGCACTGAATGGAGAGTCCCTGCTGTATGTGGTGCACTTAGGGCATGAAGGGGCAGGGTAATTTGCCAAAGTGGCACAAGAAACTTATCACAGGACTGGAATTCACTCAGCCTCTTTGAAGTCTTGTTTTAGTTCCTCATTGCTGAGCCACCCAGCCTGCCAGTGGCAGAAAGCTGTAATGCTAAAGCAGAAAAAGCTACAGAGAAATACAACTAAGGGTAGACAAGAAGAAAAAAAAAAAAAAAACAAGACAAAATAGCTACATAAAATTACTTATGTTTAACAGCATTCATACCATCACATAGGAATTGATGCAGTTGTCTAGCTGTTCTTCATGGCATTTAGCAACAATATTAGTAAGAACCCTGGAAAATAAACAAAAACCAAAAATGCAAATTGAACTGTTTTGTGTCACGAGGCAGAGAAGGGTCATCTAACAAATCACTTTATTCTGTTATCAAGACCCAATTTAAAACAGTCCTGCAGTGTCTGTGCATTGCCTGGGACTCAGCCACAGCCCAAGTGCCTGAGCAAGTTGAGCTCTCATTTCTGTGTGGCACGGAGAGGGTGGACATTATGGCATTTGGAGATGCTTTGAGCTTCCGTGAAACATCTGGTGATCATTAACATAGAAGAGAATCCCTCAGGTCATGCAAACACCAAACTCAAGCCTGTGCTTCTATTAACAGCAGAGGTGGAAGTACTTGAGATCAGGTGTTTCAGAAGGTTTTCTCTTAAATTTTTATGTGGGCCATCTTTGCCTGATACCATCTTGCTTCAGAAAACACATGAAGTTACCTTCAACTTAACCATATCATTTCTTCATTTAGGACCTCGGTTTTTTTGTTTTGTTTTGTTTTGTTTTTTCAAATTTAAGATATTTTATATTGAAAACATCCTGAAATTTCATAATCTTAGCTTTATGTTAGAAGAATAAGGAGGAAAACAGTTCATAAATACAAAAACTTGGTAGACTGTATCTCAAATTCAAGAGCACTCAATGATAGCATAACTAAAATGGATTATTAGAGACACCAACAGATACGTGCCAGACTCTGGTCCACATACAAGCAGCTGTTTCTAATAGATGGGTGATCTAAGTAATTCTTATTATTGCAATCAAAAGCTTTGTAATTCTTTTAAGGTCATATTTTTCACATATGTTTAATTTCTTACTATATTAGAAATAGTAAAGATACAAATTCTTTGCTGAAATTAGTTGTGCCCATTCTGATCCTTCAGCCTTTACTCTGAATTGAAAATAAAATAAGCTCTGGCAAAGATAAGACAGAGAAATGATGCCATGTCTGGGCCTCTGGACAAATAAGTAATCATGAGAGAGTATGAAAGGCATAATGTTTTCTCCCAACACATAAGCAATTCTAAGCTTTCATTCTGTTGTTGTTGCTTTTAATAAGTTCAACACAATCTGCTCCAAGCTATTCAGAACAAAATACAATGTGTGTATATATAGGACACATCAATGAATAACGCACACAGCAGATGAGCAAATTCTTGTTGACATCAACAGTACTAGCACAAAAGCCACCACAAACTAGAAAAAACTGAGCATTCTTTCTTTTTTCTGTAACCAGGTGAGTTCTAATGCATGAAGAAAATAGCACCTTCCTATTTTTCCATCTAATCATTAAGTCTAATTTTTAAACAACTGTTTCTTCTATTGTATTAATTTTCCTGTTGGTCAACTGATGCTTTAATTCTAGACGAGGTAAGGACTCTTCATTCTCCTTAACTGGTCTTAACACTAGTAGATTTGCTGGCCATGAAGGCTTCCAGGACAAAGGGCCAATTGTCTCTTTTCCTCTGAAAACTGCACATAGTTTTGCCTGCACACATTTGCGAGGCATGTTTCCTAGCACCTAGATGTGACAGGACTTTGTTCTGCAAGATGCCAGAAACCTTTGATAAAGTATACTAAAACTCTATTTTCCCAAGATGAGGAATTCAGCTTCCTCATTTAAGTTTTCCTGGTTAATCTTTCTTCAGAAATTAATCCTGGAAAATAACTGGAGAAAGAAAATGTACTGACAGCAGTTGAGTATAACAGGGTTGTTGAGGGCTGAGAGTTGTCATTTTTTCCTACTAGCTTTAGTCACAATTTTTAGCTCCTGGCAGAAGTGCAACAGAAACGCCAATATAGCCAAAAGAAAACGCAGTGCAACTTTCTGCCCTCCTGCAGAGAAGAAGAAGAATCTTTCCAGTATTTTTTTTTTTCCTGCTGCACTGATCAACAGCATCAATAAAAACAATTTCATTATGTGAGGGATGAGAGGCTCAGAAAATCATTCCAGCTGTTTGCTAGCTCACCAGAAAATGCTGCCCATTGCTTTTCAGTTACCGCTGATATGTATTTCTAATTAGAAAATGCCCTAGAAAAGCATGACTTGAATGTTTGACTCTTTGCTGGCTGTTACAAGATGCTAAGTTCTTTCTGTGCTGAATTCCACATCCTCACATTCAAACATAAATTAAAATTGAAATTCAGGTTCATTAGGGAGTAATTAGCTCCTCAAGAATGAGACCTTTAATCGTCATTGCCTGTGGGTGCAGAGACACATTCACCATGACCAGTGGTCTTCTTGTTGGTACCAGAGCCAAGCACGTGATGCCATATGCTGTTCCACGAATTACTTGCAGAGCCTTGTGTTAAGGGGAAGCAGGCATTCTCACTTAATGAAGTGTAAGTAGTCAGCCTTCATAAGAGCAGCTATTTTTGGATGAACATGTACAGTTATGTCCTTTATACAAAAACTATTCAGATACCTGGTCACAGCTGTTGTAACGTCATCATCACTGTTTTGCACCAAAACCCCGAAGAGTTGATTCAGGACTATGGGAAGAAAGTTCATAATTACATGGATCTTCTCTATCCTCAGCAAATTCTGTAACGGACATGAGAAAGAAAATAAAGAGATTTCCAAAACGAAAGCTAGTTATTTCCTCTCCTGTTTCAGCATGTAGAAGGCAGTATGGCTACAGTGGTAGGAAATGGACAGCGAAGTGGAGGACTATTTCCTAATGCAGTTTGTTTTAAATATGACTATCCATGAAACTATAGGTATTGTCCACATTTTGGAATTCCAATCTTTTGCTCTATCCTGATTAAAATACAAAGAAACAAAAAACCTGAACCCAAAACCACAGCACTAAAAGAATGAACTATTTTTACCACATGCACTTCCAAACATTTTTTGGTAAAATCATTCTATGTTGAGATCTGGTGAAATGTACTTGTTGTGGCTAAACTAATTATGTAAAAAGCACATTGATAAAAATATTAACATCCTAACTTTATTAGAATGACATTATATTACCTTCCCTGATCAAGGAAGATATTGAGCTCTTAATTAAAAAATAAACTAAAATCCTTTAAATTCCTTTGATTTTTGCATTTCAGTCATTTCCAAATCTTTCCTAAATTTCTTCAAAGTTATTAATGATTTATAAATAAAACAATAATATTCTGGGTGACATTATTCCTCAGCTATACTGCATAGTTAATCTGTTGTGACGTACAACATTATCTCTATTTCTTAATAAAATCAATGAAATATTTTAAAAGGTAAGCTATAAGCAAAAAAAAAAATAACTGCTGAGATTCTGGTTATTTAGATAGCTAGAAAGTTCTGAAGCTTGGATTCCTGAACTTTGTCCAATATGCTTAACGTTTACTCAAAAATTCACAAATAAGGTCTTCATTCAGTAGAGGTATAATCTATAAATAACTCATGCTTTGATTTTTGAAAGCATTCCTTAATCACTTTGTTAAATTAACTAGCACAAACTGTCAGTATTTAAAACCAAAGCAATCCTGGCAAGTCACCCCTAAGGCCTTGCTCAGAGAACTGGGACTGTAATTTATTGGAACATTTTGTTTGCTTATTACAGAAAATTCTCAGATATCATTATAAAATCTGCTCAGACATTAATGACAAATGAAAAAGGAAAAGCACATACATGATGGTAATGTCTAAACCCCCAAATAGCAATTAGATTTTACAGGCTGCTACAAGGAAAAATAATAAATACCAGCCATGTACAATGTTTTAGAGCTAACACAGTGGTACAATTAATGTCATAGCCATCCTTCAGTCTTCTCCTCTTAAAGTTCAGTAAATAAACTACAGAGTGCTAACTTGTGAAGGCAGTGGTACGGTCCTACATTTACCCGATGCTCTTTTAAAACTGCTTGCTATACCTCTGCTACCTCACAGCTTTTGACCTCTATCAAATAAAGACACATTTATCATAGAATTTGAATCATTAAGGTTGGGAAAAGCCTCTAAGATCATCTAGTCCAACCATACACCTACCACCAAAACACGTCTCTCAGTGGCACATCTACATGTTTCTTGAGCACCTCCAGCCAATGGTGACACCACTACCTCCCTGCATAGCCTTTTCCAGTTCCTCACCACTCTTTTGGAGAAGTTTTTCCTGATATCCAACCTGATTCTCCCCTGGGGCAACTTAAGGCCATTCCCCATTTTCCTGTTGCTATCACCTGGGAGCAGAGGCTGACCCCCACCTCACCACAACCTGCTTTCAGGGAGTTGCAGAGAGCTATAAGGTCTGCCCTGAGTCTCCATTTCTTTAGACTGAACATCCCAGTTCCTTCAGCTGCTCGCCATAAGACTTGAGCTCCAGACCCTTCACAGCTTCGTTGCCCTTCACTAGAATGCTCCAGGGACTCAATATCTTTCTTGTTGAGGGGCCCAAAACTGAACACAGTACTTGAGGTGAAATGCTATTACTTATTCATTTCAATGGAAAGGATAGGTTCTTACTGATTTCAGAACTTGGCAGGTAACTAGTGCTCCTGATTTATACAAAGGCAAAGTACCCCTCGCCTCCTCCCCAAAGCCCTTTTAATTACCAGTGGGGTTTGCTGAGAGAAAAATCTTGAGACAAGTAGGAGGTAAGCACACAGTATATCTAAGGCAACGGAGGACTAGCAGGAATACCACAAGCCAACAGGCCCCAGCTCATTTATTTTGGACAGTCCTAGAAGAACAAAGCAACACTCAACCATCTTTTAATGGAAACTGAGGCTTTGCATAGGCTGGATTATCAAAACTGGATAATGTGGGAATAAGACAGATGCACCTGTGCTCTAAATTAGAAAGGGAATGGGAGATGTGTTTCTGACCAGCAATGCAGTTGCTGCACCAATGAAGCCTGACTGGAGTTGTCATGGACTCATTGCCTACTACCAAGTCTATGCCATGTTGAGAACTGTGCAGTGGTAGATCAGTTGAGAGAAAGTCCTAATTACCATTTTATAACATAATTCTGTGCTGCAGGTTACTTTACCTTACAAGAACTTATAAAGTTTGAGGTAGGAGGCTGAGAGAAATCCTTCTCCCTTTCTTGGCACTGATGGAAAAAGTTATTCAGGTAGGGATCCTAAATGATAAAAGTTCATGTTAATTCATACTATAGAAAGGATTAGAATTCAACCCAATAAACTGGTTATAGAAATCTCCTGTGATACTGAAGACAACACTTGGTACCGACTGCCTTAAACATAACTCCTTGAAAGAGGGATCAAGTTATTTAGCTTAATCCACTGGCCACTGTATATACCCTATTATATACAAAACATTTCTAGGTTCACTGTCCAATCTTTTCTTTCTGTGTTGTGAGCAATTAGTTTTTTCTCACAATCCAGGGGATTTCAATGGCCAGAATTATTTTCCTAGTGCTCACAATTTCTTTCCTTCTTGTTAAACTGACATTTCATGATTTTTAGTTTAGCATGATATGAAGTCATTTTTATTTTTCCTTAAAATGTGCATTCCATCATTGTCATCTTGTCATTCTATACTCAAGTAACCTTTAAATGTTAGAGAAACATATTCATAAAAGACTTGAGAGAAAGCATTTTTCAGACTGTCCATGATGCTTTTTACTTGTAGACAGGTAACAGAACTAAGAGAAAATTCAGCTTACCTGAGTATTTACTGTTGATACAACAAAAGTAGACACTTTGAAAAGTGGCTTCCCACTATCTACCCATTTTACATCACAGCCGATCTGCTATTAAAATAAAACAAAAATATATTTTGCACTATTTCCTAATCATTCAAGTCAGCACCTCTTTTTCACTGCATAGGTTTGCGCATACAAACTGTGATAGCTCTTTGTTTCCAAATAGCTTTCACAAATAGAGAAGTAGTGCAACGAAAGCCAACTTTTCAGCAAGAGGCCATGAACATTATAATTCAAGGGACCAGATCACTGCCCTACCCTGTCCTCATGACGATAGTAAAACAAACAAGGCGGCACAAATAACCCAAACTGGGCAGGATCAGTGGGAAAAAGTGATATCACACTGCAAAGCTGGAGAATGAATCATGATTATGGATCACATCAACTGGAGAATGAATGTCATATGGCCTGAGTTTGTCATTAAAGGTTCTTTCTGGAGTTCTGGAGACGTTAAGTATAATACTGTAGAAGAAAATTATAAAATGCACTTACTCCATATATGCTCTTGAGTCAGCATCATATGGCTCACAGCCCACTGTTACATACGTTCCATTTATACACTCAACGATACTATGCACGTGAGCACTCCAAAATGGATGGCTTTTAGATGAGTGTAAATGCAAACTTGATCTCACATAAAACACTTGCAAGTAACTACTCTGCACTATTTGAATATATAGAAGTATGAATTTATACCTTTCCACTAGTAGGTTCTTGAAGGCTTAAGTAATTGGGAGGCAAACTGCTTGCTACTGGCACGCTGTGTTCTTGGGAAGCAAGCTGAGCATCTTTCAACAAAGGAAGCCATGCATATCCCACTGCACACAAGAACAAATTAATATGACACCTTGGAGAACAACCCGCTCAAATTTAAAGGAAGACAATAACATCCAGACAGAAATTCTGAAATCCTTATTTGGATGTACATCATTTATAATTAAAAGTAATTCTGCTACAGGTACCTGGTGTTTCCAGAGCCTCTTTCTTTTTGGCATTAGCTTTTGCATTTATGTCACACGTGACATGATAAAATGAAAACAGAATGTGGTGTTTCTTATGGAGTTGAGTGGGAAGTTCAATTTTCACCTGAAATGTAAAATGTTACACCTCACTTTAGTTTAAATATCGATTAAACCAGGCATCAGAGATGGTCTAAATGAATGATATCTCTCTACACAAAGGCCTAAGTACAGTCTGCCTTTACTGACAATTGCTCATCTGTCTGGTGCTGTTGCTGCCTTGGTAATAGATATTCGTTTACGGAAACTGCTAAGGAAAGTTATCTATCACTTTAATTAAACAGCTTTTTTTCTTCTCTATCTTGTGGATGAGTACTTGCATTTTTGATGAGAGAACAGAAAACAAAAGAGCACAGAAGAGTTATAGACCTGCTTACAAGGGTCTTGAACTTGAACTTCAGCAGTCATACGTAGTCACTGTTATCTTATTTTTAAGGTAATCTAAATGGAAACTAGAAGGAAATCTCTGCTACTTGTTCAGCGTAATGTCATGGCTTACATGAAAATCAACTTTTATTTAGGATTTCTAGGCCTTCTTAAATCCCATGTCATGTCATCCACAAATCCCTACAGATTTGAACTGACATATTATTAACCTACTGGAATAAATATACAAGGTAATCAAAATATGTTACCATAGGAACTAATGAAAAAGACACTTTGCCCTTCTGAACTGTGATAATGCTTATCCAAGCTGATGCTATGCTTAAAGTAAGGCTTAGAAATTGTTAGTAAATGTTTGCAGTGTTAAATCAGCTTATGGGTAAGAATCTAATACCAGAAATATAGATACAAAATGGGCATTCAGATATGGAGATTAAGACAAGTTTTATTTTATAACATTCTACATTATTTTTAAGACTGCATTTGCTGTCTTTTCTGACTAATACAAGTAACACTTAGAACAGGTACGTGCCTCTTCCAGCCATTTCATCTATTAAGGTCTGAGTTCAGTTCTTCATTTACACTGAAAGTGATTTGCCCAAAGCAAATGACTCACTGAGATCACAGAGCACACTGTCAGATGTGTTATAACCCTTAACACTGCCTGCAAAGGAGTAGGATAAACGTAGTTCAAAACCACTGAAATTAACTTTGATGGCAGGATCTGATGATGATCTTAAGGGTCCTTTCCAACCTAAATTACTCTATAAAAATGTAAATGTCCCATCCCAGCTCCTGAACACAGATTTTATGCCTATATATAGTTTCTGACCTTACATCTATTTTAATGTTTGGAAGTTCCTCCAAGATCAAGTGGTTTGAAAAATTCTGGTTAACTGCTCTGCTGGGGTTCTTTGCCAGCATTATCACTACACAGAAGCAGTAGTGAAAAATCCAGAAAACACATATGGCATTATCACACTATCAAATACACTGCTCACTGAAAGGGTGAATTTAAATTCACTTGCAGAAAGCTTGGAAATTGTAGTTGGTGTTGGTGAAATGTAAAAATGCATGGTAAAGATGGGCATCTAGCATTTGGCAAAGGCCAACAAACAAGCCAGCATTCTAGAGCTGCGTCCCCCAAGGTATGAGCTAAGCTACGTGCTGCAGCCACTACACATCACTGTACATTCTGTTCAGATCACTGGATAAACAAAAATGCCCCAGTGCAGATCTTGTATGTCAAAGGGATTTGTTCTGACATTTCTTTCCATTCTTCATCATAACATTTATTGTTTCCATCATATTCAGAGATGCAATGAATCCTTCATGCTATTCAGACAAACATTTTAGAGAGTAGGCTGTTCCTAATCAACTCTACAGCATCTTAAGCGTACTCAGAACATCTTGTAAGAGGAAAGACTCACTGAGATATAACACAGTTATGTAGGATTGACATAATACAGTTCCATACGGGTACAAAAGAAATTGTAACAGATATTCTTTACACTTGATCCCATCTCATTAGCAAACATGGGATTAGTATTTTATGAGTAAAAAAGCAGACTGACCTCATCATAGAAATCTGGATTCTGGGAATGATGTAGCACAGCGGTGTAGGCTGCTGTTGTAAATAATGGTCCACCTGGTTTCCCATAAATGCGCTGAGAAAAGCAACATACTTTGATTACATTGTCAAATTTTGCTGATGATGGTACTCTTAATATAGCTAATGCATACGTGCATTATAAGCAGTATCATGAAGGATTGATAATTGCTTACAAATTAATATTTTTAAACATGCTTCCAGTAATAGTTCATTGATCCATGAAAATTACCCTGAATTTTCTAAGCAATGCACTCCTTAAACTTCTTCCTTGCTGTTAATTATTCCGAGGCCTTCTGCAAAAAGCTTTACAAAAGCTACTTCATCTTTATGAGGTTGAATACACAACATAAGGCCTTTCCTGACTTCTGTTAACAATCCCCTTGCTGGCACAGTTCTGTCCAGAGGTTCTCGATGACAGCTTTATTCATGGAGAATTCACACGACAACAATATTATGTTATAGAGCTTGGTCAATAGCAAACTTAAGAATTAAGTTTAAAGTTTTCTAATTTTTTGCCTCATTCTTTCTTATGAAGCATCTTAAGCTCAGGAAGAAAATTCAGGTAAATAGTGAATTTTAGACCAAGCAAATTTCACTGTAAAAACAGTAAGCTGAATTGTTCCAGATCAGTATAGTTCCCATTCCTGGGCTTTATAAGAAATGCTCTCAGAATTAATGCTCTCTGAATATATTTTGTGGTGGCTCACCTTCAGTGGCTTTGCTCCTTCTTCATCAGAGCTTTTAAATTCAATGCATACTGTTATATTCCGTGCCTGAAAAAGAAATGTATCAACGCTCAGAATAGGACTGGGATGGCCATAAAAATGCAGGCCAGCAACAAGGAGTGAAATTAGCTCTTTTCAAACATCTAAGAAAAACATGCAAATTTGAAATGCCTTCCTGCCTTTCCTCCAGTGCTATCAATCAACTGCAAAGAAGCAGATTATAAAGTGACCAGCATACAAATGCAAGCAGTGCTCAAGTTTCACTTAAAAAAGAAAATTCCAGATTCACTGCATCTGCATACATAATTTCATCAAAATACGTAGCTTCTGAAGACTGTGAAAAAGCTATTACCTCATTCTCACTAGTCCATGAATTAGTGATAATCCACTTTGTATCATTAAATTTGTAACAAAGTTTTATGACTGCAAAGGTCAAAAAATATCAGTGATTTGCATCACCATTTCCCTCTCCTTTCGATAAGTACTCCATCATTCCAATAACAGAGCTCATGTAATACATACCTACTCAATATTGGCCTGAATTGATCATCACATACCGTACCTTATTGAAATGTTTTTGGCTATCATACTTGAGGTGTTTTGGATAGATATATATTTGGTTCTTGTAAACTCTGTAAGGTCGAGAATACTTTGTTGATTCCTGTACAAACTCCTCAACTTCCACTGTAGGCTGATGTTCCTTTATGTCATTAAATGGCTTGATTGGGATGAAAGATGAAGTTACACAATCTTCAAAAGAACAGAAAAGAAAACCATCCCTTATGACCTTTTTTATACAGTCTTACTAAGAATAAGCAATATTGAGGTGCAGTGGGTCAAATTTCACTGTAACATGCATTCACATAAATCCAGAATTACATACATCAATCTTAAACACTTCATCTTACTGAAGTTAAACAGTGCAGCACTGAAAAACTTTTGACATTCACTGTATTTGATGGCATAACAGAACCATCGGTACGCTGACAGTTTCAATGAAATAAGTGATGAATATTTGATACTGCTTCTAATTAATTTTACAGTCCAATATCTCATTTAATCCTTTCTATCATCTAATAACATAGTAAACAAAATGAAGAAACAAGCAGCACAGTAGTAGATTAAATACATGGTGTAATTGGGATCACTGAAATCCAATTAAGAAACAGAAGATGAAAACAAAAACTGTCACCCAGACAACAGGGAGAGATACTCTGTATATCTGTATCACTGAATCAGTAAGACATGCAATCTCAGCATGAAAAACGTGAGGACAGTTTGCATAAAAGCACTCGAGAAGATTTGGGTCATCAACTTAAGGGTGTCCTGAATGATTTTTGGGAAAAGCAATTTGGAGGTTCTGTATAAGAATTCTTTCCTTAAACCCAACAGTGATCCACAGGAACATCCCACTGATCTGTGGGGAGGAAACTGAAAGAAGCTGATGATCCCTTGCATGTAAGTATTCTCAATTTTACTTTCTTCAAAACCAACATGAGGAAATTACCAGTTTCAGGATAGCACAGGTCTTCTGCAACAAAGCAGCAGGGGGGAGAAGCAGCTCTGTGCCAGCCATACAGGCTGCTTTTGGTTCATTTTGTTTCTGACAGATATGGAAAACTTTCTTCCCAGCCTGCTGCCCACTGAAATTGTGTGTCTGATTCACTTGTATGCCCTCCATAGCCAACAGACACAGCTTCTGATTTAAACCGGAAAAATCCATGAAAACTGTTGTCTTTCCCAATTCAAAATTAGCAGCATTAAAATGGAACTGCTAAGTTAAATCACTTGCATTTGTCAGCCAGAAGGGACCACTGATGGCTGCAAAGAATGCTTAGGAAAGTTTATGCTCTGTAGCTCCAGCAACAGTGCCAGAAGGCAATCACACCAATTCCTCCATTGGTCAGGGAAGTCTCTCAGGGTCGCATATGAACTTTGGAGTGTTTCCTCCCCTGCTATGAGGGTTCCTACCAGTACTAAGAGACTGCTCACTGGTCTTGGCCTACAAAGCTAAGATCAAAGCCTACACAACTTTCTGTTTGGGCAAATCTCAGGCAACTTATCTCAGAAGAAAAAGATGTGTTATATCTTTGATTTTGGCGAACTGCCCCCCAAACTTGATTTATAAGCACTCTGCCTGTGCCTATTTTGGCCATTAACCTTGCCTCTCACTAGAGAAAGCCAAAGCTGATACAAGGATGAGCTGGCAGCACAAAGAAAGGCCCTCAGCAGAAGCCTTGCTACAGGCTCAGCACACTGCGCTTCTGGTAGTCCATGAAAAATTCACAGGGAAATAGAAATAGTGTTCAACTGCATACAAAAATCATTGTAAGTAATATAAGTATGAAGCTTTTCAATAGCAGTAGCTCAGATGTGCTCTACAGCTACTATTGCTCTCGTCAGAAGCAGCAGCAACGATGACAAGAAGCCATCTGGAAAAATCAAGAGTCTGTTGTGAAGGTCTGGCCTCTGTGCCTCACATTTCACACATGCATATGCAGAGGCAACAGCCCAGTTTGCTTGCAGTCACATTGCTCCTGGCTGCAAGGCCATCAGCCACTCTCCATACTTGTCCTTTGCACAGATGGAGCCCCCCACTTCTGGGTTTTAAGGTTATTTTTGGGGGGAAAGCAGGGGACGTGGCTGCTGCCCTCCTGACAGTTTCGGAGTTCTGTCAACAGGCAGGGACCAGGCATCATTGATGTTTTCTTTCTTTCCCCTTCCTAAAACTACATGATTTTGGCCTTTGCTCCCCCGCCCCTCCTCTTCTGCATCAGAAAAAGCAACAGATTTCTACAAGCTTAAACACAGACATCTCCTGATATACCCCTGTCTCTAGCTCTTATTGTCGCTATCTCAAATAACATCTTACCAAAACAAAGATCTACTGCAGTTGTCTAAATACAAATTGATGCTAATATGAAGCAGAGCAGTGTCCATCTCCAGAGACACAATTGTACCAGCAGCTTCTTGACAACATCCGCATCCAGCTTCCTTTGCTTTGGCTCTTCTTGGCAAAAAAGAGATTTTAACACAAAGCAAGACCTTTCTTTTTAGTGGGAAGAAGGTGTTACAACAGAACTGGATACAGCTGCTACAGGGGCTTCCTTCAGAGCTGACTGAAATCAAGTTTTCATCAAGATTTTAGTTTTTCTCTTACAGCTTTAAATTTTTTTTATAGCCTTACTCAAAGTAAGACATTCTCCCTGTGCCAAAGAAATGTGTAAGCTGTTACTGTTCAAGGTGAGGGAATTTTCACTGACTTTCCACATGTACTGGGCACCTCACTAGTGTATACCTTTAACATCTGATCTTCACTTGGCCACAGTGAACTGAGCCAGGTAATAATGAAAGATCCAAGCTGCTTTGGAATACTTTGCTTACTTTGTTAGTAGTTTGTTTTTTTTAATTCCAAATATAAAAATCTCTTTTTAAATGTTAGTAAAAGTTTTTTAAATCTAATACCATGTACAGATGGTATAAAATGCATGATCATTGCATATCTTAACATACACATAGCATATTATGAAACAAAGACCACATTTTGTCTACATCCCAATCTCATCTCCATCTTGACAATGAGCAGTTGCTGTGCTTGTTCTGAACTAAATAACAGGGACAGATGTAATGATATCTGAACAACAGCGATAGTTAAACTTAATTCAGAGAAACTGAGACGGTCCTGAGCTTTTTGCAACAGTGGGCCACAGAAACGTGTCCCTTGAAACAAAAACTAAAACAGGATTAAATTAGAAGCATCTGTACTAGGAGTTGCACTTTTGCCAGAGCTGCCTTTGTTCAAAGTCCTTCATCTCATCTGCATTCTCAAAACCTGCTGGTAATCACATCCCATATGTGCTGATTCACAGAAGATACATGCATCACAGGAAACATTGACAGTGCCAGGCTCTTAACATCTTGCTGAACAGAAGCCCAAGCCAGTTCTTTGGCTGAAAGTCTTAGATATCAAGAAGTGACCCCTGCACTTTCATCACATATGGAAACAGCAGGTTATGTTCTATATCACGATATGCTTATATTTGTGCAGATGAAGGAGGAAAAAAAGAATGGTGTAATTAAATGAAAAAAAAAAAACAAACAAAATCAGGCACGTTCTCTTCCCAAACAATTGCATATGTTTTTCTACACAGTGATGGACAGTTCTACCAGAACGGTCTCATTACCACAATTCAAGACAGAAAACCTATGACAATGTCCTATTTAATTATAATATTTAATCATAAAGTAGAATCATACTTGGATGCTCCAAAGGAACACAATCAACTGCAATCTCCAAACTGCCAGGTATGGTCTGTATTTTGCTAATCTTCTCTGCTCTGCAATTACAGAAATGAAAACATTTTAGAAAATTAGAACGAGGGACATAAGACCCAAAATAGGAATTAAACCTAAATGAAAAATAGACCTTGATTTAAGATATAAATATATAGTAAAAACCTTTAAAATAAAACTGTTGGTGGCCAGACTCAAAAGAAATGCAACAGGAGGGAAGAAATTTTTTCTTTCTTGACTTCACTCCTTCTCTATGCCTTCTCTTTGCAAGCAGTCACAGGTTATGGAAGAGGAAGAAACTGTTGAACTAACAATTATCCTTGCAAGAATAAACTTAATCACTTTTTCCTTCTACAGTTTGAAACAAATGATCTTTAAAAGTAATTCTGTGACCACTGAGACATGAGGAGCTCATAGAATCATGGCTTCTGAAAAGTGCTATGCTGAAAAGGGACTGAGATGTATTCCTTCTGCCCAAGCAGCTTGAAATATGCCAAAACCATGATACTAAATTCCTTTTTATCTAGGAGATGCTTCATACAGACAAGAAGAGCAGAGAATTCTTATTCAAGTACCAAGAATGTCAACAAAGTTTACCAATTAGTAACAGTAAGGTAATCCAAGTGATTAAGAGATTGATCCAATTTCCCTAGTAGACATTCAATCTTTCTGTGATCTCACATAAATGGAATAGGAAAAAAATTATTATATTATTTCTAGGTACATCTGGAGTAAAGAAGAAATTCAAGCTTCAATTCTCATGTCACTCATCTAGTCTTTGCTGCAGAATTAACCTGATAATATCCACCCACACTGCTATTCGTTAATTTACACACTGTCAAGCACATGGAAAAGCTTTTTCTTTCAGATGTTCTCTCTGCAGTTTGTCACGGAGACTCAAACAAACCAAACCAGGAACAGAGAAACTATTAAAGAACACTTTTTCACAGTTCCATGTGTTTGATTTTGCTTGTTTTTACGGATACTGTCCCGTGTTCTTTTACCTCCATCTCCTCTGATGGAAGGACGGAATCTAATTTAAAAAATCACTATCTTTAGGTTACAGTAACATTTATGAATGCACCAAATGACTTTCCAGGAAAACTAGAATATCTAAAGCAGTCTTTGGCAGACACTGACTAATGTGAAAAACACCAAATTTAATACGGCTACTTTGGCACATTGCACTAAACAATGAAAAAATCTGTGAAAAATAATCTGCACAGTTTTATAAAGCTTTTAAACCTTCTCAAATAGAATTAAAAAGCACTCCTTACCTTCTGTATTCGGCTATTAGCTTAATCAAATCTTCCATGGAAATCTTATTACTTTCTTGTCTGAATAAAGGTGAGAACCGTGAGTCTCTGTCAACATTTCCCTGATTATCTTTGAACACTGGTCTATAAAGAAAGAAAAGTAACATGTTTACAAACACATCAATTTGAACGTTTGAAATTGTCACTCATCTTTTAATAAGGATATGACCTGAACTCTTCCACAGATTTAAGAACTTTCTGCAGAGCTTCACACAAAAAAGCTTTTCAGAGGTGTACCTCTGTAGGAGCAGAGACAGTTCCAGTGTATTTACACACACTGCCCCAGTTCTGCAAAGACTTAAGAATCTTTCACTATGCAAACAGTCCCAAGTCACCTCAGATGTAGCCTGACTGTTGACGCCTCAGAGTTCCTGCATTTCAGTGCTAGAACAGATCATCATCATCCAGCTCAGCATCCACGGCCTCTTCTCCCGTATAACTGGTGATAGGACTAGAGGGAATGGTTTCAAGCTGCACCAGGGAAGATTCAGGCTGGATATTAGGAAATACTACTTCTCTGAAAGGGTGGTCAGGCACTGGAATGGGCTGCCCAGGGAGGTGGTGGAATCCCCTTCCCTGGAGGTGGTCAAGGAACGTTTGGATGTTGTGTTGAGGGATATGGTTTAGCGAGAACCATTGGTGATGGGTGGATGGTTGGACTGGATGATCTTGTAGGTCTTTTCCAACCTTAGTGATTCTGTGATTCTGTGATTTTTCCCCCCTTTATTTTTGGTTGTTAAGTCTCTACTGAGAAAGCTGAAGTGTACTTCACCAGAGCCCACTTCCCACTCCACCCTCCATTGATCATTTTAATAAAAGAAATTGCAACCATTAGATCTCATCACATAAAGAAGCACGCGCTTGTGCAAAACCAGGGTAGAGACCCCTAGAGAGTTTTCTCATGCATTAAATCTGTTCTGTGTCTTCCAGAAGCAAGACACCAACTCACTGCGCCTTAGCTTTCCTTCATAAAACAAGCCTGTGGAACACTGACTAAATTTTTAGTGAACCAGTTACTAAGTGCCAAGTGAAATGGAAAGAAAGGATATTGTTCCCAGTTATAAACCGTAAGTATCAGCTGTCGCGCACACAGGAAAACATGCTCAGATATTTCCATTCCTGCTCGTTGACACTTGCAGGATTAATTAAGACACTGCAATGCCCTTTGTACAGCCCCAAGGGTCACACACATTGGCTGGACTGGATAATGTAGCAGCTATCCAAATTAATGAACTTTGGATTCAACCGCTGTACGCTAAAACATTGCTTAACAAAAGTAAAATGTTCTTGACACTAAGTGCTGTTCTGTGAATCATTTGGCCAATCTTTCTTCTTTAATTTACTTCTCTGTTTCACTGCCAGGGAGAAGAGTAATTGATGCCAGCACAAATCGCTGCCAGATACAAAATAATGGAGTAAACCCTTGGAAGAAGATCCTAAGAACGAGTACAAACGCACCCTGTCTTTAATTAATTAACTGAGAGAAACACTGCTATTTCATTTCTTTGTAACTGTAAAGAATAATAGGCCCTCTTCTATCAGGTTCTTGCTTTCAAGAATTACGGGGAATAGAGTCCACAGCAGCATCAAATATTTTAAGTTGCTAGGAAGAAACCAGACCCAACTTCTGCCTGCCATCGGTTATTTTACAAATCCTATCAAACCACCGATGGAAAAAAAAAAAAAAAAAAAAAAGATAAGATTAATAAGATTAAATAACTATTACAGTATTGGTGACACTGTGACGAGCTCAGCACTGCTTCCTCCCTCCCCAGACTACCAGAGAGGACCAAAATATAGAGAAAGGATTTTGGCTTTCCCACTGGGCTCTGCATTGGGGTTGCTGAGCAAACCCAGCTTCTGTGGGAACCTATGAATAATTCCCATCCTGGTGCTCAGCACACTGGGTTACGGAGGCACTTAGTAAACCAGGCTGGGAGTGTTCATAGTGCAGAAGGAGCCAGGTCTGTGTTGGAAGTAGCTCACTCCAAGAGCACTTGCCACTACAGGTGCAATTCAGACATCCATGGAAAACAAGCTGATTCTCACAAATGCGTATTTCCTGCATTCAGAGCAGAGTTCAACTGCTTACTGCTAGTCAAACTATATGGACATATTCGTGCTCCCAGCTCTTTTAAGTTGAAGAACTGTCACAGTAGCAGTATTGCATGTTTTACACCTGCAGTTAAACAACTGCATTCCCACGTTTTGCTGGATCCATTCAGTTGCTGGCACAGATGGAGCACCTTATCACAGTGCAAAGGCACTACATACCAAAGGCATTTTAGAACAATGAGTGGCAAGGTCAAGGAAAAGCAACCATAGCAAAACGCTTCAACAGCCCAGGAGTCCAATACTTATCTAATATCTTAATGATTCATGACTACTTGCTACTTATTTATTAAATAGATCTTAAAAAGAAAAAAACAAAACTAAAATCCTGAAGAAATTGTCAAATTTCATTATAGAAAATGATACTTTTCCAGTATTTTAAATGTTTCAATTATTCTACTGTTCTGATATAATCAGCTGATAGTCTACAATTACAACAACTCTTTAAATGCAGAAAACCTACACAAGGTTGGTAATTCCGCATTGAAACACACTTTACAGCAGAAAATGATTCTGACACATTGCAATTGTAACAAACTGTATACCCGTGAGAGCATTTAGGCACCAGATTACACCAGTGCCAGCAAGAAATCAGGAAGGAAACCTGAGTCATCCTTTTGCATGACGACAACCAACTGGATGCCACGTAAGATAATTAAAAGTTTCAGTCACTTGTATAAAACTCAGCTGTCACACTTTGACTCGCTAAACATATATGTAAAAATCACATTGTGGTCATCTGCAATTGCTTTAAGGGGGAAAATTTCTGCAGAAAAACAGGAGTGAGGCTAATGCCAGAATGGAAATGTGTTTTCCAGTTATTTCAAATGCAGGGTTTTGCTATTTATCCCAGTCAGACCATTTTTTCCCCATGTAATATGATAGTCTCCGGTGGAAATTTATATTTTCAAGCTGAGAAAATAGAAATAGTTTGCACAGAGCCAAATTATACTTTGCTTTTACTGAAGAGCGTTCTGAGTAATGTTAAAATACAAATAGATGTAAATGAGGGCAGAATTTGACACAATGATCTAAATAAATTCCTTGTGCAACTCCACTGATGCCAACAAGATCGTACACGTGGTTTATTTGGACAACAATCTTTATGCTGTTATCTCATCACCATAAATGATTAATAATGAAAAGTTTTAAGAGCTGATAAACACACCCAAATGTATTTTCAGTAATTAATCATACAGATGGAAGGAAAGCTCCTTAATGTTATGGGCAGTGAACAACTGTAGTAGGATGACATCCAAAACTACTGCCTGCTAGAGCAGGCTGGATGTCCACAAATTCCAGGTACATCCTCTGCTCACATGCAGGCCATCTGTGTAATGCACACACTGTAACTGCCTACGAAATGTTGAGCTTGCTCTGCATCTGCTAACACAAGCACGTATTTCTATTTCTATGTGGGAAATCATGGACAGAATATTGATCAAATAAACATATTTAGGAATGATTTGATGCTCTCCTATGGAAGGGGGTAAAATACAGCACAACGTGAAGGTCTTTTCAGTCTTACTTTCCTGAGGAAAATAACACTAACAGAGGAAGACTGAAGGCGGCTCAGGCTCCTGAGTACCCAATCCCCACTGTACTGAGGCACACAGACACAAGCAATGACTGAATTACAGGGCACAAAACTGAAGGTAGAGCCACGAGCAACAGTCAGCCAGGACAGAGCTAAAAAAACCCTCAAGCCAGCCTGTCGCCCAGCCTGCATCTCTTGCCACCATACCATCTATTACACGCTAAAAGTAGCCCATCAATAACAAAACAGACACCCATCAATATCATTTTGATGAATGGCCCTTTGGCTACACAGACCTACTATTATATTAATGAACACCCTTGAGCTTGCTGTGACAGATCAGAGCACATTTTCTGCCCTTCTCCTGAGCATGCACCCACTTTTCCTGTTCCCACTGGATACTGAGAAAAAAAAATTATGCCAATGAAAAATAAACGATTCCTCAAATGGCCATAACTTTGTCTTTGCTCCTTTGCCATCCAAGCACCCTATGCTAAAAACAAGATTTCATCTACGTGTTGAAGGACAAACCATGTGATTCTGGTACCCCACACTTCCACACCAGAAGAACACAGCCACAGAGCCATCTCTAATAGTCAAGAAGAAAGGACAGAAGACTGAGAAGGAGCAAACAGAAAGGAGGATGGAGGAATTACTAGAAAATTAGAAGAAATGATGAAAAGAAGGCAGCCACATCTATTTTGGCAACTTGATAGAAAGGGATCAAGAGGTGTGGGAAGAACAGCTTGAGGATGACAGCAGGGAGTAACTGTAACAGGTCTCTCTCACCTAGCAGCCAGTAGAACTGCAGAAGTACCTAAAGCATTCTCATTTGCATGGCCTAAGGCACTGTACCGGGGTCACCATTACTCCAGGTTCTTGGTTATATTTACTTGAAATATGACAGGCAGAATTTCAGACTGTTGAATCTGTATTTTAAGGGGCCATTACATCCTTGTATCTGACAGTAAATATCTTTGTAGGAAATGATTGTAAAAACTATGACTTTGAAAACCTTTCAGTAATTTTTAGCATCAAATCACTAGTGGAGTTCACGATACCTAGATAATCTATCAGTTACCTCTGTTACTCTCTGGCAACTACACTACTTACTTAAATAAGATTCCAACACAGTAACATTTAATGAGAAAGTAACCAATACTCATCTGTGTGAGAAATAGGGCAATGAACTAACAAAGCTGCAGGATCTTCTGGGGTCTGCATCACACAGAAAGCTTTGCTTAGCTTTGGGCAGAACAAGCAGAAAGCAATAAGATGATACAAATCCAAGAGCATAATCATCTATAAAATATTGCTACAAATTATGAACAGAATTAATACTTACCTCACTGACCAAGCAAATGGCATACGGTATTTTCCCAGCTTGCTACAGAATTGTTTATTGGATTTTAACACTTTCTGTGCACACTACAAAACAACAAAAAAGAAAAAACTATGAATTGTGTCACCAATGTGCCAGTAATATCTACAGCACAGGATAACAAACTATCACTCTGCTGGAGAGGTTGTAATGGCCCCCAAATAATTGGATCTGATTCTGCTCATGACAGAAGGTTCTGCGATGGACAGGAGAGGCATCATGGAACTGCTGATAAATTAAACCTCTTCAGTGTCTGTTAAATCAAAACTACAGCAGTTAAATTACTATTCCAGTTTGCTCTCACATATCTATTGCAAATGCTCTGTCTGTTCTCAGACACAGATAGGTGCCTACCCCGGTTATGTGAGCACACAAAGTGCACTAGCTCAGAATTCATAAAAGATTACTGAAACAGAATTTCACTTTGCTAGGACATAACTAGCATAGGAATGCACCATGCATGGATTCATATGCTTCAGTCAAAATAACTTTTTCATTTTGTGTACCTAGGTGAAAACATTTATAAGATCGCAGTTGGTCACCACGTAATTATTTTATCTTAACAAAGTTAGTGGAGTTTGGGCACCTGCTTTCTTAGGACTGGTGAGATTCTCAAGCAGAATTATCTTCAGCTTCCAATAGGCTGAAACTTACAGAGAAGGAACTTGTTCATGTTACATTACCTTGTAAGAATCGGGATTCTTAATGTAAGGTTCAGCACTGCTGGCAATGTTTCCTGTGAGCACCTTCTCTATTTTTGCTACCAATACGATCTCAGAATGAGGATTACTTATGGAGAAAAGAGCCTGAGAACAGAAAAGAGAACAGTAAAAAAGTATAAAGCAATAGTGATGAAATGAAATACTGCCAATGCTCTTTGCTTATGGAAATACCATCAAACCAAATTCAGAATGCATTACAAAGGATCTCTCTCTATGCATTCAAGACAGAGGGAAACGAAAATCTTCATATTAGCTCTGCATAAGATTATGCCCTCAGCTCCTAGCAAAGATACTAAATGAAGAGAAGAAATGCTAGAATCACCTATCCTAACTGTTTGTCTGGGACAACACTAACATCAGCCACACCTCATGGGAACGGCATTGAGAAGAAATGCAACATAAGGCAAGAACATGGGAGTACATGGAGATTAACTGTGTTTAGATGAGGCTTTAAGTTCAGGTTTGATTGGTTGGTTTGAAAAACATCAGTGAATGAACCCAAAGAATTCAGGAAATGTGTTCGGTCTCTCTAAATGACATTAATTATTTGAATTACAAATGGATTGTAAATATCATGCATCTGTATCCAAGTACCATTGATACATACTGTTAGAAAAAGCATGTTATGAAAAAAGAACCACTGGTAATAGAAAAAGTCTCCAAAGAAAATCAATAATACTGAACTAAAATTAGTCATGAGAGCACTAAGTCACATAAGCCACACGTGGAATACCTGCTTTGGGTACTTCAGCCATTCTTCTGGGAACCCCCTGACCTGTGGTTCTTCCACTTCATTCGAGTCTATATTTTCAACAGTGCCATTTTCTAATGAAAATGAAGAACCTGAAATCATCTGTCTGACGAGAGCATGGTTCAAATCCACATGAAAATCAGCAGATATCTTTCTGCCATCCCTGACATCATACAGTGCCACGCTCACAAAGAAAGGCTCCACCTGGAGAAAACACCAGAAACAAAGCAGTGCAGTAACCGAGAGAGAGTAAAATCTTTTATTAGAACCATAGAGCTAGAAAAAAGAAAGTAAACGAAGACTGTTTACAAATTATGAGATTCATTGAAAACACATGTTCACCCAGCAACAAAGATTCCAACATTTAGGGGCTTCTAAAGGTAGCTCATTGACATTGGGCCAGAACAACAATCAGCAGCTAACACGGAAACTTGCAGAAGGAATACAGAAATGTCTCTGTTGCAGATAATGATTAGAGTAAATTAACAGACCTCAGAGAAATGCAACAGAAGAATTTTAACACAAATTTGCACTCATTATAAAAGAATGGATAGCGAGGGTGGGCCTTCCAGGATCATCAGAAATGTGACCAAAAATGATGACAAATGTAATGAGATGAAAAATGTTTACTGGTACAAACACAAACGCGTGGGTGTATTATTCAGTGGGAAACACATGTTCTATTTTGCTAGGAAACCAAGAGCATACAAACAGCTCTGACAGTACCCACTTGTTCTATTCCATAGTGCCAGGGAATTAAATCGTATGACTGTAAGTAACCTCTACAGAGCCTTCACTATTCTGATGAAACACATCAGTCAGGATAAGACAGATGAACTTGTGATGACAAGTTCTGAGCTGTTTGGAAATCAGAATCTTAAAACTCAGGAGATAAGGGTAGTGTATCAGCAGGTACAATATTCTATGCTTTTGCAGCCTCTGTAATGAACAAGTGCATGCCCTTGGTTCACTTATGAGTTCCCTTAAACAGCTATTCCAGTCTGCCAAAAAAGTATTGATCACATTATGCTGAACATGCACTCACTGAGGAGGTCATCATCATATGGAAATACACAAACAAAATAAAAATCGATGCTTCATGGAATATATGAAAGCTGGGTTTCCAGGACAGATTTCTCAAAACCTTCCCTGCTTCTGAGGAGAATTAACCTAAAGCTATGGATTGATAATGACAACTTCCCTTTCCCCGCACTTTTTTCTTAAAGTAAACATAATTTTCTGTTTTGTCCTTTTTTTTTTTTTAATATATATTTTTATTTTTAAGTCTGGGCTTTCCTACTTGATGAAGCATCCAGTCCTTTCTATTTGCCTTCTCATCTGTAATCTAATCTGTTTGGTCCCCAAACTCTCTAAGAAAAACAACTAAAAATACCAATTATCCACCACCAACTGATATTCAATTGCCTCCTTACACAGACCTTTGCAGTTTAAACTTGTTCTTATAGCAACTGTTAAGAATCCTCAAAAGTCTTAATGTTTTCAATTCCCCATTCAACCGTAGCTAAAAGTTTGCAATCTAAATCAGCTTCAAAGTGCTGAAAGGTTCCCCAGCCTCATTACTTGTTTCAAAGGGATAGGCTGAGGGGGAGCTTACCAAGTGCAGTAAGTGCAGAGAAGTCTTTTCCGAAGGGGGAGAAAAGGAAAAAGCACACAGGGAAATAATGAAAGCTTACATTAGTTGAAGGATCGTTTTCATTTTCAGTAACGCAGGCCTGGAGATTCAAACTGAGGGATTTGCAAGTTATCAGGATCCGCTTAGCAGGTTTTTCTTCAAATGGCTTGATCACTGAGTTTGTCCCTGGAAACTCCTTTTTCTGAGGATTCACTGACTGAAATACGTTAGGTGATTAGTGATATATATGGAAAAAACACAATAATCCAAAACTCAGAAAGCTTTCTAGAGGTGTTTACTATCACTGAATTACCTGAAAACCTCACAAAATCACTGCTGATATCTCCATATTCCTTGTTAAGTCAACCAACACGCATTCATTTAGCACAAACAGAAATGTTATTTTAATCATGAAGTCTAACACTAAATAAGCAAGCTGAGGATAAGCAGCAAAGCAATCTGCCCTTCCTACCATTTCCAGCTAAACTTCATTCACATACATGAACTTGTATATCTCCAATTGTACCTCCTGCTTTTTAAACCCATTCACATTTTGTAGTCAAATTCAGTGCACTGAATAACAAAAATCTGTTACTGTGACATTCCCAGTCCAAGGAAAGGTTCTGTTTCTGTGATATTTTCAGTCTGCTTTACTGACTCGAAGTTTAGCTACACTAGAAGATGACCTCCAGACGTCCCACCCAACTACAACCACTTTGTGATCAGATAAGAGCAGTCTATACACAAACCTCTGCAGAGCAGGGACAGGATTTCCACCCCCACTCATTTTGAAGCTGAAAAGAAATACAATTTCCATTCTACTTGTATTTTCAGCCTAACAGTCCTGTGCACACAAGTAAGATTAGCACAGGGTGGAACTCTCAGTTGCTCACTGAACTCCCAGTCACACAACGAGCTTAGCTAACCCTGTTAGCTCAGCATCTGTATTTAAAAACTTACAGGAACTTGAAGAGATAATTTCACTTACTGCTATATCAGGATCCAAAGAGAAAAGATTTAGTCGCTCTGTATTTCGAGAAGCTTTCACCGTTTCTTCTGTTTCTGTGATGTACTGTAGTGACAGACAATAAATTAGTTTTCTGCACAAGAACAGAAACCCATAGACTTGTTAAACCTTTAAATGTATGACCAACGTGTCACTTATAATAACAGCCCTCACTTCTGCAGCAGGTATTCTAAAGTGCTTTCAAACATTCTTTGAAGGTTATACCTTTGTGAAGAAGGATTTTCAGCCCACAATACACTTCAAAGGAACCCAAAAGAAGACCAATTAAGTAACTCAAGTTCATATATGTTACTAAAGAGTCCATTGTTAAGATGTCAGAATAGTGACTCACCATACTGAAAACACTTTGGGGATTCACAACCCCAGGGAAAAACAGACTCCCACAAAACCATTTTTGTTGCAGGGAACGCAGAGAGGGGAGTGGGGGAAATGCTGTCCTGCCTTTCAAACAGGCAGAATCCCACAGACTGCAGAACACCCATAAGTGTCAGGCTTGGGAGTCCTCTCCCCACCCATCTCTCTGTCCCTGGTTTAGGCAGATACAGGATCGGGAGATAAGGGTAGGTCCTTAGTACTGCAGCCAGGCATATAGAGCAAGGGGTAAAAAAAGAACTAGCTATATAAAGGGCAATACAAGCACAATACAACTTGCAGACCATTTATTTTAGCCTTGCAGGCCACCAGTAACGAAAGCATTTGCTTTAACCAAACTATCTGTGGTAAAGGAAGCACCTGCCTACTGAGAAAACGATCAGATACTACTGTTGCCCTCCCACATGAACACAATGATTTATCTTTTGTTCTTGTTGTAGCTATTTTAATTGTGTGAGAATTTCACAAATATGAATATTCATATAACCTAAAGTAAAATGTAAACCAAATTCTGTTCTCATTTTCATTCAAATCTGTAGGAATAACATTCTCAGGCAGCATTTTGCTGTATGTATGTACAAGTAGATAGCATCTATAGATGCTCCATGACAGGTTACAAACATCACACATTCACTTAGGAAAACCAGTGAAGACATACTTCCAAACCAGCTTCTCCTCATTTTAGCACCTTCAACAATTATCTCATTTGCATGATGTAGTCTGTGAGAACTAGAAGACAAAATATCTCCACATACATCTTCCAATGAAATTAGTGAAGGTGATGAACAGTTTGCAGGTCATTTCCTTTAAGTGCTGCAAGTCCTATAGGAAACCCTGTCTCTCTGAGGACCAAAGTCTGTGAAATGCAGGTTAAAAAAGTAAATACTTCATAAACAACTGCCGGGGCTAGAGCCTTATTGACTTCACAGGTATAAATCAAACCAGCATGTACTTTCTTTACACCCAGTGGAATTCTTTTCATTTATATAAAACCATCAACTCAGAAATAAAATTATTTCCATCATTTATCATGGCTCTAACACACAAAATGGGGTGTATGCTATTTTGAAACCTTTCACAACAGTAATGATCATCTGTTGGCAGGCATTTTGTCCTAGGCAGCACTTTCCACTCAGCTTGTAAGGACAAACATAACAGCCATTACTTTTGCAAAGTCTGGATGCAAGGTGTTCTCTGAAGAATCAGCCTCTTCTTGAGAGCAATCATAGTTCACTGAAGCTTCTGCAGGGTCTTGAAAAGGGGAAACAAATAAATAAATAAGTAGGTCAACGTTTTTGTTGTGCTTGCTCTTACCAGTGGATTTTAAAAATCAATCCCCATCCGACTCCTTTTTGTTCCCTCTTAGAATCCATCTCTAAAATGGAGGAGATACTGGTGTGACCTCTGTTCACCCCAACCTCCTCTCCCAGTAGTGCTCACTATAACAGAGACTGTATTTAAGCTTCCAAAGATGCTGGACTCTACTTGCTGAAGTGTCTGGCATGTCCACTCATGACAAATATTCGTGTCCACAACAAAGACATCTTCCTTTGCTCTCAGTCCCTCTCAAGGCAACCCTGAGAATTTATGCCAAGATTTTAGGCTCCCTGTAAAAGGAGTTTTCAGTGCAGTCAGTGAGGCAGACAGGATCCTATCTGCTCTTTGAGAAGAAAGTCTGGACTCCAAAAGCTGCAAATCTACATTTCCAGAAAACAGCACTATATAGCAAATCTTTTATTTGGCTCTTGCTTTTAGACCAATGTGAAATAAGTCACTACAGACATTCAGGGCCTTTCTGCCAAGAAAGAATCATGCCTTTTGACAAGCTAACAAGGAAGAGGAATGTGCTATGATGATTTCGGCGTTTTTACCCCTAAAAACTGTTTTCTGTTAACCTTAAGTCTTTGATGCTTCACACGCATTTTTCTTCTTGTTACTTAATACCCTAATGGGTGGAATTTTCAAAAGCACTTCTCTGATTCGGAAGTGCAAATCCCTCGTGCCTCCAAACCATAAAAACATATCTTTGGCTATATGAAGAGCTTTCTGACCCTCCGAAATCAGAATTTATTATAAACACAAGGTTAAAGCCTTCAGTTAGCTTTGAACTGCCTCGAGATTCAGATGCATGGAGGTTCAAAGCTTTGATTTCGTTCATACCTTAAGTGGTGGTGATAATTTTTACTAAGGTTTCAAGTGTTATCAGTTATACAGTTTTAGATAGGATTCATCAAACTGAACATGGATTTATTATGTGAAATGATGAATTATTGTCTCATGAAGAGTACAGTATGACCAAGCATCTAATTCTTTCCTACACGGTCAAAACACATTAATATGCAATGTCACAAAAGCAAGAAATGAAAAGTCAATAAGCTTCCAGGGAAAGAGCAATACACCAACAGCTGGTGATTTTTTTTTTAAATCATTAGCTCCAGATGTTTAAAGAAAAACAAAATGCTGGAAAAAGAATCTTTCCCCAAGAGCACTCTTTAAAACTTTGAGACCCAAGACAGTAAAACACAATGTAGCAGTAAGATCATTGACAGGGTGAACTACTCTTGAAAAAGAGCTGCATAAGCAAAGCAGAGCCATGTTGTTCCTGCCGACTTTAAGGGGAGCAGCTTTACCTCCCTCTCACAGCCTTTTGAAAATGATCTGTGGGTAGTTAGCTGACATTGTTCAGGGCCTGCCAAAAGGCTGGAGCTGCTCCATCAGAAATCAATAGATACAGAATCCATTACAGACTCAGGCAGTTACAGTGATTCGACATTGGTAGCTGAAGGCTTTTTTTTTTTTTTTTTTTTTTTTTGCATTTTATTTTAAAAACAATACAAGATTATTCACTCTTACCAAATTTCAGATCAGTGAGGTCTCCACTTTTCCTTTCCTGAATGGTCCCCTCTGGATTTATTTGCAGGATTTTGTTGAGAGTGAAAATCCAGTCATCCATATCCTGTTCATTTTCGGCTGCCAGCACAAAGTATGTGAGGTCATTCATTTTCAGCTCAAAGGCATGTTTCCTAAGCCTGTTATTCTATTGGAACAAAAGGAAAGGAAAAAATAAACACCAGAACCAACTATAAAAAGGTACCAAAAAGGCATCCATAAGATGGACTTCTACATAGCCATTCCTCATAGGTAAATTTCAAACAAAACTGAATTTAAAGAATTTTTTTTTTTTTATTTTTAATATCACAGAAAATGAATTTACGTCCATTTATGTTGTGTCTGTATATCTAACATCTGTTCAGCCATAGAAGATCTAAGACTATGGCCAGTAACACTTCAAACTATGGTTTTGGGGAACATCTCCTAAGTGAAATAATGAAAGGCCTCTGATGGGGAAAGTACAACATTGCTACATGACTCATTGCTGAATAGAGAAAATAAGGTCCAAGTCTCCTGTAAGTCACCACTGCCTCAGACACTCAAGAAGACACCAAGCAGTGCTAACCAACATTCAAATTCGCTCTGCAGAAAGAGGATGGAATTAGTTCAACAAATCAAATCTAGCAGGCAAGTGAAGAAGTACACAGTGAAAGACCGTCCCACTTCTGACTGCTGTGGTTGGAAATGAATAACTAAATGTGAACAATTCATGCAACCTTCTTTTTCAGCTATTTACAGATGCTGCAAACAAAATTCATAAAGGTAATGACTAATTGTTAAGTATGCAACGAAGCGAGAAATATTGTTGTTAGGATGAGGACATTTGTAAATACATTTCTTTGGTTTTGTTTTTGAAAGAGCTTCTGCATAATACCAGTTAGACTTTGAATAGAAATCAATAAACCACTTCAGAAGATGTGAACAGGACAGATTCCTCCATGAGAAAACATTACAATGAGCACTTTGAAGTGTTACAAGTGACTATTGCATTTTCAACAATTCCTCACAGGACACCAAAGGTGAAAGTACTGCTGCCCAGTCACCGCATTCTGGCCTTTTAAAGAACAGAATAGGAATCTAAACCCAATATACTGACAATAGACTGAGCTTTATTCTGTATCACCAGATTGTACCTGCAGTAGAGAGTTGATCCATCAGTTTCTGTTATGAGAATTAACAGCTGCTTAGTTAATGGAACAGCTCAATAAAACTGAGTAAAATGATCTTCTAATGCAATATGTTTCATTCCTCAAATTTATCAAGTGAGTGAGGCTTCCAACTGTTAGACTCATGGACATAATCACGTCAATTATCTCTTTCCCTTGTTTAGATCTGGAAGAAAATTAATGCACCCTACCTCTACTACGTAACATAACTTTTACAACTACTGACTATGGACATCAGTGTCACAATTTTACATTCCATATTCCAGAAAATTGCCCTCATGTGCAATTATTAGGGCATTGCTGACGCATCTAACCTTGGACTGACAGGTGAAAACCAACTCATCCATCCCATACTTGGTCGTTTCGCTTTTTGTTTTTCTTAATTCAATCTTAAACAAAATGACAGCGATATTCTATAGTTTTACATGCCAGAATTATTTCTCAATACACAGAACCGCAGCCCTATATCAAGTTACCCAGAACAGCATCTAATCCAGCAGCTCAGATCTCACTGGTGTCATCTTTTGTGTATGAGAAACAGAGGCAAAATCTGAGGCTTATTAGCAGTGAAGGAGATAGAGAACACCAGGCATGGAGAAAAAATTCCATGTACAATTTTGTTTTTACAGCAGCAGAGATGATTTAGAAGATTCCTACCCAATCTGTTGTTAATTACTTGCTCCAGTCTTCATACTGCATTCATGACCCAGCTCAGGAATCAGCAAGAATAAACAATTTCTGGAGCTACTCGGTCAATGGAATCAGTCAAATTTAGGTTTTTCAAAATTGACTCAGGCATGTGTGCCTATCTATGTGTGTACTTTTTAAATTCTGCTACTGAAAATTCTCTTGTTAGGAAATCATTATTCACTCAAAGTATGTGAGAGAAAATCTTTCAGGTATAAAAATTTTAACTTGCCCTATCCAGGGGAAGAATACGGTTGGGTTTTGTAGCAATTCATTCTTGGGCGCCTGGTTACATTCTTGATCACAGTGAAATCACTGTAATCCTCTAGTTACTGCATATGTTCAAATTAATGTAAAATAATAACTAAAACTTCACTGAAATCTATTTTAGCTAATAAATCATGAGGGCCTGAACAAGAGTTAAATGTGGAAAAAAACCAATGTCAAGAATCCTCAGCTAATGCCCATCCAAAACTTTTAAGTTATCTACCTTTTTTAAAGGTAGGTAATTTAAGTGGATCATGTGTACAAATTTATGCACAATCCTTAAAGAAAAAACACTGTGCTTCAATCTATCTTCAGAAAAAGTATACAGATCACTAAAAAGAATTCACCTGTCTGTATTGTGTCCTTCCCTTTACAGACATGGCCATGATCTTTAAATCAGGTCCTGTAACACTATTAGACATTATCTAATAGAGCAATACATCTTGCATGCTGAATCCTAAGAACACTGTGACAGGAAAACTTCAATATCCACTCTTCCATCTGCACTTCAGACTTCTGGCAAGCAGATGAGATCTACTACAAAGGCTCTGTTTCAAATCTAAAGCCAACTACTTTTTTTCCTGATCAGTTAATAGAACAAAAAAACCCCAAAACCCCAAATTCCATTTCTCAGTTTCCTTCTCTGTAAGTCCTTCCACATCTATATGGACTGTGGACCTCAAGGTTAACTTGTAATCTTCAACACTTAATTCCAAGTTTGAACTTATTTTCAGAAGGAAATTACACAAGAATAAAAAAGAAACTACAGATGAGCTATAAATGAAACAACAGGCTGTCTGATGCCTGCAGGGTCATTCTTCCAAAATAAAAGAATTGTTTTGAAGGTGCTTTGCATTTAATCTGGAGATGTTTTTTTTCCAGGATGTTTATTGCAATCTAGTAAACTCTATCAAACGAGCTCAAAGTCATTCATATTGAGTTAAATGTGCTTAGCAGCATACAGCTCATAAAATCAGAAATTTTACATCATAGCTCCTCTAAGCCTTCAGATTTATGCAGCACTTTCTCCAGATTCTATGGTTTCCCTGCCTATGGCAATTATAATCCAAGTTTTGTTTTTCAGTCCTATGATTTTAAGTTCACCACATTTTTATACCAGTTGGAGTCTTTGATGCTGATGATACTTGCACTATTATTGCCTTGGCTAAGACTCACTTTTGAGTGAAGACAGCTCATAAATTCATTCACCCCATTCTAAATGTCAATTAAACAATCAAGAAAATCAGTGTCTGGTGGTAGGACTTAAGTAAGTTTGAACTTACAGTTCAAACTGTTCGGGACAATTAGCTGGAATTCTATAGATTTAGAAGGAAGATGTCAGTGGTCAGAAGGATGATTTCAAGTATTTCTTAAGCTTTTTTTTTTTTCTGTCAGAGGTTAGCAGAAAAGGGCAGAAATCTTGCAGTCTAAAGATTTCTGCTACCACGGAGTGTCATCAGAAACAACACTGAAGATCAGGCACCCTCTGGGCCAGTGCTTAATTTACAGCTAAAGCCACACTGCGGGGACATTCAGGTCTTAATGAGGGTTCTGGCTGAGACCTGTCTTAAAAGAAAGCACACACCACCAGCAGGCAAGAGCAAGCAGTCATTTTTTCCCTTCTTATGAAAGACTGAGCAATACCAACTCACAAGATCCAGGATGACTGTTACTCTAAGCTAAGTAAATACTCCCTTAGTCACAACTCACTGCTCAGCTGAGAGCAATTCCTTCATGGCTGTACCATGTGTCCGTAACTGCACAGAGCACATCTCCTTCATTCTGACCACCATCTCAAACACACATAGCCCAGACTAGCACAAGAATGTGTTGCAGACATTAAGCATTTCTAAATAGGATTCCTGTGCAAGTTCCAGCCTTAACAATTCCCTAGTTCTGTCTCCTCAGTGGCTTTCATCACACTTCCAGGCCACCTCTTAGGTCTTTCAAGCCAATGGACTGACAGCAGCAGATATCACTGCCCTGCCATGTATTTAGTCTTATCCTGTCCTGCATCAGTTTGAAAAAGAAATGCTTCATGGGCTATGCAGCGTAAACTGCCATTCCCTACGAGGATCTTCAAGGAGCCTATCGAATCATTTAAATAATTTGAAACTCAGGATGTGGGATTAATTTTCCACTTGTAACAATGAACGTTCTATAATCTGAGTCTCTTTATTCCACAAGCATAGTCTTAGTAAGAAAGCAGTAAAACATGGCAGCTAAGAAAGCAATTTCAGTGAAAATAAACTTTTAACGATATTTTCTCATGTGTGCCATCAGGAAAGAGTACGTACTCATCTCCTACCATACTTCAGCCCTATCTCTTGTGTTCTGCCAGTCTGAGCATTTGCACCTATTTGAAGAAAAATGGCATTTTCTTTCCACGCAACTGATAGTGAGACCCATCCATGTATGTTCTTCTATGTACCGCCAGTAATTCTTATTTGACACCAAAACAGTGCAATGAAATAAATTTAGACTTACCTGTACGACTCCTGTACAGGAATCCAAGAAGATACATCCCTTTGGCTCCTTAGATATTTTTTCATCTTTGTAAAAGTTCATAATATATGAGTTATCTGACAGCTGTGTCAGCTGGAAGTAGCGCTTTTTGAATGACTGAAGTGAAGAAAAGAAAACAGACAGTTGTTGAGCTGCAAATTGTTTTCACTGATACCTGATTCAAAGGGTTTAAATAAAAAGCAATTCCTACCCACATTTCAATTGCACTATTCTGCAGACAATTGCAACATTACTTTAGGATCTGTTGAAGCAATGTAACCATGTCTAATCTGAGATATAAATAGATAAACGACAACGGCAAAAAAGTGTGCCTCTGTGGGAGATATAAATCGGAACAGAATAAAGAATAACCTGGTCCCCTTACCCGAACAGTGATGCTATTGTTTACAGTGCTGTTGAAATTCCCTTTATAAAGCCATCCAGACTTGAAAACTCCTGCTGCTAATCCTCCTCCTCCACCACCACCGCCTTTTGAAGATGAGTGGGACGTTGTATCCTAAATGAAAGACGTAATTAACAGTGCATTGACAAAAGAAAACTGTAATGCATGAATACCTAGTTGACAACAAATAATCATCCTTACGTTCCTCTTAATACAAGACCTTATTAGTAAGCCTGCTGTGTATATGTTGTTCCACTAACTTCAAAGTTATTTAAAATGTCAGATATTTTATAGGAGATAAAATCCTTTTCCAAGATATTAAAGTAATAGATAAGTCTCCATTGGTGGAGAAAAGAGAAAAAAATCACAATACATACTTCATCCTTATCCACATCTTCGTGATCGATTTCAAAGGAATGTGATGGCAATTTCTCTGGTCTACAGTCATTTCTGGGAGAAGAGGAAAAAATCTTTTATAGCATTAAGTAAATAAATAATTATAATGTATCAGCTACTTCAGGGAGGCAACTATGCTGGGTACCCATCAACAGAATACCTTCCTTCTTTTCTGATTCTATACTTCTTTGAAGATCAGTATGCTTACAAAATAACGCTTTTTTTTCTTAAGCTCCCTTCATCTTTTTTTTTCCCAGCAATATGAAGCAGCTCCTCTGTATAAAAGATGAAGTACTATTACTTATTCTATTCTCTGCTCTTTCACCACAACAGACAACAAAAACTAAACAATTCCCAGAGAGGGATCCCATTAAAGGCTAACAAGTGAACCAGAATGAACGCTTCTGTAGCTTTTTTTAACCAATAAAAAACATCAGAACATTTGCTAAAAGCTTCTACATTTCTTTAATATTTCAAGATAGGTATTTTACTATTCAATATGATGAGCACAGGCTTCAGGTAATTTTTAAAAAGGCAGTCTTTTAGATGTGGTGCCACTTAGAGCTCCACACTATAGACGGTAAAACAAAACTGAGAATGAAAGAGCAAAGCACTTAAGAAGGTGCTTGTTTTTAATAGTAGTTGTACCGTCCCAAAGTGCGTTGCACATTGCAGAAATAAGCCTTAAGTAACAGCCAAACAATGCACTTGGTAAAAGATATTTTTAAATTGAGGAAAAAAACAAATTTTTCTGTGGCCTAATACCAACACTGGTTTTGAATTCTTGAAGATTAAAATCTCATCTTGAAAGTCTTTACTATTGATGTGAAAAAACTACAGAAGCTGTCATGGTAAAAGCCATTGTTTGCTAGGAAGACCAATCTTTACGGAATATAGTTTCATCTACCCAGACTTATAATGTGAACAAAGAAATGCCATGCTGTCATACACGGGAGCAAACAGTAGTTCAGGAACCACGTGCTCATAAGCTAATTTCCTCTGTGATGTTAGCAAACATTAGCCCACACAAGCACACAGTGTTATGGTTTAAAAAAAAAAAAAAAAAAGGGAAAAGGAAAGGTAGCTAGATCTTTTTCATTTTCTGTTCACTCATACATTCATTCATTCATTATAGATCAGGAAGATCAGAGTAAAAAAGTAGTATCTCTATCTCCTCTTTGCTTTCTCTGTTTCAAAAATCAGTTTTATCATGCCTTCAGCATCCCATTGTACTCAGAAAAGCCAGGATAATTAAATGCACACAGAATACAAAAGGACACAAGACACTTTATTCTCTGTTTCAGCTCGTTCCTTTTTCAGTGTTTAAAGTAAACAACTGATTAATACTGTGGAGAAAAGGAACCTCTGCAATCTATTGCTATCTTTGACATCTATAAAGTGTTAATACTCTGAATCCCTTGGGCTTGTTCATCACTCAGAGCCAAGGATGCACTGCAGCGCTCACAGGGCATGTCTTTGTGGGACTGCCCACTGCCACCAGCCCATGCACTGGTGGGGAACACTGCAGCCTCTGCTTAAGGACCTGTACCAGTAGTGGTGGGGCAAGACACTGAGCTACTGAGAAAAACAAAACAAAGCAAAACTGCTGCTACAGGCGATGGGAAGGAGGAGCAGGGAAGGAGAAGCTGGATTGCTGTGGTGTTGGGTGCCCTGACCCTGCAACACTGCAATTTTGCCTGGCTCATGTCAACCCAATGAAAGGGCAAGCCTGTCCCACTAAACCACAGACCTTCTGTAAGCCTGAGCACATGGTGTGCTTCTGAGAAAAAAGGAAACCCTTCTGCCCTCCCAGAAGAGCTGTATGAGAGACAGAAAAGAACTGACAGCCAATGCTTCCGGTGGCAGAGCAGGCACACCATGGAAGCAAAGACGGTATCAGTGGTTTGGGACAGGCAGCGTGCAGGTTACATCAGTAGAAACAGGCTTTGAAAAAAACAAAATTATATTTTTCTATTTGTCTATTCAAGGCCTCAGGTAAAGGTCCAGTAATCCATAATGTGCTACCCCTACAGCTACCAGCAAAACCCAGCTGTAGGGACACTTTAGTCTGCAGTGAGATCACACAATATCCTGCAGAAGTGTTCTCTCACTGACTACACAGGAAGCACTCATCCACTCAGAGCTCTCATTCTCCATTTTTTCTTCTTTTTCTTATGTGGGACCCTATTCAGGTACACTGCTCATCTTTCTATGGCAGGCAGATAAAACATGTCTGCGGATTCTCTTTTTCTTTCCACCCGCTGCCTCTTCAAAGTCATATGAAATGAAAACTTCTAAGGCAGTGGAACTGAAATACCTACCAAACATTGGGGTTTTCACTTTATAAAAGACAGCAAAAAGTGTGCTAATGGCTTTTTCTGTTTCCAGACATGCTGTCACCACAGTGCACATGCTAAGCAAGTCCTGGTTTTCCTCCACCCCTCCATTTGCTCAAGAAGCAAGAACACACACAACAAAGTATAAAAAATGGTGTAAAAAGAGGTAGTGAGAGCTCACAGAGAGGAATTTAAGGGGTAAAGAGATCTGAAAAAAAACCTCAGAGGAGGAACACACTCAGAGAAAAACTAAAGTAATACCTAAAATTTTGTTTATGTCGTCCACATGCTGTTCAGCTCTAACCCAGCGTCACAGCACTAATTTACTGAAACTGCATCAAGACACACTGCACCTTCTCCAGGTGGTCTGCACTACACTGTGGCTATTTCCTGAACAAAAAGGATCAATGGTGGGAAAGAACTTTGGTATCTGACAAAAATCTGCTGCCCTATGAAGACATTAATTGACATCTTGTATGACTATCAAATAGCACAGTGTCCTCACACAAAAAAACTAGGAATTCCTTCCAGCACTACCGAAGGCTGCTGAATCTCAATTTTTGTGTTTCTAAATGCAAAACCCCATGAGAAGGTCCAGAGCATCCCTTGTGATTGGGAGTCCTTTAGCCACAGCTGAATCTGGTGTCACATCTCATGATGCAAAACCAAATGCTTATCATTCATCCAACCTTCTCTATTAGAACAATCTCCTATAAAAAGAATTGAGACAACAGTACTGAGGGGGAAGTAGCATCTGACACATCATAACATTCCTAGAGCATGAACTCAGGCAAGTGACATTAATCACCATATGAAAATATCCTTCAAAGAGGATGTCCATAAAGAGCTAAAATGTACTTCCTAGCAGAATAATGCAACCACGTCTGTCAAATGCATATTTCATAAGAATGAAAGTACTTAAGGTTAAATGGAAAACTTCTGCCCAGCAAACATTTTTCTTTAGCACTAAATGCATTAATTTTATAAAACAATCATTATATTGGATACATAAGAAAAGGTACTTCTATAACACCAATTAGCAAAACTGCTCTCACTGGCTCTTTGTACTACCCTAATCACCAATGTGCAAGAGAGAAAGCAGATTGGTGGGAAGGCTTACAGCACAAAACCCTCCGAAAAACACATGTAATGGGACCACCAGAGTCAGTTTATTGATTCCTTCCACGATAGAATCACAGAATAGGAGAGATTGGAAGGAACCTCCAGGGATCATCAAGTCCAACTGCCCCGCTAAGAAGGCTCCTACAGCAGGCTGCACACGTGGGTGTCCAGGCAGGTCTTATATATGTCCAGAAAAGAAGAATCCACAGACTTCCTGGGCAGCCTATTCCTGTGCTGGCTTATGGACAACCTGTTGCCCCCCAGGTCCTTCTCTGCAGAGCTGCTCTCCAGCAGGTCATGTCCCAACCTGTACTGATACTTGTGGTTGTTCCTTCCCAGGTGCAAGACTCTACACTTGCTTTTGTTAAACCTCACCTGGTTTCTTACTGCCCAGCTCTCCAGTCTGTCCAGGTCTTGCTGAGTGGCAGCACAGCCCTTCAGTGTCAGCCACTCCTCCCAGCTTTGCATCATCAGCTCACTTGCTGAGCGTGGTCACTATCCCCTTGTTGAGGTCTTCGATGAAGATATTGAACAAGACCGGACACAGCACTGACCCCGGGGTAACACCACCAGTCACACATCTCCAACCAGACTCTGCACCACTCAGCCAGTTCTCAACCCACCTCACCGTCCACTCATCTACCCCACGCTTTCTCAGCTTTGTTATCAGGATGTCGTGGGAGACAGTATCAAAAGCCTTGCTGAAGTCAAGGTAGATGACATCCACAGCTCTCATCCCATCTACCCAGCTGGTGATGCCATCACATAAGGCTACAAAGGTTGGCCAAGCATGATTTTCCCTTGATGAATCCATGCTGACTATTCCTTCTTGTCTTCCAATTACTTGGAGAGGGCATCTAGAACAAGCTGTTCCATAGGTTTAGTTTGGACTAGTCTGCATCCAAGCCAAGACCAGAGCACTTGTTCCAGTGGTCAGCGTTACATGCGTGTAACCACCGCTTTCACTACTGTATTTTTATGTCTCAAAATTACAAGAAAGTAGGTGGTAATGCTGCTTGCTTGGGCATTCAGTGAGTTCATTCACTACTCTGTAAAACAGCCCTCAGGGTACAGAATATAAACCTCCCAGAAGTGGGAGTATGTGTAGGATTACACGCAAAAATGAACAAACACCAAATTCCTAATTTCTTTCCACTCCCATCAAGGAGACTGTTCTTCCCACTCCCTTTACACTGATTTAATGTACTACATCCAAGCACGGACAGGACATTTGCTTACCCAGACAGCTGCACATTTCTGCAGCCATGTCCCATGCATTGTACCAGCACACGTACTCACTGCACACAGACCTTCTGCACTGTGCAGCTATAAACCCTAAGCGAAATCCTACTCCTCTGGCACACAGGGCAGCTAAAAGGAGAATTAATCCCAGTTAAAGGTGAATGACATTTATGCATTATTAAGGAAAACAGAAGCTAGCTTTCTGTATCAACTGTGCTTTGAATATGCAAATACGCTCTTAAGGTTTGAATCAGCACTAGCAGAGTTTGTTGATACTACTGAATTCTGCAGAGCCTTGAACTTTTGCTAAAAGACCTCTTCTTCCCCTTTTTAAAAATGCAAGCCTCTATAAATTCAGTAAAACAAGTACAGAATATGAGACAAAGGAAAGCACAAATAAGGACACAACTCAGCAAAATGACACAAACCTAACAGGAAAAATAAAGAAGAACTTATGCTAGATCTTACTGTGGTAAATGTCGAAAGTCTTCTGAATACTGTTCATATTTGTAGTTCACAACATGCCACTGAGAACTGTAATATTTACAAGCCTAAAGAGAAAATAACAAGAATTAATTAAATAAGAAACTAATATCCCTGAAAGAGAACTGGTCAGAGCCCTACAGTCCCTTGCATGTGGCAAACCAGCACAACATGTTCTCACAAAAGAGCCCAAATCAAAAGAAATAGAAAATGGACATATATTTACAGTGAATGATCAGTTCACATCTAAACTACAGAGTGAAGATTCAGACAGGTAAGTGGCTTTTTATATTGTCTTGTCCCCAGACTGCCTTAAAATGTCAAATTCTTTATGATTAGTAATGATTGTGGAGCCAGGAGTTGCACTCAATTATTCTTGCAAGTCTTCTCCAACTCAAGGTATTCTGTGACTCTAATTCTACTATAACTGTTTAGGCTCAGAAAAGGCTAAAGAAAAGATAAAAGAAGAACCTATTCCTCTGTTTTATAGAAGAGTGCAGAGTTCTCGAAAGAGAGTGAGTGTCACATTCCCACATTTGGAAGCACAACTTCTCTTCTAAGTCAAATGCATTGAATCATACAAGATGGAGTGGGGGGAGGCTGAAAACAACTGAACATGGTTTCCCAGTTCTCATCACCTATTCTGTAGACATCATTAATTTATATCACCAGACCCTCAAGAGACACCATGCAGTTTACGCCTGACTTGCTCCATGGACATCACACATTCATCTGTACCTGTTTCACTGTCTAAGTCTTCCATTTGTAAATGCATTTGCCTCACTCTTTTTATTCCCTGCTGTTGTAGCACTAGCCCTCTACTTCTTGTTCTGGCCCTAGGGACTGATCTTCATTCTCTTAACGTTCAGGAATATATTAACAGGATTATTATTTATCACCAGGGTCTCATTTTTCCCATCACACTGGATTTGCTCAGTCATCTCATCATCTCCCTGCAGCTTTTATTTTCTAAGAAAATCTTTTAGCTGGTTTTGCATCTCATCTGAAATTGTTCTTAATATACAAATCTCCCTCAAATAAAGAAAGCAGACCTGCACAAAGACTATAGTGAAGAGTTTCGCTATGCTGTCAAATAAATCGGATTAACTCTGTGATTTACTCAATACAGAACTTTTATCAGTGCAATTAAACACAACAATTAGATGAAACAAGATGCATGAAATATATGTTTATTGATAACGTACACATTGATAACAAGAAAAATAACCCCATGTCAGAATTTCCAGCAATCCTCACTACAGAATATAAAATGAAAATAGGTAACCACACTATATGCTGAAGAATTTCCCCTAATATCATATTATTTTCTTCCTGCACTTCACTTGAACATTTGCATCAGCACACATAAGATGGACGGAAGGAAAAAAGAGGCCTAAAACCTATCAACAGAAACCACTGCTGAAGTTGACAGGGAAGAGACAAGTCAAGAATGAAAATGTGGGTATCTATAGTAGAGAAAGAAACAGCAACATAAAAGATAATTTAATCTCAGGTGAGAGCAGGAAAGGGTCTCACTAAAAGGCATGGGAAGGATGAAGCCGCAGGAGGAAAAGAGTAGAATAAAGAATAGATCAAAGAGACTAGAACACAAAAAGCTAAGCAGAAAAAGTGGGAGAAGAGGCAATAAAGGGACAAGATGGGTCACTCCAGCTGGGAGTATTCCCTCTTTCTCGCCTGTCTCTCCTGATGTTCCCATGGGAATCACTGCTTGCACAGTGGGGTCTTTGCCCCAGAAGGACAGAGAGGGGATTGTGAGACTGCTACTGCAGTCTGAGATGAGCTGAAAGCCTAAAAATTGTGTTTTTTTAATTACTCACTGCTGGCTTGCCAAGCCTCCTTTTAAATCCTGTGTAAAGCATACAGATATGTAGTCACAGATGAATTTAGGAAATTATCTCAGGTGTAAGCAGTCTTCTGCAGCATCTTTCTTTGTTTTAGCATATGAAAAAGAAGGTGAAGAAGTGGATGCACAGTAGTAGGCAGTTCTCTAGGCACTAAAATGGAACAGAATATTTCAGCACAGCCACGTGCATTCTGCAGTAAAGGGATTCCATCTGAAACTAAGATCTCCTTGATCTGACATAGCCTTCATTTTTTTTTCAGACATGAGATGCAGAATAAAGTGTGACCACTAAACAGTATAAAATAAAACAAAATTACTGACTATCCAACAATGAACTTACTATTCTGGTACTGTAATCAGCTGACTGCGCACCTTACAGAGCAAAGCCTGCAGCCTACACGTGACAATCATGTTCCTATACAGCTCAGGCTTTAAATATTAAAAAAACACTTTTTCTTATGACTCTCCATGAAATGCCTTTGTCACTCTTCTGTTTGCATGACCAAAGTTTTCATTTAAACTACTTGCTATTCACCTGGGTTGCAAGAATACTCTTACAAGGGCAACATGTACTCTGCTATATAAGAGCCAATGAAAAACTCATTCATTGAGCCTTGTGAGGAGGAGCACGGACTCTTCAGCTCACACTTCATCCTCTTTCTGCTTGGTAAGCGTGAAATAATCAAGTCTTCTATAGAAAGGGCATCTTTTTCCCTGTGGTACTTTCAGCACTAAGTATTCTACTGAGCAAATGCAATTAATGCCCGCAGAGCATTCTCACCACAGTCTTTTACTGCAAACATTACAGGCTGATGTGTTCAAAACATAGTTGGGAATACCATATAGAGCAGGTCACGGTGTTTTAGCTCATAACCATAAAGGTTTACTGTGCTTCTCCAAGAAAAAGCTAATCAAGATAAAAATCAAAGGGGACAAGAAATGTATTCAAATATCATTTAGAAAATGCACAGAAGGCAAGTCAATCCAGTGCAACAGCTACCATGGTTCTGTAACTTGCTTGTTGTGGCTGGCCATTATAAAGTAAATCTAGGTTTTAAAAAGAAATATATTAATACAAGATCACAGCATTTTCTATTCAGAGTATCCCAACTGAAAAATCAGTTCTGCAAATTCTGCAGTCTGCACTGACATTTAAAGATTTTTTTTACTGAAAATTACTGTAAATCTAATTTTAATAGTGAGGAAAAATACCTGTAAGGAGCAAGAAAAACCCTTCTGGAGGCAGAGATTTCACTGAGGATCCCACTGCTCTTGGCAAACAGCAGAGGCACCACTGTACAGCTGTTCAGCTCAAGGGGACTGCGGGGGAGGAAAAATACAGGCAGAGAAATGGAAGCTTTGGGACGTGGGAGGGCTGGCACATGTCTGCATGAATTTTCCTATTCTGCTGTTGACCAGGCAGGCTGCCCAACCCATTCCCAAGGGACCTATCCATTTCTTCTTTTCTATTGTTTTGGTTTTCTCCTTGCCCAGCTAGTCCAATTTTTTCCTTACAGAGCCTGACCACCCTGCAAACTTTTTTCACCTGTGCCTTATTAGCTCTGGTTCTGGTGAGGACAACAGGATGGCCACCACAGTGAAAGAGCAACTTAATAAAGACTTGCCCTGCAATGCCAATGAACATTTTGAAAAAGAAAAGAAAAAGGGAAATGAGAGAAATAGAACTGAAGCAAGCATCTTGGTACTTTTGAAAGCAACTGGAGTTCCTTTCCTCTGCAGCTTACATTCTCCCTAAGATCTAGGTGTGCAGCCACATCTATGACAACAGCTGTTTAGGGAACAACTGCAGAGAAACTGCATGCCAAGTGCCCTTCTGCCTCCTCACACTCTGCAAAGTGAAGCAAGAAGCAGGAGATGTCAAAGAGGAAGGGCTTGGAAACTGAAAGCAGAAAGACTCCAGAGCTGGAAGCAGCCACAGGGCTGAAAGGGAAAGGGAAGCTGCAGGGCACACACTGCACCCTGCCCCGTGATCAGTGACATGCAGTGCTGCTCCCAGTGCTGTCCCCACCGCCCCTCCTGTGGCCCCTGCTGCAGTGACCTGAGGGACAGCGTTTTGTCCAGTGACAATTAAACTGTTTGTGACATTTACCACCAGGAGCTTCCATGTTAATTTGGCTTTGAAACATATCAGCACAACGGGCACAAGACTGAATTATAAGCCTGAGAAAATGACTGCACTGACACACACCACTTTCAGTATGTATAAGGCAGGCTGTGGCTCTTTTAACACCATGATTAATAAACCTCATGTTTAATAATGACTTACAAATCCTGTAGAGAAAAACCACAAAATCTGAAATAAAAAGAGCTGCCAGGTGAATGACAGGGGTGCTAAAAAACTTCACACAACTGACAACTCCAACTTTTGTACCTAGAAAATCTACAGGAAATGAAATTTCAGTATTATTACACTATTATTTCATTGTGATGCTGTGCTTTTCAGCCAGCACTGTCCCCCCACTCCAAGGATGAAGCGTGAGGGCTACAATTACACCCACAACTGAGAAACAGCAAGTACTGGTGTGCAGAAAAGCTCTTCTGATCCCCAGCAACTCACCATGGAAGTCTGTTACCTCTGCATATTCAGAAAAACAAAAGTCTGGAAAGACTATATTAGGCTTATTCTCATCATCTATAAAGAAAAATAATTATATTATTTCTGATGGAGTGAATGAAATTACAGACCATGCAGGTAATGCTGGCTGGCATGAATGCATGTAACAGATCCTGTGAGGAGTGAGTAAATTCCAAATTCAGGAATAAACAGAATGGTACAGTAAAACATTCAGGGAAGTTAAGAGTACTTAGAAAACAAGTGCTGAAGACAATTTTATTTGGCTTTAAGAACTCCATAAACTTAACTTTTCCTGGAGCCTTTGTTACTCAAGTTCCTCCTGCCTACAAAAGGTGGAAAAAGCCATAAGGAAAATATCCTAAGAGCATTTCAGCTATAGGAACAATAGATTCTTAAAGGATTTTTTTTTAGAATGTACTAAAGGAGTGTAAATAAATAAAGGTACCCAGATGTTAATCGATCAAAATGTAAAATATTCTCCTTGCATCCTACAGAAAATATTTAGTTCTCAAAAGATGTTATTAGTTGTTCTTTTGTTTTTTTTTTAAATCTTCATATTGCAGTTTCAGCAAAAAGGAGAATGTAACACAACTTATTTACAGCGCATCCTTATGTCTTGCTCATTACCATAACACCTGAATGCTCCTGAAATCTTCTACAAGTTTTTTGTCTCCCTGATGAGAATTGTACATAGCAGAATTGGCACGGGCTTCCTTGAAGCTTGGTTAAGGGATGGGAGAGACAAAACGTTTTAGCATTTTATGTGAACACCCACACCCTTAAATATGTTCATGTGCAGCACTGTCAGCGAACACAGCATCAGCAATGGGGCACTGCTGCCTAGCAGAAGCAACGAACCCATGGCAGCGGTCTGGGCTCTGAGAAACTGTCTGGGGCAGCTCCTAAGGACCTTCTCACTCCTGCACAGACCTGCAACATCTCCCGCGAGCCAGATACCTGAGTATCTGCTGCCCCTAAAATGATGCCCTACAGGAGGTCTGATGTACTTCTGCCTCTTTTCCAGATGAGATATGACAATACTGTTGTAACAGGAATTTTAGAAGCACTTAAAGTCCAAGTAAACTCAAAATGCTGCAGATTAACTAAGAAGTGATACAGCTGTGAATAATCAAAACAGTCATTATCACTCAAAATGATTTACCATGCAAGAGTTCGTTGGGTTTTTTGTTTTGTTTTGTTTTACTGAGGGATTTAAACCCTCTACTGCAATGAACTAGCCAAACAGTGGCAAAAACTTTCTGTTACAGATGGATAGCCCTTTAATTCCAGGTTCACGAGACCATAGTACATGTGAAGGAGATACTTCCTTTACTAAGCAAAGTGTTTGCTCTTTCATAGCTCTAAAAAGAGAAGTGAAGGTCACAAACTCCAGTCCTGCACAGCTACCCAGAGCTGCTGAGCACCAGGTGGAACAGAGTGTGCTGCTGTGTCAGTACAGATTGCTGCAATCACTGAGGCAGACTACAATCATAGATCTTCATGGCACCCCATGCTCAGTTTTACTTCGTTTTGGACTGGAAGCCTGGAGCTTAATTTGTTTTATGCATTGCCTTTGGCTTTGTGACAAAGTGGAACATACACATTTCTACTTCCACACAAGTTCTTATCCTGCTATTTTCCATACAGTCTTAGCCCTTTAGTACTGTTTTTTCCACTATCTGCCCTCAAGTTTGGCTTACTGATATTGCAGAGAAAGGTAACAGAGCTGCTCAGTATGTATTTTACCAGGCTATCATTAACATCCCCTTGGAGTACTCAGCTGTAATGATTCCCAGGTTTTGTGCAATAATGTTCCATTTTTAGATACACCACTTTCTCTGTAAAGCAATGAGGACAGTGCTGGACTTGCTACTTGAAGAACCTTAAAATAAAAAGCAGCCCCTAAAGTGTTGAAAGGGCAGAGAGAATTCAGGAAAGATATATAATTCCATAAGCTGTGTTATCTTTTAGCTCTCCTGTCATTACAAAAGATGGTGAGGTTCAGGCTATTTGAGCTGGCATTAAGTTGTTACTGCTTTTTCTAGAGCTGCTGCTGGGGAGAAATAGAGCCTGTAAAATGTCATGTTGAATAGAATTCAGCAGCTATATTTCTAATATTCTTTTTTCTAACCCACTGTGCTTCTCTCCTACTGCCTTTTGCTCTGTAAGTTATCTTGCAAGCTATACTACATATGAAATAGCCCACACTTATTCAAAGTAGAAACCCAGTTACGCAAAAACCCACCTGTGAAAAAAGGCAAACACATACATTACTGGCTAATTATCAAGTGTTTGCAATTAGATTCTTTATAGAAGAAGGGCTGAAAATTTGATTCTATACATCTGTTCTGCTAATACAAAGGATGGGCTATACTTCACATTTATAGTGAAAGAAGGAGAAGGTTCCGAACAGTGGCTGAGGTAAATTCCTTTGAACGGTGCAACCAATATCTTCCATGTCCTTCAAAGTAACAAAATCAGTGACAATCCAAAATATCTCTGAGGTAGCAAGAGAGCAAACAGACTATTTTCTTTTGATCTGAGCCAAGGTATGGAACCAACATAACTACATTTTTTAAAAAGTGATAGCAAGTAATCACATCTAGTGGGGTTCTAACTGCTGTGGAAGAAGTTTCCTTGAGTTTATAATGGAAAGGTAGAACAGCTTCTGCATACTGACAATAAATACAAGCTTCTAGACACCTCAAATATACACCTCAAATAAGGTTACAATACATACATTGTAATAACAGTTTGAAATCATGTCAAATATTTGTATTTTTTGAAAAGGTATCAATATTTAAGCTCTAACCATTCAGGGCACCAGTGGTAACATTTATGTGAAAATACCAATACCAATGGACTAGCAGTGACAGGAAATGAAGTTGGAGAACAGTACAATGAGGAATGAACTCGGTGCCTTTGCAATTTCTTTAGATACAGCTATCAAAGAACTAGCACCTACAGCCACGTTATTAATCTTTCCTCATCCAAAATTCAAACCTGCTTCAAAAATCACTTCAACGATACTAAAACAAAGAGGATACACACTTCAGACCTTTACCTCTTTAACAAATAGATTTTCTGCTTTTTGTTCTGCATCTTCAGGTACAGAAGGATAGAGCGTCCTGATTTCCAGTGAAATTGTATCTATCTGGCAATAAAAAGAAAGAAAAACAAATTAGCCAGAATGACAAAAAACAGCAGTTTTGTCTCACGAAGGCAAAAGAAACAGGATTATTGGTGCTTGCATTTCTCAGTTTTTCATGCAGCAATACACATGCACAGGAACAACCCAACTCCCTCCCTCATACGTTATTAACAGCTAAAGCGTTAATTACAAGCAAAAGTACTATTCAAACAGATTTTTGGGAACAAGCTTGTTCCAAGCTTGAGTCCAGCAATCCCCTCTCAGATCACTGGACACTGCACCAATTTTATTTATCTTTTCTTTCTTTTTGAAAGAGCAGCTCCTGGCTGAGCTGGCTTGTCAGGACTGAGCAGGAAGCCACAAAGAGAAGAGGGTCTCCAGAAGATCCAACAGTCTGACATCCCCAGTTTGCACCAGGCCAGCGAGAGGCCAGGCCGACCTGCTCACTGCAGAGCTCTGGAAAGTCAGCAAAAACCCACAAGAGGACGTCTGGGGGTACCTGGAGTTAATTCTCAGGTTAATACAATCCTCTCTCCCTAGCGGTGTTCAAGGCCAGGTTAGACAGAGCCCTGGGCAGCCTGATTTAGCAACTGGCAACTGTTGCCAGCAAGAGGTTGGGAACTAGATGGTCTTTGAGTTCCCTTCCAACTCAAGTCATTCTGTGATACTATGAGATCAGGACCACTCATTTTCTCTGCAGAAAGCAACCAACCATCACCACACTCCAGCAGATCAGACTACTCTCAGTTACAGTGGAATAACTCAACTGAAGATAATGCGGACTGACACCAAGACAAACGTCATCTCACACCTTGTTGTTTTTCCCCTTACAGAATGGCACATGATTTCCACAGGAAGACCCACAGCATCTGACCAGGTTAGTACGACAAATCACTGCTTTCTTCAAGGATGAAGCAGCCTGCAGCATCCATGGCTGGCAGCCCATGAGGATGTTTCATATCCTCAGTCTCCAACTAAACAGTGAACTTTTTTCTCCACAGATTGAAGCACCCAGGCTGTATGTGGCAATCAGCTGGCTATTATCGACTGCATTTTTCTTTACAGCCTACATTCAACATGCTGCTTCTCCCTATGACTTTTTATGTGAGCAATTCTAAAAGAAAGGCATGCACCACACAGGTGGATGCAAATTATATGGGATTCCCAACTTTTTCCCGTTTCATCTGGATAGTTTAGGATACAACATGGTAAAAATACTTTGCCTCCAACAAATAATGATGACCCCTCATAAACATGGATTTCAGGGCTCTCCTCTTTTGTATTACCAAAGCCTATGTGCAGAGAAGATTTACACAATCATCTAGTCAACGAGTAAAAGAAACAACAGATGGAGAAATATGGATTTTCAGACCACATTTAGTAATAGTGAAAATGATTGAATCCTTGGTTGCTTAGGGACTTCCCAGCAGTACTCACAGTGTCTGGAAAATGTTTCCTTAATTATTTCACACATAGATGACATTTTAAGCAATCCTGAGAGGATGCTATCCCTGAGAACAGCTGAAAACCCCCAGACATCACACTGCAGGAGCTCCTCTTCAGGCTGGGGCCTGGCTGCCAGCAGCAGAAGCCACAAAACACGTAGGCTGCCCTTCCATGAGGTCACTGCTACCAGAGACCAGATTTCCAGATGCAAGGCAGAGCAGAGGCACAGAAAGGATACGTGTGATGCACTCTGCACCGCGCACTCGCTCTGCCCAGATGGTGACTTTGCTGCAGAGACCAACAGCCTCTTCTGATTGACTACAATAACATTTATTTGCCTTGCAAACAATGCAAAAGACATTTTTCATTATTTAGTTAAATCATATATTGATATATATAATTTATACCTAATTCAACGCTTCTTGTCAAAGACAGCAACACACTGACTGAGACAGCTGAATGCTTTCCCATGGTAGTTGTCATGCCTCCCTTCCCTCACAGAGTTTATGTGAGAAGCAACAAGACTGTGGCAGAACAAGAAACGGAACTCCAACCCACTGCTGCACACACAGCACTCACCCCCGCCTCTTCTCCTCAGCAAGACTGCACTTGAGAGAAGAAAACGGAGCTGTGCAAAGCTGAAAAACTGGGTAACATGGGGCTGGTTGCATTTGTGGACTTGGCCAAAAAATATCATAGGTTTATTTACATAGAATTGGGACATGGCAAATCTTGTGTATTGTTATATTTAACCTTGGCTTTAAAAACTACAAAGCACTTCCCTTCTGAGAATTAGTTATGATCAACCACTTCTCTGCACAAGTCTGGCCACAAAAACGCCTTCCTGTTCAGAGCGGTTACTTCCAAAGCTCAATGGCCTTTAAGGTATCTCTTCCATAGCATTTTTCAAGCAGAACTTTTTTTTTTAACTTCAAAAAACAACTGAAGTTCAATACCAGAATACATGCCGAAAAATTGCAAGCTGTCACTGGCAGAATTCAGCACGTCGCTGTGCTTTGAATACAATCTAGTTCTCTGTTTAGGCACTCATAGCAGCTGCATACTCAAGTCAAACGTCAAAAGAGCATCTTCTGGATTGTGCATGCTGAGACTCTGAGAATCAAATAGCACAGATATTTATATTTATACCTAAAACCTGACATTCTACAAAAACTTCTGGATATCCATTTCATATAAATACCCTATATCCAACAATGATTTCAGGCACTCAGGCAGTGTCCCATTAGCATGAACTGATGGCTCAGGTGTCTGATTAGATACAAGGTGCGATTTAGTTAAGTGTCCTTTTGCAACATTCACTGAAGACTATTTCTACAGTGAAAAGCACAGGCTAATGTTACTCCTTATCAGTGACCAATAAGGAATAATGTTTTCAGGCAGTATCCACTTCCCACTGACACGGCAAGTGTAGGACTTGAAAATGGAGTTCAAACTCTGTTTGCTATTTTGAACATTCTCACTCTGACTCTATTCAAACAGCTCTTAGTCTGAAAGCATGTGGCCAGTGGTTAAATTTTTAGACAGATGCGCCAAAAAAGATTACATTTACTTCTGGAAAAGGCAGCACTCCTAAGAGAGCTAACCACACGCAGGCAGAAACATTCATTTGTGTTAAAGCTGAAGTGAAAAGGAGTCTAAGCAGCTTGAAAGACTGAATCTAAGTAAACAGGTTTACTTAATGTTAGTGAAAATGGTACCGAGTTAGTCTGCCAGATCACAAAGGAAGGCCAAGGTGGAACTCTGTGGGCTGCTGTTAGCCCTAGCCTTGCCACGGAGAGGTGAACGCAGGGGCAAAGGGACAGGAAAGCAAGCACTGTGTTTAAGGGGACAGCTTCAGTGTGTCCCATTCCTCATAGGACCATGCTCAGTGTGAGTGGCCATACCCACACAGTGTTTGCTGCTTTAGCCCTCTCTTTTTAAATAGGTGAAACATATCCTTCTCAGTCTAGCTGCCCCTCATCTATCTGCTATTTCCAGCTGACGTGAACTTGCACGTGAAAGATCTGACATCATGTTTAGTCATGAGTAATGGACTGAATTTCAGTTCTTCTTTGATGACAAGATACTGCCTACCACATGGGAAAGTGTGGGATAAGCCAGGTGCTATTGAAAACAACCTGGTAATCCACCACAGTAACTCTTCTGATGTCAAAAATGATAGTGGGGTTTACTGGGCTATTTCCAAGGAGGATCTCACTCCCTCATTTACAACTATTTCTCCAGCATTCGTTCACCATCTCAAATAAAGAGACAGAGTTTAACACAATCTTTTACTATACCAAATCAAAGTACCTATTAAACACTTTCAATTGGCTTTTTATGATAACTAACATCTATAAATCAACATAAAGGTAACACGTATTTTCATTAAACCTCAACACAAGCATGGTGTCAGCGTGATCCTGAGCCTGCTGTCACTAAGGAAGGGCACTACTGAGAGGGAGACAGATCTGAATGAAGCTGTCACACTTCTATCACAATCACCTTTCCAGAAAGCACATAGGAGGAAAGTCAGAAATTGGAATGGCAGACAATGGTCCAGTTCTTCCAGAGGAAGATCTGATCTCCCAGTCTGGGAGAACAGAAGGTAAAATGAGGACAATAATTCACTTCTATAACCACAAGGACTTTGGGCAGGCAGGAGGAGAGTTAGCAAACAAAGATTAGTGGTTATTATTTCTTTTTTAAAGAATTATTATGCACAATCACAAAAAAAGGAAGCCTTTTTCCTAGCTGGAGTTAAGACACAGAATGCATCTTTGTAACATGTATGCCTTGTATTCCTCTGTTGAAACAGGGAAACAGAAGAGTATCAAGCTCAGATTAATATCAGGAATTCTTTACTGCCCTGTAGACTTATGGCAAGGTGCTAGAAATGACCTAAAAAGGTCTTGTAAGAAAACATGTCTTCTCTTAGAATCGCTTTCAAAGAGAGAAAGGAATTTGGAGATCAAAGAGAAGATCAGACAGTACTGCAGCTATGTAGATAATTGGCCCATAGATGACGTACACAGTGAATATTACAGATCCAGAAATGGACAATCATCATTAAAAACAGGATTTTCTTTTATGCTCACTTCCTCACCTAGCACATTGGTTGGCTTTCACTCTGAAGAGGCCCTAAGTGGGGCTGCATCATCCCTCAGCCACAAAGTCTGAAACAGCTCTAATGGTTATTGTTTAACAGTAAGACCCTCAATTTCCTAAGGCATCATCGCATTAAATAACAATCAGAGCCAGCCTGAGCATCTCCTAATTCAGTCAGACCTGGATCTCTTTCTACTCAAATGGCTGACCCAGACTGCTGTGCACAGGTGATATTTCAGCAGGAAGGAGCAGAGCTATAAATAGATGCTCTGCAGCTGAAAAACCCATCTGCTAGGGAAGCTCTGCAGCCCTGCCTGGTGACATAAGCTCTTGCTACTGCAGTTGAAGATAACAACAAAAAAAAAAGATTTTTATTGCAAGGCTATAGACCCCACATGTCACTGCCTCTGCTCTTTTGTGAGTGTAGGTCATCTCTAGTACGCAAGCAGTTCACTATGAGGTATAATTGCAAAACAATACAGAGAAAACAAAATTGAAGTTGCTACTAAGGTCAGGCTGCAACAGCTAAAAATGAAATGAAAATAAGGATATGAAAACATGGTTTGACAGGCAGAGGTCTTGAGTAGTAGGACATGATTCTCCTTTTGCTGAGAAAAATCAGCTTGTTTTGCTCCACTGATTTGGGCTCAGTTATTCTAAATCCAGGAGCTCAAGGGCCTCATGGCAGCACACAAGCAAGTGTAGTCAGCTTTATAATGCTAATTTTCAATTTCATAAGTTCACAAATGTGTAAAATGGATAAAGGAATTAACAGTGATGGCAAAATGTATTCTGTTTAGTTCTTCCTCAATCCCATGAGCACATTAACTCAGTTAATGCCACCAAGGAAATAGAGCCATTTAGGAAAACAAAGCAGTCTATTAGATTAACCCAGCCCCACAGGACAGAGGCAGTGCCATGAGCTGATGGGAAAGGCTCTCACACAGCAGTTAGTCAGTCACAGACTGAAATGTATTTCCATTAGAGAATGCCTATTCATCAAAACCTAAATCTTTTACAAAGACTGGTTGATTTTGAAGAAGTTGCTGTAAGGTGCAGGTAGTCTGCCAGCTTACTTGCCTGTCAGCATGTCTCCCAAACCACCCTGCAGCCAGCCCTTGTCCTCCTGAGCTGTCCCAGGCTTCCAGATGCTTAAATTCTTTGCAGCTTCCCAGGACCAATGCTGGGAAACCACAAATGAGGTTGGACAGCCCCATGGCAGTGGGCTCCAGTACCCACAGCCTGTTAGCACCCTACTACAGGGGCTGCCTTGGCACTGGAGACTACATCCCCAGCACTTGGGGACAGCTTGGCAGATCTCCATCCACAACTGAGATAGCTCCAAAACTAAACAAAATCAAGTCTATTCAGATGTACTCTTCTTGTGCAAACTAATGCTGGTAAATGGCACAGCTTAGACGCGTGTTACAGCTACCATCTAAAAAGTCTGACAGAGCAGAAAGTCAAGAGCCATGCTGGCCAAATACATCAAACAGAATAGGATCAGATAGACTGTAAGTAAGTTACTGAAGTGTAATTATGTTAGATTATAAAAGTGGGGAGAAATTCCAACACAGGTTAAACAACCACTGTGTTGAGTGAACCAGTAAGTACATGTTATGGAATAACCTGTGTTGAGTTCCTGAAATATATTCTGGAAAAACCAAGGCTTCACCTTGTACTTATTACAGAACTGCAAGTTCACTTATATACAGATGTCACACACACACACAAGTGAAATTTGGTAGGAGAGGAATGAGGAGCTATGAATAAATCAAGAGAAGTCTTAGAGAGCCCTGGAAACACTTCCATCTCTCCTGTTAGCAGTGAGGATAAAATGAACAAAATTAAGAGAAAAAACAACACACATTTGATTTGCACTTACTGAAAAGTCATCCTCAGGGAACAATATCAGATCTTTAAACAGGCTATCTCCAATATTTTTCTCAATCTCTGTGATAACAGCTTCGTAATCCAAAGGCTCCAAGAGTTTTGGTTTTTCCTGCTGTAGAGAAAAAAAAAAGAGATCAGGTAATAGCTCTACTCAAATTCTCCTTTCTTCCCCCCCCTCCATAAAATGACATCATCTTCATTTTTTACATTTTTTGCATGTCAGTATGAATGATTTCTCCCCCTACCTCCCTCCAACTTCCTAGCTTGCTGTAAAAGAACTGATTAAGAGAAGTGGAAATGAGGCATCTGAGCCAGTTGTGGTATTTATTCTCAACCTGCTAATTCAAAGGCAATTTGTCAGCTCACTATGAAGACTAAACTGACCACGTTAACTTGTCTGTCAGCCTCAGAAACCCTCTCATTCTCTGCAAATACATGCAGACAAATAGATGGGCACAGTTTGAACTGAACACAGATACTACTTTGAGTTAATGTGTTGTAGAAAAAATAACCTACTGTACCACCACTTGATTCCATTACCATGAGCTAATTTCTTCATCCTCATGCACAGACCCAACCCTTTAACTGCTGATAGTTTGTGCCATCATGGTGTTTTACTTGGTAATAACCCTAAATTACTCTCTTGGAATAAATTACCTGGCATCCATTCTCATGGTTTTTCTTGTCAGAACCTAGTTAGCTTAATTACAATAGTGCAATTATTGGTGAAGACAGTGAAAGTAAGAAACTCTCACAGGAACAGCAAGACAAAAGTAAATTCACACAATCTTGAAATAGAGAGACAGAAAAAGGGAAGCCCGGTGGACATGCAAGAATCATAGCATCAAGAATACATTATTAAGATGTATTAGAGTAGCAGCATTTGCTTAATTCAAGGATTCTGCAGTATCAGAAATAGTAAATGAGAAAGAGCAAGAGAAGTAGGAGAAGGAATGGAAAATGGGTAAGACAGAGAGAATAGAGGATTCCCAGAGCAAAGCAAATGCACAAACAATTCTACAGAACATTTTTTCTGCTTTACACAGTAACAATCATTAAGCTGTATTTTACCTGCTGTTCTTGCACTGTGATGAATAATATAAAGCTTAGAATAATATGAAGTTCAGAAAAATATAAAGCTTCCCCTCCCTCTTACCTAGAGCAAAACCATGGTGTATCAAAAAAGAAAGCTTGCACATCTCCATAAAACTCATTTCTCCAATGGACAATCTGATGACTGTCCACCATATAGTGTTATATAGATTATACATATGTGGTACATTACACGTGATGGTCCAAAGCTATCAGTCAGCTACCTCTTTTAGCTTTGTTCTTGAGAGTTCTTGTTTCTTTCAATAATTACAGTCATCTCAAGATTTCTCCCTAGCTCATGAGTACACTTTTTTTGCACATTAAGTTCAAGTCCTCCTTTGGTATCAAATGGATCCACAAAAAGTTTTATTAAACATCACCAATATAGCCACATGAAATAGATTAAAACAGCGACCAGCTGCTCTGACCAGCTTGTGAATAGCCAAGGGCCTCCCAGCAGGCTGCCCAGGCCATTCCCTGCTCAGAGCAGGGCAACTGGAATCAGGCTGCTCGGGAACTTGTCTGGATGAATCTTGAAAACCTCCAAGGATGGAGATGCAATTTTAAAAGTTGGAGTTGTTCCTTCAGCTGTTCATTTCTATTGGCTCTCTTTTCAGTCTATTAACTAAGTCATGTTTGTCGGCTTAAAAGTTAATGAAGTTCTAATAGTCAGTAGTACTTAGCATTTGGAGGACAAAGGCAATATCTAGTGACAGAGACATTAAAGACTTATAAAAGATACAGAAGATGCACACCTAACAGTGAGAACTTTGAGAGCTCTTTCACAAGGAAACTGGTTCATGAATATTGCTTTAGGATGTGAAGGAAAGAGAGGAAAGAGAAACAATACTTGGTCTAACTTAAATACGTGTAACTACAACACCAGGAAGCCCATGTAAGAGCTAACTATTTGAAGATAAAAACCAAAAAGATTCCACCACACTGAAATAATACTAGATTCCCCCCTGGATGAACCTGGAGGCAAGGACAGTTCTTCGGATTTATGAAAGGGATGATGAATTAGAAATGAAACTTGGGACTGTTTTAAAGGGAAAGAGCCAAAAACACCTTATCTAAAGAAAGGACATTGTAAAACAAAAGGCCCTAAAGAAAAGAAACAGCTTGAAAATTTAATTTACATTCTGTGACAGGACTATACACCAGGGAGTGATGTTCAGATAAGAAGAAGCAACTTAACAGAACACTTGAGACTTCACATCACCCCAGCCACGTCACCTCAGACTGTCACAAGCCAGAAGTGGGCCCTGGACAGTAAGAGCTGGCAGGTTAATATTCAGCCCTGCTCAAGAAACTCTCAGGTTGAAGTACAAGCAGTATTCTTTAGCACACTGTTCAAGTCTGCCATCTACCTAGAGCAGTTCCCCACAGGAACACGACGGGCTCATCTAATCACTGCCCCACACAGTTCTTTCTTTCTTCCTTTCAAGTTAAGTCACTGCAGCATTCTTTAGCCACAAGTTTTAGACCCTCTTCAATTAAATCTAGCTATATCTGTATTAAATATTGCAAAAGAGACTTAAGTATCAAGGAGTTAAACATGAAAAGAAAACACCACAGACAAATGCTGAGTGCACCACTAATGATGCCCAGGTCTGAAAACTAAAGTTTATTTTCTCTACATTTTGAAAAAAGCAAATTTGTAGAATTACTGTTATCTTCAGTAGGAAGCCTTAGAGCAATCACTTGCAAGGAAACCCAAAGTAAAATGAAAAAACTCATGCACTGACATTTCTGAGGTACAAGTGTTTCACAAAGGCATGTTTACTGTGTAGTGGTTTCACTAAAACACATACATTTTTTGCAGAAAGTTCACAACTTTAACTACACCTAGCACCCGCCATTCTAAAACCAGATACCACAGTAGTGATGTCTTTGTAGCAGTCTCAGGTTTTAGTAAGCCATGCATGCCTCTGTAACCATGAACACCCACCCTCCAAAAACAGAGGTGGTAAGACAGTATTAATACAGATCTTGCACTTTAGAGAAACTTCATCAACAGTACCTTTCAAGAATCTTTTAAAAACACACAAGGCAATTAGAAAAAAAAACAACAAACAATAGAAGTTGGTAACTACTAAAGTTACAGACTAAGATAGAGCTGGGAAATCCCACCGATTTTTGGACTCTCATCAAATATGGGGGGATTCCCATAAAAACGCACACAGCACTTGCAGGTTCTCTACACAGATTGGAACTACCCTTTTTGCTGGGGCTGAGAGAATGAAGAGGTATTTTTTCTTCCCCCTGGAAATCCCTGCAAGGATGGGTACTGCTACATGTCCCGCAGACCCGGTGACACTGACAGTGAGATGCGGGTGGGGGCAGGGCAAGCCATGCTGCCTTGGCCCCTCTTTTCTCCTCAGAAACACAGAGCACTCAGAAAGCTGCCCCTGATAGATGCCTGAAAGTCTCCAGGGCCAAATGTCTCCTCGACAGTTGCAAGGTCATCTGTGCGAGGCAAGAATGAAACTCGAGAAAACCCTGAGGCAGAGAAACAGAGCGTATAAACATCACTATTCCCACAGTACTAATTCTCTTGCTCGCAGTGCTGCAGAGCACACGAGCTGCTATAAACATTTTAACAGAAGTTAACAGAGAAGCCCTATGAGAAAGATTACACAGCCAGAATGCAACTAAATGTAAGTAGGTATGACATTATCCAAATTAGTTCAAAACTTTTCGGTGAAGCACTTCGGCATTTATGGTGATGCTGATGCAGTGACAAATGTCATTATTCCTTCCACAACTCTACAGCAAAATCCTGCATAAAGGGCAATATTCAATTATTTCAAGTCTCATAAATCAGAGATGCAGGTAATAACCTAATCTGTTCAGTGCACTGATTGCAGGGATAACCTCGTCCATCCACCGCTGACACCAAGCACGATAACATCATAAACATGAGACCCCTCTTTAGAAGTTTCTACTTGCTGAAACATAGGAATCCTACATCTTCCTATAGATCCTAACACTAAGCACTGTGTACACCCCCTGTCCTTTGCAGAGCCCATCCTTTGGCTTTGGCAGAGATGGGCACTACAGCTCTCAGCACTGCACTAGTGATGGGAAGCAGCAGCTGTTCCAGTTAGCAGTTGCTCTCAAAGACACGGAATAACCGTTCAGTTTGCTTGTCACAGGCAGACAGAAGCGGTGATGTGGGGATTAGCAGATTTCGCCCTGCAAGTGCTAGCAGAGATTTGTAAATGAGTAGGGCTGATTTAAAGCTTTAATAACCGGAGAGCTGCCTCTCCTCAATTTAACTTGTCTGCTCCTTTTGGAAACAGACCAACCAAGCAATCTGTGTGCCAAGATCAAATTATGCTGGCTTGGATTTTTATAGTGCTTTTTATATTCTCTATCTCAAGCGAGTAATGAATTATTTTTGCTGTACTGAAATGGCTGTGACTACATGTAGTGAAAGGCACTCTCCAACTCCTCAGCCACAACAGAACCACTTCCTTTACACACCAACAGATTTGTGGAGCATACCTCCACGTGTTGCTGAGCCAGCTTTTCTAAAATCCTCAGGAATGGTCGTCTAAGAAGCACCAGTTAGGCACCACTTCACTTCGCACAAGCGGAGCAGCTCAGAACTTCACCAGTGATGTGTTGTTTGATCAGCACTGTACAAATCCACCTTCTCAAATGAGGCCCACGTCATAATCTTCTGATCCAGATACAACAGAACTATTTTCTCATCAATAATGATCCAACATATCCACATATCATTTTACATAAACAGACACAGCACATGGCTTGCCTCCAGCTGCAAAGACATTATGTGCTGATGCTAGTGCACACCTTGTCATCATAATTATAGGATAAAATGACTTAAGTATCATCCTCCTGAAGTCATATTTCTGTGAACACTCATTAAAGGAGGAAATGATGCAATTGAGACCAGCAGTCTATGGATAGTCATCCCAAGCACTTCCCCATTCTAAAAATAAACTACGCCAAATGCTAAGATTTTTCTAATGCTTTAAGATTTGGTGTCTG